TTCCCAAATATTTTTAATCGTCAAAAGTGGATTTTATTTCTATTCTATTTTTACAGTAGTAAAAGCGATTTTATTTTTAAAAATATTTCTGTTGTATAAATTTAGAAATTTTCAAATTTAATTCATAAATATTTAAATTTCCAAAAGAAAATTTATAATATTTATAAATTAAATAATTTATTTATAATTATTAAAATTCTAAATAATTTATAATTAGTTCTAAATTGTAAAATTTGAAAATCTACAAATTTATACAAAAGAAGTATTTTTATAAGTTCCTTTACTGCAAAAATAGAAAAAAGAAATTATAAATTTATAGATTTTCCGATTATGAAATAAAATATTTATAGTACACACTTGAAATTATAAAATAAAATATTTATAGCTTTTTAAATTGTAAAATAAAATATTTATAGATTTTTAAATTATAAAAGAAAATACTATTGATTTATAAACAAATATCTATTTAAAAATAGATTCAAAATAAATAAATAATTAAACAAAATAAATAAAAGTAATTAAATCAAATAAATAAAAATAAACAATAAAATGAAATAAAAATAAATAAAATAAAAGAAATAAAAAAATAGATTTAAAAATTACTAATTTACATGAATCTATTTCAAAATAGATTAAAAGTAAATAAATAAAAATAATAAAATAAATAAAAATAATAAAAATAAATTAAATACATTTAAAACTTACTAATTTACATGAACTGAATCGTACACACAGAAATGAAATCTAATATCGAGAAAAACATCCAAAGGAAAAAACAATTTTAAGGAAAAATTTCTCTGAAATAAAAAGATTCAAAAACTTTAACGCATAGGATGTAATTACTGGTTGAATCTACATCTCTCGCTCATTCACCCTCCTGAGTTTAGATGCTTGAAAATCTGGCAAGAGTGTATGTTCGTGATATTAAAGGGGCGAGTTTCGACGGGAACATGATTAATCGAAGATTCGATGAAGGAACTTGGCAAAAAGAAAAAAAAAGTTGTCACGGGAAATTATTCTGTTAATTATTTTATTTCGAAAAGCAAAAACCATTATTTCACTGTATTCTAACAAAAAACATCAAAAAAAATTTTTTATCAATTAAATTAAATAAATCTACCCTTTAGAAAAAAATATACTATATACTTATTTTCACATCTGCTTCTCCCCTTCAAAATACTGAATTAAATTATAAAATCAAAAACTTCCCGTTGAACGACCTTATTTTTGATATATAAAATGGAATTTCCAACTTCATATTTTAACAAATTCGTTTACTTTATATTTTTGTTTTACAATTTTAGGAATTAAATTTAAAAAAAGGGTCAATTAAATAAAATGAAAATAACTTTTAATTGAAACACATTTTTAATCGAGTAAAAAAAATTAATGGAACAATTTATTCTTAGAATCGGACACGAAATATTTTTAATTCAAGAATACAAAAATTTATTTCAGTAGAATAAGAATAATTTTTTCCATAATTTTTATTTTTTACATGAGAGTAAAAAAAAATTAAAAATATATTTTTTAGTAAGAATAATTATCTAAATTAATTTTCTGCGAGCATTATTTATTTGCAGGATTTTATTTAATAACTTGTCAAGTAAAAAATTTACGGAGACTTTTTAGAAACCAATATTTTTTCTGGAATTTAATGAAAGCACTAAAGACGAGAAAGTTTTTAATACTTAATTAAATTTCATCAATTTTTAAAAAGACGATTTGCTAAAATTCGAGACAATTAATTTTAAGTTCAAATAAGCAAATTTTAAGTTTCAGATTTTAAATGTAAATTTTTTACATATAAATTTGAGTAAATTGAAATTCTTTAAATATAAATTAAAATAAATTGAAATTCTGCAAAATATGAATTAAAATGTAAATTTAAATTTGAATAAATGTAAATTTAATTTAAAAATAAAAGCTTAATTTTAAGTTTGAAAAAGTAATATTATTTATAATATTAATATTAGTTAATTAGTATTAAATTAATATTTATAATAGCAAAAAAACTTTTATCCAGAATTTTTTTTTCCTAACTCGTATTTAAGAAACAAATATTTCCAAAAGTTAAATAAAAAATTTTTCGATAAAACTTACTTTATAATTATGAAAAACTTTGAAACGTGGAAAAATTAAATATTTTTCTTTTAACTTGTAGTTTAAAATGTTGACGTAAGGCAACATTTTGTTCAAATTAACGTTTAGAACTTGTTTAATGAAAAGACTTTTTAAAAGTTTCATTTTGAATTCATTATATAGGTACACTTTTTAATAATTTCCACGCAGTTCTTTAGAATTTACGGGTTTATCTAAACTTTCATCATTTTATTATTATTTTCCTTATAAAAGTAAAGATCGATGCAAATCATTATTGTGTTTAAAAGTAAACCATCAATTTTTTTTCCAATAAAAAGCACTTCTCTATATACAATGATAATTAAATATCAAGATTGAAAATTTCGCAATTATTTGTTTACGTACAATTTGCATTTATTAAAAAAAAAAAAAAAAAAAAGAATTACCAACTTCAGGTATGTTTAAAAAACACAAGGATTATTGTAATCATTCATCTGTTTTACGTCAACACTGGTTATGAGTAAATTGTTGGAGTTGAAAAAGTGGTTTTGTTAATAATAGTCTTAGATTTTGATAAAGTATATTGCACGAGATAAAATCCCAACAACTTTTTTTTTCCAATAAATTTCATCTGTCGCTATAACGATAATTTCTTTTGTAAATTTCTCTTAAAAATAAAAGCCATTACAAAAATTAAAATCGATTTATCTCCCCTACAAAAAAAAACTATACGCAAGAAAACAAGTTTCTGGTTATCAAAATTAAAGAATAAAATATGTAATTTTTCTTAAAAAAGTAAATAATGTTTGTGGAAAATCTTTTTGATGTTAAAATTTAAACTGGGTAAAGTTTAGTACTTTTAATTTTTAATATAAGAAAAACATTTTCTCTTTTATCGTTGAACTTTCGACTTAATTTTTTAAATAAAGTTATTAATAAAGCTATTTTTACCCAAAATGCTAAATTTCCAGACAGAACAGAGAATTTCGTTTCTTTAAAAACCATATTTCTCATATTTCTGTCAAAAAGTAGGTATTTCCCCTAACACGAAAAAAATGATCCCCCTTTTGTAGTCCACTCACGAAAAATTGTAATTTTCTTGGCGAAACAAAAAGTGAGTCGATTTACGAAAACTAAAGGAAGTCAAGGTGAAAGGGGTCCAAACTGTCAAAATTGAGAAGTGAAAGGAGATTGAAGCGGTACGTCAGATCAGACATGCACACACGAGAGAAAAGATGAAAACGGAAGGACGGACGGACAAGTGGCCGCGACGGAGATATGAAAATTCTGACAGTTACACAGCCACGATGGACGGGGGGAAGGGGAGAAATGAAATGCACATTTTAAATGGAAATAATTTGCAAATTACTTACCAGATTGGGAGCATAGGGTCCAGAACGGGTGATAAACAGGTATTCCGATAACGGAGTCGTAAACCGGGGTCGGGAACGGCTGGCAGGGACATCAGGCAAAACAACGCCGTGGTAACTCGACTCAGTCGAGATTCCCCGTTCGTTCCTTGGAGATGATGAGCAACAAACTTCATCCGCAGGATGTGAGAAAAATCCCTCTTGACCTGATGGATTCGCAGTCTCCACCTTGGGCCGAATATCTCGCGATGACGGCGGGGATCCGTCGTCGTGTTTAATATGGCCGTCAGTCGTGTCTGCCGAGTTCTCTCCAAGTCGTACCTTTAAATTGATGCAACGATGATGTTCTTATTTCCCGATGAATGCATTTGTTATCACAATATCCATCACTAGCGAACCCTTGACATTACGTTTCTTTTGATATTTCTTCTTCACGCACTTTTCCCTCATCCCCCTTTTTTTCTTGTCGCTCGTTTATAAGTACCACGTTCACATTGACAAGAGAAACCGAAATTTTTAACGATGATTTTCAACGAATTTAAAACACGCTTTCACACAACACTCACGATTTATATTATTCTCGAGATTTGTTCGTTGATTGTTGATGAGCAGGTCACACCTTCCGATTTTCTTGTTTTCACGCAGAAACGTGAGACGCGGTTTCGTTGCGGACGACGTCAACATTACCAAGCTGCGAGGCGGCCATCTTGCACACACACATGTAAGAAACGTGAAGTATATATTATGTGTGTGAGAAGAAGTGTTGCGAGTGTGTTGGTGCCGAGTACGTGACGAGGACGTTTCCCGTGGCGCTGCTGTCGCATTAATGTAACAGTTTTCCCAAATTTTCCCAATTTTTAAATAAAATTTTCCAATAAAACAAAAATAGTTTTTAAAAATATATTCTCAAAATTCTGTTTATTATTAATTTAATAATTAATCATTTTCATTATCTATGATATATAAGGACTGCTCTAAATTCTACTTTTTTCGATTTCATTAATTACTTCTCAAAATTAAGAATCTTTTTTTAGTACTTATTTATAAATGTTCAATAAAATATAAATATTCATGTAATTAGTAAATTAATATTCAAATGCAATTTTTAAATATCTAAAAATCTTGAATTCAGTCTCCATCATAGTAGAAAATTTTAATTTATTCTATTATTAATTTAAGTCTAATAAAATTTTGTAAAAATATATAAAATACAATTTTTACAATTGCATTTCAACTGACTTATAAATTTTCCAATTTCCCATAAAAAAATATTTATGTAATTAGTAAATATTCACTAATGAGGTAATTATTTTTAAATATCTAAAAATACTTAGTCTCCATCATAATAGAAAATTTTAATTTATTCTATTATTAATTTAAGTCTAATAAAATTTTATAAAAAAATAAAATACAATTTTTACAATTGCATTTCACCTGCGACAATTTTAATTCACAATTTTAGTTGTATTAATTTATGATAGATTTATAAAAATCTTTCGAAAAATGACTAAAAGAGTAAAAAAGTTGAGGAAGAAGAAAAGACTACGATTTTCTGAAAATAGGTCTATTCGCTTTCAGTGGCTTCATAAAGAACTGTATATTAATATAATAAATGCAAAAACACTCAACATTCAAGTACCATACATCTTTACAAACCTTTTAGAAAAATATGTTAAACATTTGAAATTTACAACTTTTCCCGACAATCGAGATTAAAAGTTATTATTAAAAAAAAAAAATTCCATAAATGTTTGATCAAGTGTAAGATACTCTTATAATAGTATTTAAAAAAAATTTCTAACCTTCGTGAAAAAAATTCATAGGCATGTACAAAAGGTAAAAGTCTTTGATCACACATCTTCAAAATGATGTCGTTTTTTCTTCTTGTGCTTTTATTGTTGCCTTTTTTAGAAGCCACGTTCAATTATTTGCAACAGACAAATTAGGCCTTGCGTATTTCTTGAACCGCAGCAACAATGTTGCGTGCACTAATTCCATACGCATCCAACAATGTATTAGGTGGTCCCGAACGAGGAACTTCCGGCACGGCAAGTTTCTTGACAATAACATTTTTCGTCATTGCAACGGCCGATAAAACTGCCTCTCCCAATCCACCCTCGGGATAATGATCCTCGACGGTGACAATTCTGCCACCAACTTCTTTGGCATTCGCCACAATTGCAGCCTGATCAATTGGTTTAATTGTGAATGGATCCATGACTCGAACGTGAATTCCAGACTTGGCCAATTCCTCGGCAGCTGCAACGGCCTCGTGGAGAGTGACACCGGCACCAATCAGAAGAACTTCGTCTTTTGGCGATGACTTGACAATTTTGCTCTTTCCAATTGCGAATGGTTCGTCGTTCTTGTAGAGAACGGCAGTGTTTGGACGTGATGTGCGTATGAAACAAATGCCCTTTGTATTGGCTGCCAATTCAACGGCTCTTTCTGTTGAAACAGCATCGCTTGGATAGAAGACAGTGGAGCCGGGAACTGTTCGGAACATTGCAATATCCTCGAGACCCATTTGTGAAGGACCATCTTCACCAATTGATACTCCACAATGAGAACCGACGAAATTCACATTTGTCTGCGAAATTGCTCCCATTCTTATCTGGAAAATAAAAATATTTAAAAATTAAAATCGAATTGAAATATTGCACTTTTAAGCAAACGTAAATAATTATTAAAAATACAGTAATAAAGAAATACAATCCTTCTTCTATTATTGATTTCACACAATTTTCGCTAATCATTTATTCGTATTTCCTCTATCAGGAAACAAAAAGTAATAATTAGACTAAATATTTCTATGTAGGTACTAAAATGGAAATTTGAATTTAAATTGAATTTTAATGAAAATGAAAAGTAAAATTAATTAAATGTAAGTTTAAAATTAAATTAAATGGAAATACAAAATAGAAAGAAAAAAAATCGAAAATAGAGTTGTCATTACCTGATCGAAAGCTCGGGTGAAAAAGGTGGCGAATGTAGAGACAAAAGCAACAGTTCGATCGCGACAAGTTGCACCCATTGCAACGCCAACCAAATTTTGCTCGGCAATATAACCCTCAATGTATCTCTTTGGATCGACTGTTTTAATTTTTTCCGAAAACGTTGAATTTTTAGTATCACCATCAACAGCAATCACTCGTGAATTGTTCTTCGCCAGCTGAAAATAAAATTCTGTTAGAAAAATGCTTTCACTACTTTTACTTTTTACAACATTTCTGTTTCATATCAACGAAATTTTATACATTTTTCTCTAATCTCTTTAATATTTCTATTTCTACTAATTGAAATAAGTAGCAGTAATTTCTTAATTCACATTTTTTCATTTCGATACAGTTTTCACAGAAGTTTTGTTTTAAATCTCTGACCCTCATTTTTATTTCAAATAACTTTTAAGCTTTTTTGGCGCGTATCAAAAATCTCCAATATAATTTATAAACGATTAACGAGAAAGAATTTTATTTAAATCTGCGTCTCTGATTTTTATTTTAAATAACTTTTAAGCTTTTTGTCGATTTTTGAAAATCTGTGATATAATTTCTAAACGATTAACGAGAGAGAATTTTATTTAAATCTTCGGTCCTGATTTTTATTTTAAATAAATTTTAAGCATTTTTTCAATTATTGAAAATCTGTGATATAATTTTAGAGAGAGAATATTTTATAACTTTTATGCTTTTCGTCGATTATTGAAAATCTAGTAAATTGTAAACGAGAAAGAGAAATTACCTTAGCAATAGCTGTTCCATAGGCAGCACGTGTAGCAATCATTTCACCAAGTTTATAACTCGGCGGTGTGTCCAATTTAATATTGCTGATATCAATTTTTGGTGCGTCCTCCACTAAAGGTTTTTGAGGATGAAGTTCAAGGGGTCCTGGATTCTTGATAAGTGTCGTCAAGTGCTGAAAAAATAAGCAACACGCATTAAAATATTGTCCAATTAAAACAAATGTTTGCAACAAAAATAATGCTAAATAATTAGAACTTTTTTGTTTAAGTCTAAATTTTAATTAGATTTTAATTTTTAAATAGATTTTAAAAAATCGGACAAAATTGAGTAAAAAAAATTCCTTACCTCAATTACTTCATTAGCCTTGGCACCGAGAGGCTTGCCGTGCCAATTGTCCAAATCCTCGATATTTGGGAAGTTCCTTCCTTTGAAAGTTTTTGCTAAAACGGCAGTGGGACGTTCTTTTGTACTTTGTGCCTCGTGGAAAGCCTGATAAAAAGGAAATTTTATGAATACAGTTGTAATTCGATTTTCACTTAATAAAACAATTCTTTTAAACAAATTCCCTTTTAAACCAAATTCTCCCCAATTAAATTTGTTTTCTTAGCTATACCATATTTATTAATTTTTTCATTTACCTTCATATTTACATACTTATTTTCTTTTTTAATTACAGAACGACTCTCGATAAATTAAGTCTCAAAAAATAGAAGAAAGAAAATAAAAATAAAAATAGAAAAAATTCAAATTATCGAGGGTTTTATTAATCGAACTTAAAAGTATCAAAATTTTTCCAACAGACCAGAAAATAAATTCAATTTTATCGAAAGTTTAACTAACGAGAATTGACTGTATTTTATTTATTAGGCTAAAAGACCTTTGGTAAAGGTAAAAATTATTAAAGAAGATTTATAATAATTCTAACAGGTAAATTCTAAACTGATTATAAATTGCTCTTAATAAAAAATTTTAAACTTCCTAATTAAAAATACCCTCTTGAAATAAATTCGCATGTTCGTACCTTCGTGAGTTCGTCGACGTCGTGCCCATCAACAACCAAAGTATTAAAACCAAAGGATTCGAGACGCTTGCGATAAACTTCCATATCGTGTTGAATGCTTGTAGCCTCACTCTGTCCAAGACGATTAATATCAAATATCACACACAAATTGTCAAGTTTATAATGAGAAGCGAAATGTAAGGCCTCCCAAATTGAACCCTCAGCCGATTCACCGTCTCCGACTAAGCAGTAAACACTGAAAACGAAAAATGTTAAATTATTAATTTATGTCCCTGAATCACTCTGAGTCAATTCAAAATTGAATTGACAAAGTCAATTATTTATTAATTTAAATTGACGTATTCTATTCACTAATTTTTGCTTCCTCATAGAAAGAGAGTTGTATTTTTACTAAAGAAAATTATATTTAGATGAAATTACTATACTTTTGGAAATGATAAATTCGAGAGAGACATTTCTAAAGCGAAAGACTGAATAGTTTAAAAAGTAAGATCTATGATATTTGAGAGAGAAAGGAAATTTAAATAATTTTGCAATAAATTACCGGTAACTGGCTTTGTCATAATTTTTGCCAACATAGGCCATTCCAGCCGCTACAGAGAGACCCTGTCCCAAGGAGCCTGTTCCTACGTCAACAAAGTTCAATCTGGGAGTTGGATGACCTTCAAGGTCACTGTCAAATTTCCGCAAATTCTGCAAATCGGAAACCTGGAAGAGGCCCGCCTCTGCCCACGCTGAAAACAGGAAAATTTCCCCATTAATAGAAATTAAACATAAGGAACCTATTTCAATTTTGTACAATATTTAATTCAATTCGTCAATTAATTAGTTCATTTAATTAATATTATTAATTTTTAATTCAATTAATTCAATATACAAAATTTTAATTTAATAATTAATTATTAAGTTAATATAATCACCTGCGTAAAGAATTGGAGCTGCATGTCCCTTGCTGAGAATAAATCTGTCACTGCTCGGATCTTTTGGTGCAGAAACTTTGTAGCGCATTGTGTGGAAGAAAAGGACAGACATTATTTCTGCCATGGACGAACATGATGTTGGATGTCTAAAAAAAAAAGAAAATTTATTATTTCACCAAGAATTTCGAAAATGCTGTAATTGAAGGAAAACGAAAATTATAGAAAATATTGCCTTGAATAGAAAAATGTGAATTCATTGCGAAGCGGAATAATAAAAAAAATTCTTTTTACAATTCAGCAAATAAAGCAAAACTTTTTAATCGTATTATCTGATATGAATCAAATCTAGAATGAAATTGTTTTTCAAAACATTGTTAATTTGATGAACAGAATTTTAATTGTAAACAATTTTTACTGTAAACAATTTTTTTTCCTAAAAAAAGATTATTTTACTGCATAACATTTTTTTTTATCACTGAATAAAAGTTCAGTGATTAAAAATTTTTTAAATTTATAAATTTTCACTTTTTGCAGAATTTATTTATACTCTGTTTTATTTTCAAACATTTTTTTTTTATTTTTATTTAAAAAGGAGAAAAAAATATATAAAAAGAAGTAATTAAAGAAAAGTAAGAAACTAAAGAAAATCTTGTTTGGAAAAAAAATAAGTGGAGGAAATTTGAAAGTGGAATCTAATCAAGTATAAATATAAGGTATTTACCATTGGAAACTAATTATGCTAATCAGCTTTTAATTTTTGTGTTCGTTAGAATGTAATTCTGTTAAAATATACCTTAGGGTGTTAATTTTTGCAAACAAAATTTAAAACTAACGTCTATTTGTTTTTATAAAAATAAAAAATAAAATTTAATAAATTTAATCTTTTTTTTCACAGTTTGAAATTTATTTTTCGATTAAAATTAAAAAATATTTAATATCCTTTTTATAAAAATATAAAAGAAAAAAATTTTAATATTTAATATTTTTTTTATGGAAATATTAAAAAATTTGACCTTTCTTGAATGAATCTAGTATAACAGTCGAGTTAATAATCATTTCATTATCATACGATGAAAATTACGTAAGCGCAATCGTTTTATTTTATTTTCTCCTAATATTAATAAACAATAAATAACTTATCAAAAAAAAATAAATAAATAAATTCAAATACTTTATTAGAAAAATTATCTAATTTTCTAATTTCCGGTTGCGAGAGAAATTTTATGATGTTAATTATGACAAACTAATTGCTCTGGATCTTAATTGTTACCTTCATAAATAATCTATATCTAGGTAGAAGTTCAAAGAAACTTTGAAGGTACTTTACGAAGGACAATAACACAATAAATTCAAGGTCACATTTAATTTCAAATTGTTCAAGTTAATTTTGTTCAAATTAGAGAATAAAAAAAATTATTTTTTAATTTCAAGAGAAGAAAAAATTTTTATGTTATAACGGAAACGGGAGGTCAATGACGAATGAAGTAACAGCTTCACAAGCGTAACTATCAAAAGTTTCATTCGACAATTTGCAAAAATTTCTCAACATGTTATCATTTTGCCTCGCAAAGGTCACGTTAATTCAATACATTGTTTATTCTGAAAAACAGTTTAAGAATTATTATCGTCAGAGTTTGAATTTTTTTTCAAACGGCGCACTGATGTATATAAATAGAATTTTCTGATAAGTATATGGAAATTTTTATATTAACAATTTTTTTTAAATTTACAATCATTTTTAAAACACTTTTCTTTTCTGAATTTCCACTTTTTTTCTATTGTATTTTCTTCTATTGTAAATTCGATTTACAATCACCTGAGATTCTTAATTAAATTGCGAGAAAATATTACAATTTCGCCAAAAAGAAAAAGTTTGAAAAGAAAAGAAATTACAATTTAGAAACAAAAATTTTAAACAATTTTATAAAAAATAAAAACTTTTAATATTAAAAAATAAGTGAAAATTACCAAATTCGAGAAAAATTACCAATAGATTAGTAAATAAAATAATATTCAATTTTTTAATGTTTACAATAATACAAAAAATGTCATACCCGCTTTTTGAAGCTTCAGTAGCTTGAATACTAAGTATTCGAAGTCTATTCGCTTCGTCGCGTAATTTTTGCAAATTTTTTGAAGCACTCATGACTAATATTACTTTAATCAATCCGAACAAGTTGAAGATTCAATATAAACTGCCGGTTGATTGTCCATGAAGTATACGCGGTACTCAGGAGTTGGTCACTCCCACTTTCAACTAAAATCATTCAACATAGTCTACTGCCACCTATTACGAGTGCCAACAATCTTGGCAAAATCAATAATTTTTACAAATAATTTCAACAAAATTCACCATTATTTATCACTGTTCGATATAAATTAATATTTCTCAACAAATTTTCCGTACAATTTTTCCAAAATCATCTCTTCTATTAATAATGTTTCAAGTTTTCGGAAATAAAAATTAGTTTGAAAAATTGAAAAAATCGAAAACTACTCGAGTGGAGAATTAAAGGGGAAAAAATTGATAAAAAGGGAAAATTGAGGGAGAAATGGGGGAAAAATAATTTTTTTCGAAAATTAAAGAGACATCTAGTTGATCAATGATAGAGCTTATTTTTCTCGTCGATATTCTTTGAGGAAAATTTCCATACCCTGGTCGCCTCTGCGCGTTGAATTCTTACGATTATTGACAGAAACGCGCGTATTGAACGAATATGCACCTCGCAGGATTTAGAATGGCAAAATTATACCATGTTAGAGTCATAAAATAAAAATATTATACAAAAAGAATTTTTTTTCTAAAGCAAACGTAAAATTATTTTACAGTTTTTAGAAATAAAAATTATTCAAAACTGGTAATTATCAGAAATATTTATTTAAATCGAAACGAAAAGTAATATTATAATAAATGGAGAAATAATTTTAATAAAATAAAGAAATATCTAGCAAAAAAAATGAGAAACAAAAAATAATTATTCTCTATTGAAGAAATTGAAAATTATCTAATTCATGTCCAACAATTAAATATCATTTCGCATCGAAAACGAAAAATATAATCAGAGAGCATAATTTCTTTTATACCTCACATTATTAGGTTATATAAGAAATCTTGGAATTAAATTTATCTCTAACGATGAGAGTCTAAAAACCACGTGGCGAAAAAAATAGTTTAAAGTAGTTTTTCTTGAATTAAAAACAATTTTTTAAATTAAATATAGTAAACGAATAAATAACTAGATTGAAATTCATTAAATGCTAATTATTCACTTCAAAAATATATTTAACCACTGTATATTTTTTTAAATTTCTAATTTTTAAATCCAAATAATCAAAAAATAACTCAAAGTCCGTTTTTATAATTTAATTCTCTTTCAAAACTTTCTATTCTGACGATTCTGCCGCATATACTTAATCTTATACCATAGTCGGTGTAAGATAATTCCTTGTGTTATACGATAGTATTATTAACTCATTTTCTTCTTTTTACAGAGGTAAAATTACTCTTCAGAGTCTTCACCTTTTTTAGAACGGTCTCACACATAAAATCCGAGTCGACGCATAAACGATTCAAACTTTCCTTGAACCGCGTGTCACGTTTATTTAACAAAACTATATGTTTTGTCATGTAAACAAGTATAATATAATTTTTTTAGCAGCAACAATATTTCTAAAGCATAACTGGAGTTCTACTTTATACTTTATCAATAACATTGTTTTACAGCAGTCAACAGCGGTAAATTTACAATTTAAATATAAAATTCCAATGCCGCGACACAAAATAACCTTATAGAATTTTTCACTCTTTTAACTACTTCGAGTAACACTATAGGCTGGATTCATGAAAGAGAATTATGGAATAAACAAAAATTGCAAAACCTACATTTTTAGAAATTAATAAAACATTCTATTTTATTACAGAATTTGATAAAAACATGTATAGCAAAATGCCGCGACCTTGACTAGCAACACGCTCAAGAATGATCTATTTTCAACTCACTTATCTATATATATGATCCTATCAATTTTTTCAAATACTTTTTCGAAACAATTGAATTATTGAAGGGACAATACAAAATTGTTTCAAACTTAAATAATTAATCTACTGGTTTTCTCACAATTCCGTTATAAACTTTATTTACAGTTTTCCCAGGCAATTTTCAAACAAAAAAAAAAACTTCGCTCAAGGAAGAAAACTGGTAATATTTATTAGAGTAATTATTTCTATTACTAATAATAAAAAAACGATTAAAACTTACCCCGATTTACTGGCTTGCGTGGCCTGAATAGAATGGATTCTCAACTTGTTAGCGATGTCCTTCAATTCTTGAACAGTTTTTGACTCTGGTTTATGATAATGAGGCATTTTGAATGTATTTTTGCAAGTTTTAAATCTGAAACGATTTGTTTTATTTAATTTATGTTATAATTTCAACAAAAAAATCGGCAATTGAGTAGCACACCGGCAACAAAAGCACGCAACAAGTTGATATCACACAACGGAATGGAATCAATTTACATGTGGCAGGAGGCAAAATGAAAAACTTACGGCGGGTTTTCATTGAATCTTCAAATAATGGCCGTTTCTGCTCTGTGATTGGTGCGCATTTCGGAGCAAGTTCCGCGCGAAATTTAAATACTTCAAAAGCTATGCTATGGAAAAAAGTATTATTTTCTTAATAAAATATTACATTAAACAAATTTATTTTCCTAAAAAATAGAAAAGGGGATTTCTAATACAGAAATAAGAGAAAAATAACGAATTTCCAGTTAAATAATATTTTTAGTTAGTTAAATTAAATAATACGAAAATTCCTTACGAGTATCGACCAATAAAATCAGAGAATTCAAAAAATATTTAAATTCGCGCGTGCGTAAAGATAAATTTTAAAAATTTTTTTGCCTAAAAAAATTAATTTTATTAATTAATTAATTTATTTAAATTAAATGAAATTAGAAAATTTTCAATTCAAATAATGTTTTTATTTCGACATTCGGATCAGGCGTAAAATGACAAAACTCTATTTCTAAATTTCCTTAATAAAAGCATGCGTCTTTAAATGCGCCAAAATAATATTCACATCTACTCACGAGTCGTTTTTTTACATTATATTTTGTATATTTTTGAAATGTATGTACGATTTGAAAAAAAATTTTTTACTCTGAAAAATTATTTCAAAAAACGGAAATATCTTCAGAGATAAAAATTGTCCAAAGAAAATGTATCAATATGAGAAAAAAAAGGTAAAGCACACTTTGATTTAGAATATAATCTCCATAATCAATCATTAATTAATAGTATCAATATTAATATTAATTATGTTTCGATTATTAATATAATTATTTAATAATCATTAATGTAACTATTTATTAATTATTAATATAATTGTATATTAATTATTAATGAAATTTATTAATTATTGCATAATTATTTATTAATTATTTATTAATTATCGCATAATTATTAAATATTAATATTGTCAATTAATTAGAAAAAACGTACGATACACTTTGAGATTTATTTTCGGAGAAAAGCAAAAATAAATAGTGTGAACTGTGAAAAATTCAATATTCGACGATTTATATTAAAAAAAACTAATTCTAACAATTCTTTGGACACTACAAAAATCGATTAATAATCCACATATTTACAGCGATGCCTTACAACAAAGTTTTTGTAATTAATGTTTAATAGAGAGCTTTTAAAAACAGTCAAAAGAAAAATTCTTTCCGAATTTTTATTGACTGACGTACTGAAAAAAAATTCAAACAATAATATCGAGACAAGCATACAAAAAAGCAATTTTTCCTTTTATAAAACGAATTACTTTCTAAAAATCGTTAAAATTAGATAAAAAGCAATTTTTATTTTGTACTCTTGTCTTGATATTGTGACAGGAATTATTTATAATTTAACGCATTCTTTCTGATTTAAAACTTTTGTCATTTTAATTTCAAGGAATTTCTTTTTTGATATGATCAAAATTTGGAAAAAAAAATTCTAACAGATTAAAATTAATTCATTTGAACTATTTTCTGTACTTAAAAAACATTTTTTTTTAATTCAGTTAACATCAAGTTAAAAATCCTTAAAAATAAATTACGCATTTTAATACCTATTGCTTTATAATGTGTAATTAGCTACTTAGGCTTTTCGTTTCCTTTTATTTTTGGACTTATTGAACATTCTAAAATGTGTTCTATAATATCTGTAACACTTTTTCTAAAATAAGGGTTTTGATTTTATTTTTACATAATCTTAAAATGTCAATTTCTGACGGAATTCCCTCGTTATTTTTTTTCACCTGGATGGACACTGCTCTGTTTCTGTTTTTTTTATCTTAACGCATTAGCATCTATTCATGGACAAGTGCTTTTAAAGCCGAAGGTACAATTTTATTTAGCAGAGTTTGACAAAAAACAAAATTTCATCAACTAACTCTACAATAATATGTTCTTTCGATATTTTACGCTCTAGTTGAAAAAGAAGATTCTTTCTTTTTTTTCATTCGAAAAAAAAATCTTTTTCACAGAACGTGGTGACAATAAAACTGTACATTTCATGAGTCTCGTCATTATACCTTAAAAATAACTGTACAAATTTGTCATTTCATTAATCAGAATCAATTAATCAAAATCAATCGGTATATTCAAAAATTGTTATAGATTACAAAATCGAAATTGAAAAATTATTTTTTTTTTAATAGAAAATAAAAATGTTTTATAATTATGCACAATTAAAAAATTTGTTAATTATTTACGTAATTCCGACGCAGACTTCTTTTATCTCAATCAATTTTTTTTTATTTTACAATCGTACGAAATAAGTTTTTCTTTTCATACTCTTAACTAATATACATATATATATATATATATATATATTATCACAACACTACATATATTTTTTTCGATTATACCATATTTATGTGCTGAATAAAGAGTCGTTTTTTAAAAAAATAAAATTCGAAATAAATAAAATTTCTTCTACTAAAATCTCTGTTTAAAGAAAAATAAAGAAAAATAACAGAAAAATAAATAAATTATCAAATTTTGTCTTTAAATTCAATTTTAATTGGAATTAAAGAATTGTTAATAGTAAATAATTTGAAATTTTGTCATATTTCGAGAAAATCTAATGATTTTGTTAATGAAAGAAATTTTAATTAATGTCAGTGCATGCTTCCTTTAATCAAATTGAGTTTCTCAAATTGAGATTCTCTCGTTGATAAAACATTAATAATACGGAAGTATTTAATTTAGAATTATTGTAAAATTGTCATGTATAAGTTAATTAATAATTAAATAATCTTCACCTATTTATTTACATTATTTCCACGGCATTTTCGCGATAAAAATAGGATGCTGAGAAAACGTTGATTCGCTTGAAAGAAAATATAAAATTTTTCAATTTTTTTCCCTTTTTGTAACTTTAAGTATATTAATTTTCAATTATTAATAAAATAAAAATTAATAATTTTTATTCGTAGTATAAATAAATATTCTTTATATAAAATAAAGATTGAAAAATTAAAATCCACAAAAATTTTGAAAGTATTTGCTAATTAAATCGTAAGACACTGATAATAAAAACTTTAAATATTTATGTTAACTAAAAGTCGAAAGGTAATTTATGAAAACATTGTTAATTAAATTTGAAAGTAAATTAAATTAGAAATTTAAGAGAATTTTAAAAACTCGGATATTAAAAATTGAAAAATTTATTTTCCCCTTCAAGCGCAAACGCAGAATGCATAAAATTCCCCAGTTGAGAAGTTTAAAAACTTAAAAAAGAATATTTTAATTTCAAGGCAAGTTTCGTTAATTGGAAGAAATTTTTGATTTTTCCGACGAGTTTTGAGTTTATAAATATTGTTCTTAATCTTATTGAAAAAAAATACGAATATTAAACTAAAAATAATTCAACGTTTAAATATCTAAATTAAAGTCATTCACCTGCGTCAGTCTCTATGATCAATAGAAAAAAAGTCTTAAATAAAAATCACTTGAAAAATATTCGTAAACTTTAAAAAGCTGTTAATTGATAAAATTCTCTAAAAAAAAGTATTTGCGACTTTTTCCCCTACTTTTCTAAAAAAAAGAACATTTTTTTCTCTAAAAAGAAAATCAAGTGTAGCAAAAAGGCTTTGTTTTCGATTAAATATCGATTCGGATAGATAAAAAGACTGTCTCTCTCTCTCTCTCTCTCTCTCTCTCTCTCTCTCTCTCTCTCTCTCTCTCTCTCTCTCTCACCTTAAGAATTCCTCCCGGAAACGCAGAAAGGACAAAGAAGGCGGTTAAACTGCCATTTTACTCCAAAGTAGCTACACTTAATTCTTAATCGTTTTGTATATAATACAAAAAATCTTCAAACAGTAGTTCCGTATGTGCTGAACATAACTCTAGTGGTATCGGTATCAAGAGTGACATCCTCAGGTGAAGCAAGATCAACTTTCACAGAGCCGGAATTATTTCTTCGTCTGGTCATACCGCCACCCCAATTAGACAGGGTCCAGTGATAAGTTTCACTCTCCTTCTCTTCGTTTCCACTTTCCTGTGTCTCGTCAGCTTTATCCAGTCCCGTGTCAATTGACACTGACGACTGCGATGCTACTGAATCAAAACTCGAATCTCCATTTCCATTGCGAAAACGACTCACCGTTTCAATTGCCATTTCACCTGGTGATTCCTCAATAGCACGAAGAATATTTTGACAAATCTCCGAATCAAGCGGAATTGGATCCTCCGAGTCGCGATTGTGTATTGTAACGGCTATATGCGCTGGATGTGGAACTGGAAGTGGAATAACAAGTTTCTCCGCACTGTACGGTCGCATTTGTCTCTTCCACGGCTGCCAGCGACCCTCGGAGTCGCTGTTTCTCGACAGTGTGCGACGTCGGAATTTCGCCGATGTTAATAGTCCCGTATTCTCACTGTATTCATAATTAAAATTGTTGTAATTAAAAAATTAAAAAAATAATAATTAAAAAATTGTAAAGAAAAATAAAGAAAATACAATTGTTAGAATATAAATTTAGTTACAATAGTTAACATTACAAATTTGTATAACAAATTGTATCCAAATTGTATTTTTGAATTACCAACGATTCTTTTATAAAAAATAAATTTAATTAATTACCTTCGCTTGTCGGACTTTCGGCTGTTGCTCGGCTGCTTGGATCTTGGATTAAAGGCCGATACCTCGAGATAGGGACTGTGAACTTGAATATTTCCACGTGGTGCGTAGACAGCGCCTAGAAGATCGGGACCATTTATTCCGCCCAATTCAGTGTTGTGCACCATTTCTGTGTAACGGGTTAAATCAATTCCAGGATGTGGTTCAAGTTTGAACTTTGTGTCCGTATCGTCTAGTGGTTGTAGGAAATTTAGACTAAAAATTTCTGCGTACATTAGACCGGCAAGGCCAGCCCAGTCTCCAACACTCAGACCTTTGTTCTCCCAAAAATCTTCTTCGCTCGTTGTCAGTCGTGCAAGCACATGTGACGGATAAAGACGCTCCAGCATCATCGCTCCTTGCTGAATCACCACCTAAATCATTGCAATTTTTTTTTCGAAATTAAAATTTATTAATAACTTTTTAACTTAAATAAAATTATATTTCCTATTCATTCTTATTAATAAGAAATATAATTTTTTTGTAATAAAAAAATTAATGTAATAAAATTTAATAAAATAAATGTAATAAAAAATATTAGTAACTATTGAATTTAATAATTAAATACATTTAAATTATAGGTTAATAATTAAATAAAATTAAATTATAATTTAATAATAATTAAATTTAAAAACATCAATACTAACTTCTTTTCTAAAACTAATACTTAATAATTATTATTTTTCTATAGGAATTAAGATTTTAAAAAATTTCAAATTAAAACCTTTTGTAATAATTTAGAAGAATATTATTTAAAAACATGAAGAAATCGATAACTCCGAGTCTTCGACTCAGAGTACTCAATTTCTTCATGTTTTCTAATAATTAAATATGACAGTGATAAAATCATTATTTTATATTATAAAAATATTATTACTGTAACTTTTTCAAAATTATTTTCATCATTTCAACTCACACTTACATTCAATTACTATTTTTTAGAATTTTTAACAAAAATTATTCTTTAACTAAATTATTTTTAATAATTTTTGAAAAAGATCTTATTTAAGAATTTTCAAATCCATTTGTTTACAATTTAATTTTACGAAATTTCATCGATTATTCGAAAATTCTTCAATTGTATTAGAAAATAAAATTCTACAGATTTGATAGTTCAAAGTATAAAAAAATTCAAATTTTCAAAGATTTTAATTTGAAATCTTTCCAAAATTCAATTATTTCTGAAAATTCACCCTATAATGCTTTTAATATTCAATTCTTATCAAAAATTTTAACTAAAATTCGTTATAAAATCACTTTTTATTAGAAAATTCTACAAGAATTCAATTATTTAAATACAAAAAAAATAATTTATTGAATAATTGAATTCTCATAAAGAATTTTTTCAATAATTAATAATTTCAATAATTAAATAATTCAATTCTTTCGATAAATCTTAATAAAACTTTGAAGAATAATTACAGTTTTCGAGAAATTCGATTAAAATTGTATTAAAACTAATTAAAAATTTTGAGAATAATTGAAACTTTGACAAGAATTTTATTAAAATTTTTGAAAATAATTGAATTTCGGAGAAGAATTTTATTATTTATAAAGATAATTGAAATTTTGATCAGAATTTTTTTTAATTTTTGGACAAAATTGAATTTTTGCGAAGAATTTTATTACTTTTGGAAATAATTGAATTTCTGCAAATAATTAGTAATTTTTCCAAAATTCAATTTTTTAAAAATGATTTTAACTAAATTTCTTCTATAAATCTTATTATTTTTGATAATTAATTAAACATATATTTAAAAATTTAACTAATTTCAAAAGAATTTGATTTATTAAATTTTTTTGCAAAAATCTAAGTTCTTTCTAATTAAATTCATTGAAAATTTCTAAAATTTAAAATTAAAACCTTTTGAAGTTCATCTATTTATGAAAATTGTAAACGCAACTCTTTCAAAATTCAATTAATTTTGAAATATTTAAGTAAAATTATTCACGAAATAATTTATAAGTAATAATTTTGTAATGTAGCTCCTTTTCAAGAATTAAGTTATTTGAAAAGAAATTATTCTTATTTTGACTGAAAATTTTGAGATTAAATTTTTATTACCTTCAAGTCATAAGTAGCTAATTTTATTTTACTGCGAACAACAACGCCAAGACCTGTTTGTAAATCTTTCCTACGTCGATCGAGTTTTTCATGGAGAACGGAAATTAAACTTCTCGCTTCTTTTTCCAGTGTTCGATACGGATCCTTTGTTTTGGCAAGACTCGCGGCAAATGGACCAAAGCATGCTTCGACAAATTGTGTAAAATCTCGTTGAGGCTGTGTTATTAGTCGTTCCATTTCCTGTTGGAATGCCAGCAATTCGTCGAGTTCCAGTTTCGCTTCGAAAGCTGCTAACGCTTGTTCCGGTCTTATCTGAAAAAAATACACTCATGAAAATTTATTCCTTAAAAATTCAATTTTTATTATCTATCTTAATTACTTAATCATTTTTTTTTTAGAAATTTATTTCTTCAATAAAAATTCCCATAAAGATTCTCAAGTTTAGAATATTCAACAGAATAAAAAATCGAAAATAAGATTCTGAATATTATTATTAATATTAATTCGATAATTATAAACTTGAAAAGAACTTACTTGGTAATAATAATCCGAAGCCAAACCAGGACCGGCAATTCGTTTGACAACAAAACTGTCGCTAGCGGGAACTCTCCCTCTATTTTTGATGACGAGATGAAACATTAACGTATCCCAAACGACTCTAATGCAATAACGTATCACAGACACTGTTAATATTGAAAAAGAAATGATAGGACAAATGAAGAGGGCGACGAATAATGCAGCGATCGGTTGTAAAAAGCCCTGAACACCAATATTCCAACATAAAGCTTCCAAAACGACGAGGTAGCGATTTTGACTTGGCTCAGGACAATCCAAGTCAACGACCAAAGCCATAAACGAATGTAAAGTTAGCGTTATTAATGGCATCCTACAAAGCAACATTTAAATATCAACATCCTTTCAAAATTATTCCTTCACATTTAAATTATACATATTTGTTAAATTTAACTATTGGCTACATTAATTTGAAATTTAATTAACTAGAAGTAGAAGTTAATCAATAAAAGTAAAATTAAAGGAAAAATTAAAACACTGCAATGAAGTACTTTCCCAAAGTGAAAGTTTTCAGTTTAATAATTATCAGGGTTGCCATAAAAAATTAATTTAGTTTTTCCCTGACTTTACCCTGATTTCCAGAAAAAATTTTGACTTTTTCTCTGACCCTAAAGAATATTTTGATTCACTCTAAAAATGATTAGATACTCAAAAAAATGTTCTATTACACTTATTTACGAATTTCTTTAATTAAAAAATTATTCGAAAACAGCAATAAATTCTTTTTTAATAAATATTTAATCATTATTATTCCATAGGAATAATTTTTCAAAAAGAAAAATTAAATTATTTACCAAAAATTTTAATAAAATTAATTGCATAAATTCAATCACTTTTACAAATAATAAAAATAGTTATAAGAATTCAATTATTTTCATAAATAATAAAATTTTTCATAGGATTTCAATTAATTTTAATACAATTTTAAATAAACACCTCGAAAAATGGAATTATTTTCTTAAATTTTTGCAAGATTTCAATTACATTTAACAAATAATAACATTCTTCGCTGTAAATATTTTCAAAATCTACTATTTTAATAAAAATTCTCAAAAGAATTCAATTATTTAAAAATATATAAAAAAAATTCGTTGCAGGAATTCAATTATTTTCATAAACAATAAAACTATTTACAGGATTTCAATTATTTAAAAAAAAGGTAATAAAATTCGTTTCAAGAATTCAATTATTTTCATAAATAATTAAATTCTTCACAGGATTTCAATGATTTTTAATACTATTTTATGTAAATTCTTCAAAAAATGTAATTATTTTTAAAAATTATTTAAATTCTTCTAAAGAATTAAATTATCAATTACTTTCAAGAATTCATGCTATAATGCTTTTAATATTCAATTATGATTTAAAATTTTAAATGAAATTTATTTTTAAATCAATTTTTATTAGAAAATTCTTCAAGAATTCAATTATTTAAATACAAAAACAAATAATTTATTGAATAAATAAATGTTTCTCAAAATTAAATTCTCATTAAGAATTCTGTCAACATAATTGAATTTTTTCGACGAATTTTAATAAAATTTTCAAGAATAATTACATTTTTCGAGGAATTCGATTAAAATTGTATTAAAAATAATTAAAATTCTATGATGATTTTTATTATTCATGGAAATAATTGAATATCTATAAAAAAATTTATTATTTATATGAAAATAATTGAATTATTGCGAAGAAATTTATCAAAAATTTGTAAATAAATTGAATTCCTGTGAATAATTTTATTACTTTTGAAAATAATTGAAATTATGACGAGAATTTTTTTTTAATTTTTGAAAATAATTGAATTTCTGCAATCATTTGTAACTTTTCCAAAATTCAATTTTTTCTAGTACTTTAATAAAAATCCCTGACTTTTCCCTGATTTCCCTGACAAATTTTATTTTCCCTGAATTTCCTGATTTCCTGATAATGTAATGTGTATAAATTTTAAATAAAAAACTATATTTAAAAAGAGAAAAAAGCGAGAAGAAGAAAAAGAAAAGTCTGAAAAAATTAGATATAACATCAGAAATAGAGAATAAAAAATTGAAAATAATTAATACTCACCACATAATTGCAGTAAGTGCAATAAAAAGGGAGCCAAAACTGATAAGTATGCAGACGACGGGAAAAATGAAGAGTATCACAAGTGTTCCTAGAAGACCTTTAACACCATAATTCCATAATCTATTTATGTGTCTCGTCATTCCTTTTCCAATGAAACCTGTCAACATTTTTTTAAAAAAGAAACTTTGAACTAAAAATCGAAATTAAAAACGATATTAAATTTAAATAAATTACGATTACAATTTGCAATTGTACTTTACATCTGTAATTGTAAATTTATGTTTATAAAAATTCTTTACCAGTATCAGGCTCTGTCTCGAAGTGTGTTCGACTTTTACTAATGTGCCTCCAAAGTGTCGTCAGTCGAGAATAAAGAGTTGGAGTTTGCGAAGATTTTCTTGGGAAGAGAGTTCCATTTAATTGGCTAAGTTCTAAATCAGGCGTAAATGGTTCAACTAATAAAAGAGCTTTTAACGATATAGGACTGCACCAGGGCACTGCAACTCCCAACAGAAACATTGCATTCCAAGTCCAACACCACGTTCTTGCAATGTAATTTATCCATCGCCACATTGGCCATCTGAATTTAGAAATATTTTTTTATTTATTTATTTCAAGATATACGGGACTTTATTTTTGAAAATAAAAATAAAGAATTCTAAAGAGATAAATATTAAAATTAAGTAAATTACAATTGAAGGAAAGGAAAATTAATGAAGTAAATAACCTCGTTGTTGTCGTATGGATTATTTCACGTTCCACTAGGAAGACTGGCTGATTTGGATCGGCACGCGGTGTCGTGATGGAAGTCGGAGTATTACTCAAAACAGTTGGTATAATTTCCGATTGACCTTGAAAACTCCGTCGAACAATCCAATTTCTCGGGAGCCAAATTTGCGTCGGCCATTGGAAACTTCTTGTTGGTGTTTTTACTTTTCGTAATTCTTTTAACAAAACCGGTTCTCTCTGCAAAAAAAATTATCGAATAAATAAGTTGAAAATAACTGAGATATAAATAAAATAAATAAATAAATATATAACATTTTAATTTCGTAACGATTTCATTTTCTATTTTTGTTACATTACCTCTCGCATAAAAGTAAGATCACGATTAAGAAAATAAACAGTCTGCTGGAGATTCTGTTGGCTACACAAGGCAAGAGCTTCTTCGTGTGCACTCCACTCGCACTCTTCGATGAAATTTGTCTCAGCTTCTCGCATTCTGTCCCGCATCCATGGACCAATTCGAGACAATACTGGATGCTCGTGTTCTATGTGCTTTCGGAGTGCGTCTTTGGTTTGATTCAATTTCCGCTGAACATTTTCAACTGCCCTGTGCATTAGGACAACAGATTGCGCCTGCTGTAGAAGAAGCTGCGCGATTCCTTCACCCAAAACGTGTATGTCCGGATGAGACAGAATACTTGAATACACACGTTGCAAATATTCGCGCATTACAGCCTCGTTCACCTCCTAAAATTGTTTTCATAAATTAATTCTCTCATTAAATTATATAATAATTGAAAAAGAAAATTTTCCTTTTCAACAAATATAGAAAATATAAATTACAAGGTAGCCAAAAAAATTTAATTTTGGTTTTTCCTGATTTTCAGTCAAAAATTTTGATCTTTTCTCTGACCATAAAGAATATTCTGATTCAGTGTAAAAATGATTAGATACTCACAAAAAAGGTTTTTAATTAATTTATTTAGGAATTTATTTAATTGTAAAATTATGAGAAAACATCAATAACTTCGTTTTTAAATAAATATTTAATGGAATTAATATTTTTCCGTAGTAATTAAAATTTTTCAGAAAATTCAAATTCAATCTTTTTTAAAATTCAATAACTGATAAAAATATTATTGTAAAATATGAAGAAATCGATAGGAATCAATTTCATCATGTTATATAATAATTAGATGACCGTGTAATAAAATAATTATTTTTTATTATAAGAATATTGTTACTGTAACTTATTCAAAATTATTTGCATCATTCCAATTCAATTATTATTTTCTAGAATTTTTTAACTAAAATTCTTCCTTTAATAAATTATTTTTAATAATTTTTGAAAAAAGTTCTTTCAGAATTTTCAAATCCATTTGTTTACAATTCAATTTTACGTGAAATTTCGATAATTCGGAAATTCTTTAATTAAATATTTCTTAGAAAAAAAAACTTCATAGAATATAAAAAAAATAGATTAAACTTTTTCAAAATACAATTATTTCTAAAAATTCACCCTATAATCATTTTAATATTCAATTCTTATTTAAAACTTTAACTACAATTCATTTTTAAATTAATTTTTATTAGAAAATTCTACGTGAATTCAATTATTTAAACACGAAAAAAAATTATCAAAATTTTTTAAAATAATTGAATTTTTTCGAAGAATTTTACAACTAATGAAAATAATTGAACTTTTGGGACGAATTTTATTAAAAGTTTTTTTTAATAATTGAATTCCTTTGAAGAATTTTATTGAAATAGTAGATATTGAAAATCATTGAATTAAGAGAAATTTTGTAATTGAATTTCGGCGAATAATTTTGCTATTTACAAAGATAATTGAAATCTTGACTAGAATTTTTAAGCAATTTTTAAAAATAACTGAATTCTTGTGAAAAATATTAGTTATTTATGAAAATAATTAAATTTTCCAAAGAATTTTATTAAAATTCCTGAAAATAATTGAATCTCTGAAAAAATTGTAGTAATATTTTTGAAAATAATTGAATTGATGCAACGAATTCTATTACTTGTAAAAATAATTGAATTCATGCAATGAATTTTATTAGAATTCCTGAAAATAATTGAATCTCTGAAAAAAATTGTAATATTTATGAAAATAATTGAATTATTACTAAGAGTTTTATATATTCAAGCAATTTTTGAAAATAACTGAATTCGTGTGAAGAATTTTATTACTTTTGAAAATAATTGAATTGAAGACCTGTGGCAACCCTGTATTTTATTATATTATATTTAATTGAATTGAATAGTATGGTTTCCTTACTCTTTCGATTTCTTCGTCCGTCTTCTTCTGAGCTCTCAATTCCGAAATGAGTCTTTCTCTGAAATGCAAAAACCAGCCTCTCGTTTCTCTCTCCAAAATGGCAACTAAAGTTGGCAAAGCTTTTCTAATTATATCTCTGCAAAATAGTCGAAGATCAACGGCAGCTCCTCCAGGTGTTCCGAAAACAAAAGGAACTGGTACCGGCAACAATTGAGAGGACTCTCTTTCCACTTCAAACTTCTCCATAGTCGCTCGTCGAAGTTGTCTTCGTACGAAACCGCAGAGCAACTCGAGCGAGTCTTCATACTCCGACTGAAAATACAAGAATTAAATTATTTATTTGGGACTTAAATAATGAAGTAACAAGTAAATGATAAATAAAGAAATAAATAATAAATGCATGAGAAAATAAATGAAGAAATAATAAATAAATGAGTAAATAAATTAAGAAATAGTAAATGAATGAGTAAATAAAGTAAGAAATAGTAAATGAATGAGTAAATAAAATAAGAAATATTAAATGAATGAAGAAATAAAAAAATAATGAATGCTAATAATAATAAATTATATATTTACAATTATCATCTGAAATATTCTTACTTTGCAAACTAATTCAGCAACAAGATATCTACATCTTTCTTCGCGAATTTTGGCATCTAAATTCTGTGCTTGAAGCGATGGCACGCCAACTAAAATATCTGCAAGTAAATTACAAACAATTAATCGCTAATTTAATTAATATTGCTAATAATTAATCTTTTTGTACTTGATTATAATTTAAATGTCACAGAAAAATTGTAATTAATTTGCTTGAGCATAAAAAGTTGAAATTTGTAAATTACCAAGAAGCCTAAGAAGACCAGTCAGCATTGCTCGGAATGACTGCGAAACACTAAAACAGTGGGACACTAATCTTGCTTTTGCAGTTACAACTAAAAATCTCGTTGCTAAAGCGAGATCCGATAAAAGAGCATCTCTTCTTCGATCTCGGCCACGTTGTAAAAGAGAACTCAATCTCCATCTGTGCATTTGACCAGGAAAATTGATGGAATCAACTTCAAATTCTCTGTAAAGAAAGAAACAAAATTCTTTTAAAATCAATCATTATTTGCCAACTGACGTAAACATTGAACAATATTGATTTTATCATTATTTATTGAACAATTAATTTCACAACTATGAACGAAACAATAAATTGAAATTTATTTAATATTTAATAAATATATAATTTATATGGAAATTTATATTTATAAATAAATAATTATTATCTATTTATTTAACATTTGATATTTAATAACAATATTTAATAAACTTATTTAATATTTAACAAGCTTCAATATTAAATTAAAAACATTTTTTAAACCTTTAATTTACAGTTTAGTTAAACAGGGTTACCATAAAAATTCAATTTTGTTTTTCCCTGACTTTTCCCTGATTTCCAAGACTAAATTTTGACTTTTTCCCTGACCCTAAAGAATATTCTGATTCACTCTAAAAATTATTTTCATCATTTCAATTAAATTATTAATTTCTACAATTTTTAAATAAAATTCTTCAAATCAATTATTTTTAATAATTTATGAAAAAGTTCTCATTTGAGAATTTTCAAATCCATTTGTTTAAAATTCAATTTTACGAAATTTTGATTATTCAGAAATTCTTCAATTAAAGATTTTAATTTGTAACCTTTACAAAATTCAATTATTTCTAAAAATTGCAATTATTAATAACTTCTTCAAAATTCAATTATTATCTTAAAATTAAATTATGTATAAACATAATTTTATCAACAAATTTGTAAATAATTGAATTCTTTCGACAAATTTTAATAAAATTTTTAAGAATAATTAAATTTTTCGAGGAATTCTATATTAAAATTGTAATAAAAATAATTGAAATTCTGCAACGAGTATTATTATTTTTGAAAATAATTGAATTATTGCGAAGAATTTTCTAAAAAAAGTTTCAAACAATTGATTTTTTTTTAAATTTATGGAAATTCTATTTTTATAATTGAATTGCAGTGAAATTTTAATTATTTTAGAAAAAAATTGAATAATAGTGTAGAACTTTGTCAAAATTGTTTTTAAATAATTGAATTCTTTTGGGAAATTTTATTAAAATACTAGATATTAAAAATCATTGAATCCAGGAAAATTTTTGCAAATAGTTGAAATTTTGCAATGAATTTTATTAAAATTCTTGAAAATAATTGAATTTTTCAATGAATTTTATTAAAATTCTTGAATCTAATTGAATTTTATCGAAGAATTTTGCTATTCATTTATAAAGATAATTAAAATGTTGACAACAATTTTTTTTAGATTTCTTGTAAATAATTGAATTTCTGCAAAGAATTTTATTAATTTTGAAAATAATTGACTTCTTATGACGAATATTGTTATTTATGAAAATAATTGAATTGTACAAAGAATTTTATAAAAATTCCTGAATATAATTGAATTTCGGATAAAATATTTTGCTACATATTTATAAAGATAATTGAAACGTTGTTCTTCAATAAAATTAACTTATTAAAATTTTTAAATATTAAGTAATTAAATTCTAAACATTTAATTTTTTCCAATTCTTTTAATAAGAATCTCTGACTTTTCCCTTATTTTCCTGATTTGTGGCAACCCTGTTAAACATTTAGAAGAAAAAACAGGATTTTCAAAAAATTCTGAACCAATTATTAATCTTTTTTCTGTCTATTATGGTAAAATTGAACTTAAATGTTTTTCTGTAAAAGGCCAGCAACATTTTGAACTTTCTATTTTGCCCATGATTTTGCTTCTGGTAATTAGAATGTAAATTTTCAATACACAACAAACAGGTAACTAAAAAGTTTTCTACTTGATATAATATAAAATTAAAAACATGCGGAAATTGCTACATAAAGCCATATTATATTTTTGCGTTAAGAGAATAAAAAATAGTATATTAAACATATAATTGGAATATTAATAATAATTAATATTTTTTCTATTAATTAATTCTATTAATTTGTCATAAAGAAATGTTATTTTTTTTATCGAATATTAATTACTATTAATTGTGGAACAAATATATTTATTTATTTTCTGTATTTTTTCTCGTAAAGATAAAAAAAATTGTATTACTACTATCTTGAAGTACTGAGAGATAGGGTAAGTGCGGGTATAGTCGGACAGTACTAGTAGTCGGACACTTTCGTGTTTTTTGTCAAATAAATAATAATGCATTGTGATAATTACTTTAAAAAGTATACTAGACGAATGTGTGAAGTTTATATTTTATTAAAATAGTGTTATTTTCGAAAATAATTAAACAAGAAATATTTTATTTAATGTTTTAAAAATCATGGTGTCCGACTATAGATACAACCATTTTCGAGTAGCGCGATGAGTGGCATAAAGTTTTGTTGATAATTAATCATAAATATTAAAACTTATAGGGTTTAAATATTATATTAATAACTTCTAATTTGCTTTAATTCCATTTTCCAGCAGATAGCAATTAAAAAATTATCTGTTTTACTTTATAAATCCAAAATATCTGACAGATGTCCGACTATAGAAACAAGGGGAAAAAGTGTCCGACTACTAAAGCATTCGTAATTTTTTATTAAAATGTTTATATTTTATTAAATACTCAACTATTTGTAACAAATTTATATGATTTTTAATCCTGAAGAACTCCTTTAATTAATAATGTGCTTATAAACACAGTAGATATTTGCTATTTCAAGAAAAAAAGCATAATTTAAGATTGTATCCTTAAGTGTCCGACTACTAGTGCATTTACCCTAGTACTAGAAAAAAATGTGCAAAACATTTATGAAATGTGATGTATAAAAAAAAAGTTAGCACAAAACGTTTTTGAATTAAAGTTTTCTTTTTTCCATTTTTGAAATCACTCATGAATTAATGTGGAGTGTCGTGAGTGCGTGACATACCCGCATCTCCGAATGCTTTCCAATTGAACGACATTCAGCTTCTTCGGTTTTCCATACTTATCCTTGTGCAAGCTTTAGAAAAATTGTTACAAAATCATCAGAGAGAAATGAACACTCACCCCCGCAGTCATAATTTCTTGACGAAAACAATATTTACTTTTTGCAAATGATTATTTCAAGTGAAAATATGATAAACGCTTTTTAAAATGGCTATTAATAGAAAAATTAATACGAATTTTCTACTCTTTTCTTTTATGGAAAAATTTCAATTTTTCGTGATTAGCTATAAACTAGTGTCTAGAGAATTTTTAATGTCTACTTATAATTACAAAAAATAATGAGTTTTCTATGTTTGTCTATAATGAGAGAAAATAAGAGTATTTTTTTTCTTTGGGGGGAAAAAAAATTACCCTCTTTCGCGAATGCTCTCCAATTGTTTGTTGGTAAGTCTTCTTGGCTCTCCTTTAATGTCCACGGCAACGGCATCCAATTCATCGAAACTCGGTGCAACAAAGAGATCTCTCAAATGATGCTTTTTTCGAGCCAATGTGTCATCACCATCGGTGCATGTCGAGAGAGATGGTGGCAGGGCGATAGGAAATGTTCGCCAGTGATAGAGAAATTGTTGTGCAACTTCTTTAATATTGTGTACGAGTGCCTCGACCTCTGCTGGGGCACCTCGCAAATGCGAGGTCTCAAAATCCACCGGCTCTTTCTGTAGAAAAATTGGACGGAAAATTAATACAATTATTGACTATAATTTTTTTTTAAATAAAGGAAAACATGTTTATAAATTCCATTTGTCAATTACAAATTTTAATTGAAAATGAAATTAAAAATTTCTAAATTTTTAGAAAATAAAGAAATAAATTTTACTCAAAAAAAAAGATCTGCTACATTTATTTACGAATTTCTTTAATTGTAAAACTATGCGAAAACATCAATAACTTCTTTTTTAAATAAATATTTAATAGAATTATTATTATTTCTTAAAATTGAAAACATTTGAGAATAGTTTAGTAAATAATTTTTGATCATATAAATTATACCTCTGGTTGAAATCCATCTCCGCTGATCCGCTGATAAGGTTGAGGCGGAGGATAAGCCTGATGGTTTGACCCCGTATTCGCAGAATTAGCCGAAGTTGTATTTAAATTATGGGGCATCTCGCGAACGAAGAGCGTCCGAGGGGGCTGGGGTCAGCTGCCCCGAACCACAATCTCCTCATACACCATACCGCTGGTTACTACCATTTATCATTCCAACCTGGAAAAAACAAATTTTTTAGTTTTCGCTCAAATAAATTCAAATTTTTCTTAAATTTAAGAATTTTTTTCTTTCTTTTTTTGAAAAACAAAAATAGTCACTTCTAAAAGAAGTTGACTTTATAGAAATAATTCTAATATATGCAAGAAAGGTGAGAACGATATTTAACTCTCATTCTTATTATTATAAAGAAAAGTCAAATGAGTTTCACGAGATCGGATTACGAGTTTTGAAAAGAATCTCTTGACACTACCTCTCGTTTGAAAATCCGATACTCGAGAAGTCACTCGCCCCATCTGAAATAAAGTCAACTATGTCATCTTCCATTTACTTCTCCATATCCAAAACAAGAAAAAAAAGAATTCTCAAAAAATAAATTTCACTTCAAAAAAAGTAATTTATTTTTTTTAATAAAATTCTTTCCATTTTTATTTAAACTAAAATTGTCCTCAGCATCAAATCTACTTAAGCCAAAGGGTGATTGGCCGATTATATAGAGCCATTAAAATATTTTTAGATCACATATGAAAGAGAGTATTAAAATTTTAACAGCGGCTAAAAGTGATGTGGCAAAAAGAGATTAAAATAATATTTAACTGTCCATTTTCTATATTATTTATTTGAGAGCATTTTTAATTTTTACTTTTTATTCTAGAAAATATCTTTTTTCAAAAATAAAAATAAGAAAAATACAAAAAAAAGAATTAAATTAATTTTCGTATAATAGAATGAACGAAATAGAAAAACATTTTTCATTCATTTTTTTGTTCATTCAAAAATATTCCTATTAAATATTAACCTAAAATTTTGTTTCAAGAAATACCTTGAGAAGCTTGAGAATGATAAAATATGACTCTAGGTTGTGATTTGCATAGGCCCACTTTATTACAGGAAGGAAGCTATTTTCAATGTTACACTGTAAATCGATCGACAAAACTTAAACGAGGATATGCATTTAATACGCTCTCAAAAAATTACTCCAAAAAAATATTAAACCAATTAACGCTTTGATATTGAGAATTTTTTTCTTTTATTTAAACAAAATACATTAATAATAATAATTATTATTAATATCATTAATAAAAAAATTATTTAATAACAAATAATAAATATTATTATTATTTATTGATAATTATTTTACGTCCATTAATTCAAAATTGATGAGAGGAAATTTTTTACTATAAATAAATTTTTAGTATTTTAGTTTTTTCTATTTTAGTATATTTTATTCAAATTTTTACTATAATAAAAAATTTTCTCACTCAATAATAATTATTATTTTTTATTATTTAATTGCGAAATTAATTCTTTTTCACCTGTAAAAATAATTTACGCAGTAAAAAATAATTATTATCATAAAAACATTTTAATTCATGAACTTATTCAAATATTCAAATAAAAATTTAATTTTCTAAATATTCAGTAAAAATAGTTTCTAAACAATGTCAACAAGTAAAAAATATCAAAAAAAAAATCCGTTAAACTCAAAATACTTTCTTTTACGACCCAGACATTTAAAAAAAAATAATGCAAAAATAGAAATATGAAAGAAAAATGAAAAATAAAAAAACATTTCTTAAATGAACTTGAAAAATTTATTTACTTTCCTCGGAATAAATGGGTCAATAAAAGAATTACGATCTCGACTCCAATAGTTTGGCATTCTCTTGGTGACTTTTGACCTACTTGGAAAGTTCGCAAGATCTACCCTTTAAATTCAAATGTGCCAAAAATTTGTATTACGTAGTTTCTCTTTTAATTTAGAGTGACACAAAACAATGATGGGAAAAAAAAATTTACCGAAATTTACAAAACTAAAACAATTGACAACGAAAAAGAAAAGAATAGAGCAGAAACAATGAAAATGAAACGAAAAAAATCAGAAGAATAAGAAAAATGTTACAATTACAGAAATGTTAAAGGTAAAGAAAACAAAGAAATTTCAAATTTACGTAAAAGTATATTACAAAAATATTTTTCATTCAGACAATGAATTAACAACAGAATTTTCTATTAAATTCCGAAAATATTAAATTTGAGAAAGTTTGAGAAATTTTTTAAATCTTTCCAGTAAATTTATAATGTTTCCTATACATTGTCACAAGTTCCTTAAATATTTTCTGTGTAGCCACTGGCATTGTGCGATTCAAAAATTCAATTTTCTCATGTTCACAATGACTCAAGAGACGTTGTATTATTAATTCCAAATGATTCTTTAAATTCTTTGGCAACAATTGATGGCAGTACCATTCAACTAAATCATTCAACAAATAAGGATAAATTTCCAAGACATTATCATCGAATTTCTTTAGAGCAATAATAAATTTCTCCATATCAAGAATTAGACATTCAATTTGATATTGATCACCGAAAGAATTTAATTTCATTGTTTCACCATTTAAGTTACGTATAATTTCACTGTTTAATTGAACCAACGACCATAATTTGTCCTTAACAAAATTCGTCCTTAATCTCACAATCATTGTATATAAAGAAACAATTTCTCGACATGCAACAACACCCACTCGTTTCATACACCTCGTACATGATACCAAAATCAAATCAATAATTTGCCCTGTAATTTGAATGAATTTCGAGCTTACAATCGTTTCGAATAATTTTATCAAACACAACCAATGTTTTCCACCAATTGAAATATCATTTAGTGACAATAATAATTTATTTATCGCCGTTACACGAATATTATTTCGTGCCGTCGCCATTTCGATGATAATAACATATTCCCAAATTTTTAGACATTTTTTCAATTCATTTTCACTTTCGTCACTAAATGCCAAGAGGGTTTGTTTTTGTAAATCTTTTAAAAGTAAATCAAACTCTTTCGAATTTAAAGTCTCCAAAAAAGGTCTCAAAACTGACTCGTTCGACTTTGACAAAATTGCTTTAAAAATCAAAGCTACATTCTCGTCGGTAATTTCCAAAAATGAACGATTTCTTAAAACTATTTCCAACAATTGAACATATTCGTCGTCAATATTTGCATTGTCAAGGAAAATTTCCTTTAAAATTCGATTCACGTTTGCTTTCAGATCATCGCCTGGGTTCCTACTGATAATTGCGTCTTTCAAAGAAAATATTAACAGTACCAATTCAATTCTACTTTGAATTCGATCATCGTTTGTAAATTTATTCCATTTTTCAATCAAGTTTCTCAACAATTGTGTATCTTCCGATTTTCTATGCAATTTCGTTCGTAAAATAATATTCAACAGCGTTATTTTTAAATTATCGTTGATATCATTCGAGGAGAGAAAATTAATTAACGAATTAAATGAATCGTTTTTAAGTGGCAATTCAAAAAGTTGTGACAAAACATCATTTCCAAGTGGAGAATTCTCACATATTTTCAAATTGGGAAATTGAAATATATTGATATCGTTCTCCTGGAGAAGATCCAATAAAATTTCATTGCATTTTTCCGCTATTTCAATATCGTGAGAAAATTCCACTACAATGGAGGAAATTAAAATAAATAGAACAATTCTAATATCGTGATGTAAATGACATAAATGCAATGATGATAAAATCCTTAAAAATTCCCTCATTAATTTACAATCCTTACTTTTCGTATTTTTCGAAAATTCCTCCGATTTCATTAAACTACCATTTTTAAGTTTCGAAACAATTTTCTTCCATTTGAAATCTCGGGTAATTTTACTGACAAATTGTTTTGTATTTTCGGATCGTATACAATTTTCCCCTTTTATAATCAATTGATTCAGAAAAGTAGACAAAAATCTATCATTTAGACATTTATCCCATTTTTTACAATTCGAATTATTTAGCGCGTCGGAAACAATAGTTGCGGAGAATTCTGTTAACTGTTCTTCGGTTAAATTAAATAGTAAATTGGAATTATTTTCAAAAACAGAAATCCAAAACGATGATTGAAAATTAAAATTACTTTTCTCTATGTCGAAATTTATTAAAAGATTACACGAAAAATCTAAATTCGAATTCTCTGGATTTTCGTCAAATAAACTTTCAACTTTTTCGAATAATTTTATCCATTTTTTCGCCGAGAGAAGATTGCGCAATTTCTCTGAAATTGTAGAAGGAACATAGTGCAATATCAAATTACAAACATCATTCCAAGCTTGACATGCTTTTAAAAAAGTAAAAATTACCCGTTTGTTCGAAATTTTGTCAGCGAGGGCAGAAAAAAGATTTCCTAGTTCAACAAGATCGTCACAAAATTTTTCCTGTGTTTTCACATTTCTAATGCATTCGAAAATTTTAATTCCCTTCATAAATGAAATCAATAATTGAAATATAACTTCCAACATTGAATTTGAAACCGAATTTTCGGAATATGGTTTTAAATAATAAATCAAAGATCTCAAAATTGTTGTTGTTTGCGAAATAGTTGTGTTCTCGAGAGATTCCATAAATTTCGTTAAAAATTCCTTAGGCAAGGGAATCAAATGTTCAGCATCTAAATTCTCGGTTATAACAGATTTAGCAGCGGTTAACAATAGAGATATTAATTTATGTTCCCTTCGAAGCGAAATACTGACATTTAGAATTGTTAAAAAAAATTCGCAATAAGACCTTTCGGAAACATTTGGGTATTTTGGAATAAATTTTATCAAAATATTCTCAAAATTAGTTTCTACAGTAAATGGATGTACATTTATGATTACAGTCATTAAATCATAATCGAGACTTTCGATTTCTTTCTTGAGAATTTCATCCACGAACATCATTAAGTAATCTGATAATTTTACATCGTCAATTTGATTCTCTAACACCAAATGAATTCCCAATAAACGATCGAGTAATTTTTTAACTATAATTTTCTCTCTCTTTGCACTTTTGACAATATTTCGGAATATAAGATCTAGCACTTTAGCATCGGATTCGTACGATTTTACAGCGACAGAAAAAATTACATCAAATATTATAAAAGCAGTTTTCAAATCGATATTTGCAATTTTCTCAAGGGTGGAAAAAAGTGTCGCCGGAATTCCCTCCTGTTCATTATTAAATCTCTTATATTGAGGTAAGAAATTTTTCGTAAATAACAAAATTTTTATACAACTATTCAAATCCGATTGAAATTTCAAATTCTCAAATTTCATTAGATTACAAAATGGAAACAGAACAATGTTCAAAAATTCCGTGGCAAATGATTCTTTATCGGAAAATTGTCTATAAATTTGCAGATACGAAACAATTAACCTTGATAAAAAAATTTCAGCTTGAGATTTAATAGTTTCATCGTTGGAAAATTCAAAAATATGAAATACAAATTCTAAAGATGATTTTACGAAAAATGTCAGATGTTTTACATTACTTTTAAAGTAGCATTGCATTTCATTATTTGACATAATCGAATTGCAACCGTGAAATATATTCTCGAAAAATGCCGAAGTTTCATTTTTTACTGCATCGTTGATTAATGATTTATTACATAATACGTCCGTCAAAGAGTGAATGAGAAATTCTTTCACTTCGTAGGCTGATTTATTTTCCACTTGAAGATTCTTCACTGTCAATATATTTTGTAATCTACATTCTTGATTATTACACTCGAGGCATGAATTTCTAGTCCAACGAGAAATTAAATCACTGTCCCAATCATTTGTGGCATTAACATTGCATTCCGATTTTCTACGAGTTGATTTTGTTTCTTTGGTTTTTAAATGTTGGATATATTTTGCCGAAAGAGACATTGCGAAGGAGAATTAATTTGCAACGTTCTTAAATTCAAGGAGATATCTGATGAATCACTATCTGAAAAATGTATTTATTTATTTATTTATAATAAAAAAAAGTATTATTAATTATTGGTTTTCGAAATCAGAAATTCTGGGTATTAATATTTGTTACATTTCAAACTTCTGTTATTGTCGATAATTAAATTAATTCAATTTTTTTTAAATTAATTATTACACTATTAATTAATTATTACATTATTCTAAATAAATGACATAAATTATGAAAAGTGCATTTTTGTTTTGTTTCTAATCTTTTTCTACACAGTAAAAAAATTTTCAGTAGTTTTACAGTTTCTAAAGTTTTGAACATTTTAATGAACGAAATTTATTTATTTCTTCTCCAAATTAAAATTTTATTTTATTACAATAATTTTGTGTCACTTTGCAAAAAAATTAATTAAGTTTCTGAATGTAAAATTGCAGTTTTTAATTTTTATTACAAAATAATAATATTTGTGAAAATATTTTTAAAGAGAAATATTTTGTTTATATGAACGTTCAAAACTTATGGATTATAAAAATTACTGTTCCTAAAATTTCGAAAGTTGAACAATATTTTTTTTAACAGACGATATTTTGATTACTTCGATTTTAATTTGATTTTCATTTACAAAATATTGTTTTTTATTATTAAAAAAATAATTTTTTACTAAAATGTTCAATTACAACTTTTTTCATTTTCGTCTAATAATTTTGAAAAATATTGGAGAACAGAAAAATAATATTTTATTACCTACTTTGCAAGTAGATATTAAATTTATCCAAAAAAAAATTTGAAACTGGAACATTAAAAGTATTATATAAATAAAAGATGTTATGCCATTAGGCCAAACAGAAAAACAAAAACATCTTTTATTTATATAATTTTATGGCTTCCAAAAAATATTGAATTAAAAGTATTAATTTCACAAAAGGGAATTTAAATTCCCTTTTTTTAAAGACGTAATTTTACACGTTTCTATAAAATTTCAATAACAAAACTGTAAACCTACCGGAACTTTTTTTTTTAATAAAGTAGATTCAACAATGCACATTGTTATTGTTATTTTGTTGTCAAAAAGGACAGATAAATAACCTATAATTTGAATTCTGATCTTAAAAAACCGGGATAAATTATAAACACAATAAAATAAGAAATTTAGAGGATATTATATACAAAAAACAGTAAAAATTGATAATTTAAAAACAGAAATGAAGAATTTAAATCGAACGTACCTTGTGAACTTTATTTTCCTTTCAATAGACTTTTGCCACATTCGTAACACTTATTCATAACTTTATTACTATCATTGCTTCCAAATAGCTCTATTTACATATTTATTACTTTTTTTTATATAAAATAACTTGGATAAAATCGTCCAAATATTATAACTATGCGATTATAACGATTACAACTTGTACATAACCTAAAAGTTGAGCACGTGTTGACAGTTCGTGAAATTACAAATGGCCGCCAATGAATCAACTGCGCATGCGTACTACACGAAACGCGGGACTTTTTAAAATATCAATTTTATTCCACTAAAATTATTGTCATATTTCACGAAGTAAAAACAAAAATATTGCTTTCAATATTCTGCAAAATAATTGCATAATACTCTCGAGAATATTACTGTAATAATTGCAATAATTAATAATTAAAATGAAAAATATTGACAATTTTTCACGTTAGTTTTATTCTAGTTTGTACTTTAATCTGAATTTTTTATAATTAAAAATAATATTCCAGGAATATTTTAAAAAATTTGATTTGGAATATTAAAATATTTGGATTGGTATATTAAAATATTTTCAGTATTTTTCAATCGAATTTTCACATTTTGTGTAAGGGAATATTTTAAAGAATCGGAATATTGAAAAATTACTCCAGAAAAGAAAATTGCCCTAGGGGAAATTAGTGAAATATTCCTGGAATATTCCAGCGCCATTTGGGGAGGGGGGATTTAAAAAATATAGTTTTTTTTCTCAAGGTGAATATTTTAAAGAGGAGAATAGGTCATTGTACTCTTATGCACCTAGACGTTCTTCTTGCCACTTGTGAGTGATTAACTGCTGTTATTATAGTGTGAACATGTATATAGTCACTATACAATATACATATGAATGAATACCATAAATCTGCATTTTCAAAAACAAAGAAACAAGAAAATAAATATTTTTCCAAATTGTCACTTTTTTTACAAATAAAAATAAATTAAAATAAACAAATATAATTAAAAATAAACAAAAATAATTAAAAATAAGGAAAAATAAATAAAAATAAGGAAAAATAAATATAAAAGTAAATAATAATAAATTAATAAAAATAAATAATAACTAAAAATAAACAAAAATGAAAATTCCGAAAATAGTTCTCTCTTTATATGTATATACAAAGGAATAAATGAAGATTAACGAAATTTAATTGAAAATTGCAATTAAAATTCCCCCGCGGAATTTGTGAAATTTTCTCCCGAGGAAACGATGCCTATTATATTAATTCCAAGTTTAATTGGTTTTCTCCTTCTTTCATCTTTTTTTTTCTTTTTTTTTAAACTCATATATAATGGGAACAATAGACCTAATGACGGTTGAACTCTTCACGTTGCGAGAGAATATATATGTATATTGTCGAGCTACAAATTGAATTTATGAGAAAAAATTTTTTTCCTTCTCTTTCTTTTTATTCTTTACACCAGCAGCAAAAATATATTTATACATACATAAACGCGCTTAGTGTGTGACACAATTGTAACACATTTTCAATTATTTAGAAAAATGGAACGTTATAGCGAAAAAATAGAATTTTTCCTCCTTAATTTGCATATTTTCATTTTTCGAAGACTTCGCCCAAGTAGCACGTAATATTGGGAACATTCCAGCAATATGCCACAACATTGAGGCAATATTGGTAATGTTAAGGCAATGTTCCCAATATCGCTGTAATATTACGTGCTACTGGGGCGCATAGAGTGAGTACAGCATAATTCGAAAAATATTAATCTATATTAATAATCGTTGTATTCCGGTTGTTATTTGCTTTTTTGTTTCCTAACTATTTTAATAATTTTTCTTTTTAATTATTTTCAATATATAATTTTTAAATTAATTTATTTGAAAATCATTGAATTTTTGCAAAGAATTTTATTAAATATAAAAATAATTGAATTGTTTCGAAGGATTTATTAAAATTTTAGAAAATAATTGAATTTTTTCGAAAAATATTAAAAATTAATTTAAAAAATTAATTGAATTCATTCATAAAATTTTATTGAAATTGTATTAAAAATAATTGAATTTTTTCTAAGCATTTTATTTAAAAAAATAATTAAATTGTTTCGAAGGATTTATTAAAATTTTAGAAAATAATTTCGAATACTTTCAACAAATTTTATAACGAATTAAGAAAAAAATGGAATTCTTTCATAAAATTTTTAATGCGAAAATAATTGAAATTTTGTCAAAGATTTTACTATATTTAAAAAAATAATTAAAATTATTTCTAAAGAATTTATTAAAGTTTTAAAAAATAATTGAATTCTTTTTTGATAAATTTTATATTTATTTCGCTTGAAAATATTTCGTAGGGGAATGATAATAACATAAATTTAATTTCAAAAACAGGAAAACATACACTTGAAACCGTGAAATTGAAGGGAAAAGAATTTTTCTAATAATAAAAATGATGAGAATTTTTTTTATGTGTATAATATAAAGAATCAAGATTGGATTAAAAAAGGAGTTTTCATCAAGATCTCTTCTCTCTAACTTGAAGAGTATGAGGGTGGAGGGGGGCGATTTAGAGATGTTAAAAAAAGTGAAGCTTTCATAGGTAGAGAAAAGCTTTTTAATCTCGAAGTTCGAATCAGAGCAATGGCTTTGTAGATCACCAGACTAAAGCTGGCTATAGCTGACCTAAATATTTTACACAACTATTTAAGTAGTGGTGCACTAACATTCACCCTCTTCTCCCCCCCCTCCTCTTTTCTTCTCGAAGCCGCATTTTCCACTAATTTCATCACAATGAATGGAGTGTTTCATAAAATTAAACCAAAATAATAATATAATTTGTAGTGTGTGACAATTTTCCTTTTTAATAAATAAATCAAAAAATTTGATATTAAAGGCTTTGGACTCGTTAATTAATTTTAAAGAAGTCGCTTTATACTGAAAAAAATTTTTGTTAATAACCGATTAATTGACTATTATCAATTAAATACTCAATTGAATCAAACAATATTTTTTGGAGTCAATTAAATGGTAATTCAAATACTGAAATAATTCAATAATTCAAATACTGAAATTATTGGTTCAAATACTATTTAATTGGCTCCAATAAATATTATTTGATTCAAGTAAATATTTAATTGATATTAGTTAATTAATCGGTTATTTAAATCAAATAAATTTTTTTTCAGTGTAACAGAAAAGAAGTGGGAAAAACATGAATTATTTTTAATATATTTTTAAGTACAAAAATTAATAGTTAATAAAGTAATTTTTTATTCTATTCTACTTTCAAAAATAACCAATGAATTGAAAAATATAAATGTTAACATTAGTTAACAATACATTTTCTTTAATATAAAAAATATTATTTATTTCACTATTGTTATTAATTTCCCAAAAATTATAAAAGTTCGAAATAAATATTTATTTTATAATAAAAAGAAAATTTGTTTTATATTAATTTACAAAAAATTATAAAAGTACGAAATAAATATTTATTTTGTAAAAAGAAAATTAAAAGAAGTAACAAAAATAGTCGAAAAAAAATTGAAAAAAAGCAATTTCGTCCCTATTTTTAATTTCTTTTCCTTCCTCTTCAAATGTAACAAAAAAAAAATACAAGAGGAAAATTTACTACGTGATTATATTAAATTTTCGAGATAATTTTTCGTGTTGACTTGAAAAGAAAAGAAAAAAGGACAAAACGATTTGTTTCATGTGCTTCTTCACGATTTTCTTCTTTGAAGAAAAAAAAAGAATAGAAAAAAAGCTATACAAACGAGCGGGGGAATCAACTTGAAAGTGATATACAATTTTTTTTTTTTTTTGCTTTTTTTCTAAAAGAAAATAAGTAGCGGGGAAAATGTTCATCGACCCTGTTTCTTGAAGAAATAAGTAGTGAAACGTGTTTGAGTGCATCTCTAGACAGGACTTGATTCCCTTGCATCAACCCTCAATTTTCAGTGTATATATATAGAGAGAGAAAAATGAGAATCATGATAGAAAAAAAGGGGTGAAGCGCACTGTCAAGGATTCCCTATACCAAATTTCACTTTATAGCAATTTGTAGAAATTACGCGAGAAATTGGAATTTCTGCCGAGAAGAGATCGAAAAAAGTCCTTTTCGCAAAAATGCTTTAGGGGAAGAAGTTTTTACTTCTTGGAAATCGAAAATAATTTGAAAAATGCGAAAAAACCAGTAAAAGTAGAAATAATTGCCATCGACAATTAATTTCAAAATCCTGCTAATAACTTCAATTCTAAATTTTTACATATAGAATTCCATTATTTTCTAAATTTTAATTTTAAATTCTTCAAAAAATTGAATTTTTGCAACAAAATTGTAATAAAATTGTAGTCATTAAAAAGTAATTGAATTCCTGAGAAGAATTTTATTATTTATAAAAATAATTAAATTCTTTCAACAATTTTGATTAAAATTGTATTGAAAATAATTGAATATGATTTATTTTATTATTTATGAAAATAATTGAATTTTTGCGAAGAATTATATTAATATTTTTTTAAATAATTCAATTCCCGTGAAAATTTCTATTGTCTTTAAAAATAATTGAATTTTTGCAACAAATTTTATTAAAATTGTATTAAAAATAATTAAATTTCGGAAAAAAATTTAATTATTAATGAAAATAATTGAATTGTCTCAATTTTATTAAAATTGTATTAAAAATAATTAAATTTCTAATAAGAACTTTATTATTAATGAAAATAATTGAATTTTGCAAAGAATTTTTTTTTCAAATTTCTTAACATAATTGATTTCCCGTTAAAAATGTTATTATTTGAGAAAATAATTCAATTTTCACTACAAATTTTATTAAAAATAATGAAATTTCTGAGAAGAACTTTATTATTAATAAAAATAATTGAATTCCTAAGAAGAATTTTATTATTTATGAAAATAATTGAATTTTGCAAAGATTTTATTAAAATTCTTTTAAATAATTGAATTTTGCAATTAATTTTATTAAAATCGTATTAAAAATAATTGAATTCCTAAGAAGAATTTTGTTATTTATAAAAATAATTGAATTTTGCAAAGAATTTTATTAAAATTCTTTTAAATAATTGAATTCCCGTGAACAATTTTATTATTTATGAAAATAATTGAATTATTGCCACGAATTTTATTCAAATTGTATTAAAAATAATTGAATTTCTAAAAAGAATTTTATTATTTATGAATATAATTGAATTATTGCGAGAAGTTTATAAAAAATATATAAATAATTGAATTCCTGCGCCAATTTTATTATTTATGAAAATAATTAAATATTTATGTAGAATTTTATAATTTTTTTTAAATAATTGAATTTCCATGAAGAATTATATTGTTCGTGAAAATAATTGAATTATTGTAATGAAATGTATTAAATTGTTTTTAAGTAATTGAATTTCTGTGAAGAAATTATGCCATGAGTTTTAATATTTACGAAAGTAATAAATTGAATTCCTAAAAAGAATTTTATTATCTGTAAAAGTAATTGAATTCTTGCGAAAAATTTCATAAAAATATTTTTAAATAATTGATTCTTTTCTAAAAATTCTAAGAAAATTGTTATTTCCTTTTTAATAAAATTAGTGCAAAGAAAATTTGTAAATAATTAAACTTATTCTTTTTTCTTTCTAAAAAAAGAAAAATTTCTATTTCTCATTTTATCCCTTTTTCTCAAAGTGCGTGAAAATTAGAAATAAAAACCAACACTCGAGACATTCACTCTGTCTGTTCTTATAGCTGTACATGTCATTATTCTTCCCTGCGTGTACACTTCTTTTCAAGTGCACCATCTTCACTATTCATGGAACAGGCATTCGAACAATTTATTTTTCTGATTTTCACACACAAGAAAAAAAAAGTTCGTCTAGAGAAATTTTTTTTTACTCCGCGCACCGCTTTTTTTCCCTTCAAAACATGAAAATCAAGTCTAGTCTCTGGAATAAGAGATAAAGTTATTTCCAATATATTTTTACCAAAAAAAAAAAAAATGTAAAATGTCCACCTACTCGAATAAGAAAACAATAAAAAGAGTTAGACTTTTGTTCATTCCCTTACACTTATCGCTATATGTATAAAAATAAATGAAAGAAGAGCAAATATGAATATATATTCAGGAAAGAGTCAGTCACTCGGAAAATACACACAATAGTGTCTCGACAAAGTGAAACTTTTATATATTATACATGTACCAATAGGAAAAATATTATATACAATTTTCTTTCAATTTTTTCTCGCTTCTCTATATAGGTATTCTCTTATAAAAACTGTCATTCGGATATTTTATGCGAAAAATATTCCCTAATTTCTATTCTTTTTTTTATCGAATATTTTAATGAAATATTTCCGATTTCTCAAGAGTTGCATTTAAAGTTAGAACAATATCAGGAAGAAAAATAAGCTGATTAGCGAGCGATTTTATTGAATTGAAAAATAAAATGCGCTAATGAACGAAAATGTTTCATTATTCCTTTCTTAAAATTTTAATATTGCGAAATATTTCTTTTCACATATTTTACAGAAGCTAAATTTTACAATTTGCAATTTTCCTAATAAAATAAGAAATTAAAATAATTGATATTAATTAAAAAAAATATTTATTTATTTTATATTATCTGTACTTTTTTTTTAATCACAAATAATAATTTATATTTTGTAGAAAATATAAATAGAATTTTGTATAGAACAAAAAAATAGAAACTTTTTTTGAAAATTATTTTCGAACTTAAATTTTAAAGGTCAGAGTGAAAATTTACGTTCCCTTTGCGAAGTTGGAATTAAGACGATAGTATATTTTACAATTACAAAAGATTGATAATACCCAATGAAATGATCTAATCTAGTAGCGGTATTAAAACCGGTAGTGTCGACAAATATTAAATGAGTCTTTAAATCATTCCGGCGTCCCATTCTGTGTTAAGTATACAATTTAAAATTAAACATATTATTAAAGATAAATAACATTGCATTTATAATTAAAAATATCTTTCTCAAATTCCAACCGCATATTTCATTATGTTTACAAAAAATGTCAGATTACCAAGAAATAGTTTTTAATTATAAAATAACTCAAAAATTTCAAATATTTTCTGAATATATTTCGCAAAATACTAATTGACTGAATAAAAGATAGAAAAAAGAAATTAAATTCAAAATCGCTTTAAAAAAAAAGAATGCGATTTTTATTCCTCTGCCATGAAGAATTTCGGAATGTTTTGTTTTAACATATGGATGGCAAGTGTCACACAGTAAAAAAAACAAAACTCAACATCTGAGCGATCTGTGTGGGATGTTAGAATAAGAGTTTTCGAGTGATTGGCCCCACTGTTTATCCTGCATTCTTGTCTACTATATATTAATGAAATAATTTAACGACAAAGTTTTCACTTGAGAATAATGACAAAAAAAGTATATAAAAAAGTCTCATTTCCCAAAAAAATAAAATATTCTTTACAAGAAAATATTTTCCTCAAGATCCCAAGTAATTTATATGCTAAATAAATAGTAGCTGTAAAAAATATCTAGTAAAGAGAAAAAAGAACCTTAAATTTGAAAGTAAAATTCCTTAAAGACGAAACTTCATATAAATCGTAAAGAGGGACGAATTTGTTTTCTCAACTTATACAGATTTAGAATATGTTTATTTAATTTTTTATTTTATGAGAAGCTTTTCTTTAAATATTTTGTCAAGACAAATAGTGACCATGTAGAGAAAATGAAATAGCTATTCGAATTTGTCCAATCACTTTTTTTTTCTCAAAATATCATTTTGACAATGCAAAGTGTCCGCCTTTATTAATTTTCTCGCGCATATTTTGCCTCTCACACGTGTGTGTATCAGACTTATGATTCCTCTCTCTATATATGAATGAACATTTGTTTGAGGGGAATACAAAAGATCGAGGGACATCGCTCTCAGGGGCTGATGACAATGTACAGACTTTTGACGCCTCTCTTTGTCACTGGACTTGAAGCTTTAAATTTAAAGCTCTCTCACTTCTTCAAGTTCAAAAACAAGTTCTGAAACAACAGAAAATCAATTTTTTTCCCCTCCTCCCTATTAACAAAAGTTAAATACATAATGCCTTATAAATATTCATTATTCAAAATAAAACAATTATTATAAAAACCAATAGTGTGGTTTTATTTCTGAAAATAAAGGAAATTTATTTTTCCACATAACATTTCATTAAAAGCAAAGATATCATTGAATGACATCAACTGTCATTTTCTCGAATAATATAACTTTTGTTTACAAATCACAATTTAGATCGATAAAAAGTAGTCAATAAAAGAGCTAAAGCCTAGAGACTGCAATTTTTAATATAAAGAACAAAAAATTAAAAATTTGATCGAAATAGAAAAAAAAATCTGTGACAAAGGCCAGGGTTCGTCGCGCCGCAAATTACTCTAATAATTGACGGAAGGAACTGTTTAACTCCTTGCCTTCAGATCATGATAGAAAGATTATTGTCATTATAATTTACACCATATTTCAACAATTATATTTATGATTTTTTTGTTTAAAGATCCCAAGAATCGCAAGAGACACCTAACCTTCTTTTTCACACCCCTCTAAGGTTCGATGGAACGCGTCCAAAAAGGTGACAGGTGCTTAACCCGCAATCACATTTATGGGTCATTTTTGCAAAAGTTTTATCACACCTTTCAATTTATATTTTCGACAAATTTTAAAGATTCTCACTTATTTCACAATTGAGTTAAACTGTTAAATTGATCATATTTTTCCTTTACTTACCAAAAAAAGTGGTTGGAGAATGTAAAACAGAAGAACTGTCAATCGAAAAGTTTTTGATTGTCAAACTAAACTGAACTGATGAAAAACTATTTAAATGACAATCGTTACACTTGTAATATCCACAATTATTATCACTTTTTTAGACTTCTTTAGACTTTAAAGATTACAGCAGCTTTGTATAAATGACAATCCAAGACAACCTGACAACCCCAAATACCAAGAAGACTGATTTTTATCGAACTGACCGCGCCAACGAGATATCTCGAACTGCGGTTTTTAACCCTGCACTCCTGCACTCTAGCGGCCAATTTAGGAAATTATCTTCAGTTCATCGATAATGACGATGGAAATAATAAAGTAAATAAACTAAATAATGTTACTTCACTACCTGATAAATAGATTAAACTATTTTTATAATAATATTTACCAAAACAAGGTCGAGATTTTATTCACTTTATTATATCGAAGTTTGAAATTTCCCGCCTAGTACACTTCCGGTTGCGCACGCACACTCAAGATTCTCTATTTCGGAAATTATTCCATTTACAATTACAGACATACTTTGTCAGGTTTATTAACAACTTTAATGTTTACTCTTATAACTGAAAACAAGAAATTAAATTTCGTTTTTTGATTTTAATCCTACTTTCAACATATTTTAAACGAAAACGATTGTCTTGAACATGCGCATCGTCGTTAACTTTTGAAAATTTTTCAACTTCCGTCTTCAGTTGCATTCTGCTGTGCCGGTTAGCAACAATAATACGTGATCGTTTGTCTTTTTTCGTGTGAAATAATGTGAACTAAAACTAAATTTGTACAAAAAGAGGTAATTTATATACCAGTGATTAATATGTGATAATAATTTTTCTAAATCAATGTGGATTATCAAAGATTTCTGAAATTGTATTAGTCAAGTGCACAGAGTCAATGCGACAACAATGTCGAACCGTCTTGCCCATCTCGGCTGCTTTCTTAAAAGTTAAAACACCATTTTCTTTGTGATTTAATCAAATTTAGTGATAAAAGTCTCTGGGGCATTCATTAAGATGATTTGAAATTAGTTTTTACCCAAAAAAGTGTAATAGTTCGCGAGTGATGTGCTTCTAAATTTGTTAGACTTAGTTCCATAGAATTTCGCGCTTAGTTTTTTTTCTACTTTTTCCAACTTTAACTCGTAATAATTACATTCATATTTGTGATAAAACAGTTTTGTGAGCTTTCAAATGAAATAATATTCAGTGACAAATGTTTTCCTTCATCAGGAATTATAAAAAAGTGAAGTGAAAAAGTGTGAAGAAAAATCGCCCACCTGACGACATAACCTCAAATTTCGAGTCGGAGATTCGGAGAAACGGCGGGCGAAATGTAAGTCTATTTTTATTACGTGAACCAGGTAAATTATAAAAAAACACGATTTACATAAAAGATATTTATTTCCTAGTTTGATTTAAATTATATTTTATTATGCAATTAATATATATCACGGCAATATAAATAATATACATCTCATCTCAAATTTAACAAGAAATAATTTACAAAAAATCTGTCCGTATATAAATATTATAAAATCTTTAACAAAATATAGAAAGTGATAACATAATTAGTCAATAAATAAATAGATTAGTACAATTGAATAAAAATACAATATTTTATATCTAAAATTCATTATGGATGCTATCACTTTGGCATAAATATTTCGTTTCTTTTCTTTTGGGATTCATTATTAAATTAATTGAGACGGGCTGTATTTTGCCAAAAAAATTGAAATTATGTAAAGATTAAAAAAATTCGTCAAAAGACATCGCGAATTTATAAGTTACGAGACCAAATTATTAAATTTCATAACAGATAATAATATAAATGTATATAAATTAAATATAAATAGAATACTGTATAAAAAATATTTCTAAAAAAAAAATGGCAATTACGAACATTATGAAAATTCGACTATTGATAAATTCATTAAATGATCATAAAATGAGCAAGTGCTAACCAGAGCTACTTGTTGGTCCATGTCATAATATAATTCTCGTTGTACGATTTCTTGAGAAGTTAAAAACGACCAATCACAACCGTACGAAATACTCGTGTGCTCGTTATATTCCGACAATATTTGGGGATTCTCGAAATTTTCGCATTCTAATAATCTAAAACCTCCATACATACATGCGGCCAAAAGATGTTTTCCATCGAAAGGATTCCATTTTAATCTCCAAATTCCTCCTTCTAAATTTTTCGACGATAGAGGATAACTCATTTTTCGCGTGTCCCACAATCTCATGTATTCGTCATAACTGAAATAGTAATTATTTATTGTTTCCATTGTCATTTAGAATTCTTTAAAAAAAAATATAGTTTCCAGGCTTCACACTCGATAATTAATTTATAAAAAGTATCAAAAAGCTTTAATACTGAGAAAAAAGAGGAAAAAAGTAGCTGTCGAAAATTAATTTTAATGAACAAAAAAAAATGGTTTTAGTCGATTCACAAAAATTTTATTCAGTATTTTCCTATTTTCTGATTACCATAAAAAATATTTATTTTTATTCTAATCGTGCTGAGAACTTCAATTCTAAATTTTTGAAAATTATTTTCTAAATTTTTTATATAAAATTCTTTAAAAATACAATTGTATTTAAAAGTAATTTTTAATAATAAACAAAGAAAATTAGTTTAAATATTATATTATTACCCAAAATTTCAACTGAAATTCGTTTTTAAATCAATTCTTATTAGAAAGTTGCACTAAAATTCAATTATTTAAATATAAAAATAAATAATATATTGAATACATAATTGAATGTTTCTCAAAAATTTAATTCTTACAAAAAATTTATTAATTTTTTAAAAAATAATTGAATTCCTGAAAATTTTATTAAAATTTTTTATTTTAAATAATTGAATTCATGTGAAAAATTTTATCAGTTGGGAAAATAATTGAATAATTGTGAAGAATTTTATTTAATTATTATTATTATTATTATTTTGGAATATACTGAATTCTTGTAAAGAATTAAAGAATTTATCAATTTTTTTTTAAATAATTGAATTTCTGAGAAGAATTTTATTATTTATGAAAATAATTGAATGTCTGCGAAAATATTATTTAATATTTTTTTAAATAATTGAATTCTCGTAAAAAATTTTATTATTTGGGGAAATAATTGAATAATTGTGAAAAATTAAAGAATTTATCAATTCTTTTTACAAATAATTAAATTTCTGAAAATAATTGAATTTTTACGAAAAATTTTATTTAATTTTTTTTGTGAATAATTGAATTCTCGTGAAGAATTTTATTATTTAGGAAAATTGTATTCTTGCTGACATTTTGTTTTAAATTTTCATAAATAATTGAATTTTCATAAAAAATGTTATTGCTTGTGAAAATAATTGAATTCTTGAGAAGAATTTTATAAAAAGTTTTTAAATTGATTTTTTTCGATAAATTTTATGAAATATTTTAAATAATTCAATTTCTTAGATGATTTTATTACTTATAAAAAAAATTGAGTGTTTGTGGAATTTTATTAAAATTGTAGTTTTAGTACCTAGATGTGTGCGAAGCCTGAGTTTGTTATTGAATTTTAATTACCTTCCAGAAGCTAGTGAACGTTCTTGTCTAGGATTGCAGTGAATACTGGTCACTCCTGCCAAATGTGTTCTGGATGACATTACAGGTGTGTCAACTCTGATGTCAAATGATTTAAATCTGCTGTCATCTCCGCCTTAAAAAATATATTTTGTAAATAGAATTCAAAGTAAAAAAAAAAGTAATAAAAAAATCTTCGTTCATTTCGACGTGTTCGAAACTTTAGAGAAATTTTTTTATCGCAAGAGATTTTTGGAAAAGTGTTTTCCATTCAATAATAACAAATAATGAAATTACCAGTATAAATAATGTTTGAATCCCAATAATTAAATGCCGATATCCAAGCCTCATAATCGTGACACTCAATTGATCGAAGTTTCTCGACACCTTCTGTAGTCAAATGAAAAATACAAACAGTACCAATTGATGTACTGACAACAATTTTCACTTCACAATTGTACGTCATTGGATTTCCCATTGACCAATCGAGTGACAATGCCAGTGTTTCCTCTGATTCTTCAACGGGAACTTTCTTGATTAATTCTAAAGTTGGATTCCAATCGTCAACTAATTCATGAATTTCCAACATATTCTTCGAAGTGACAATTCCTAGTAAAATTTTATTGCAAATTCTCGTGTGGGCCCATTTCATGTCTAAAATAGCAGCGCCTTCATAGCTCTGCAGTAAATTTAATCTTCCATTTTGAATGCGAAATAGATAAAGTTTTCCCAATCTTTGGGTTAATTCTCGTTCGTCATCTTCATCGGCCTCAGCTAATTTATATGTTCCACAGACAAATACATCTCTGAAATTGTCAATTGGACACCATTCCACTGAATCTGCTGAGAGTTTTGTGTCGAAGGATTCTAATGTTGAAAACATTTTCTGAAACAGAATTATTAATTTTTATTTAGTAATTTGTAATTAAATAATTAAATATTTCGATTAACGTCTCGAAAAGAGTTTTCAATATTTTTTAGTAGTTTGGAATATTTTTTCGGCTAAATGACAAAATAACATTTTTCGTACTTTTTTTCAAAATCTGTTTTCTCATAAAAAAAAATTTAAATTGACGAAATAAAATTATTATAATTAATAATTAATTAATAAAATTATTTTATTTTTTTAAATTAAAAAATGTTTTCTCATAAAAAAAATTTAAATTGACGAAATAAAATTATTATAATTAATAATTAATTAATAAAATTATTTTATTTTTTTAAATTAAATTATTAACTGCATTTGTAATTAATTCTGAAGATTAATTCCCTCCAATTAATTTAATGCTTACTAAGTATAAATTCTAAAAATAAAAAATTGTCAAGATCCGCAAGTTTTGAACGTTTAAATGAAAGAAATGGTTTTTATTCAAATATTTCGATAAATTGCTGACTAATTAAAATAAGAAAAATTTAATGTTAAAAAACAGTAATTAATATTTAAATAAAATAAAAAAATACATTATAAATTAAATTTAATAAAATTAAAAATATTAATTACTGTTTTTAAACATTAAATTTTTTTTATAAAACGCAAAATTATTGTAACCAAATTTTAATTTCAAGAAGAAACAAATCGTTCGCATGAACATTCAGAACTTTAGGAACATAAATTGTCGAAATATTTGTTCTCTCAAGAATTTTAACAATACGATTAAAAATTAATATTTAGAAAATTTTCCAGTTCTAATTAAAAGAATAATTTTTTAAATATTAAAAGAAATTAATAAAAAATAATATAATTATTAAAAGAAATTTTAGAAAAAATTCACAACATTAATTTCGCACCTTCATATTTTCGACTAATTTGCATCTTTTTTGGCAAAAAAATCTATCGCCTTTGGAGAGTCGATTTCTTATTTTCGTGATGAGAAATAAATGTTAATAATCAAGTGAAATGGTCTTCAAAAATTTATTGTATTCATCAATTGTATACAATAAGTTCAAAACTTTTTACAAAAGAAAAAAGTTTATGGCACCGTTAATATTCTATACAAAATACGTCGGATTTACATTCTGTTTATCATTAACAGTTTTTAAAAGGTACAAGTAGCAATTTATTATAAAAATTGTCTTTGAGATTCATATTATTAAAAACTTCATCGTTTACTATTCTTGTAATTATGCAATCGTTAACATTTATAATATCACTTTGTCTTTAGTTGCCTGAGTAATGTTTGTATTAAAATATTTAGGAACATTTTCATTTTTTCATATACTTATTAATATAATTGACGCACTACAAATTTCAGTCGTTAAATTACATCACTAGAGATGGAAAAAAATATTTTTAATTTATAAAATCGTTTGATTTGTAAATATTTATTTTGTTTATTGAAAATAATTTTTCTAAAAGGTAAACATTGTTTTTAAAAAATAAAAATTGTGAGTAAAAATTAAAAATTGTTTTTAAAAACTAAAAATTGTTTTTAAAAACTGTAAAAATTGTTTTAAAAAATTGTAACAAATTTTCAGAAAAAAAATTCAACTATTATTAAAAATATTTGTTTATAATTTTTCACATCTCTAAGGATATTAACATCTATTTGACAATTTTAAATACACCACACAATTAAATATTTAAAAAGTAATAGTAATACTGAATATTCTGCAAAGTCTTAAATATAAAAAAATTTGGTAACTAGTCTCTTGTTTCTTTTTTCTAAGGCTTTTTGTCGTAGTATTTCTTGATTTTTGCAATTTTGTGGAATAAACTCTGAATTATTCGATAATATTGCGAGAAAAAAGAAAAAAAAAACACAAAGTGTAGAAAAATTACTTAATTTAAATAATTTAGTGTTTTTAAATAAATTAAATAATCGAATTTTAGTCTAAAAGTTTTAAAATATTAAAAATTAGTTCTACAAGTCTTTAAAAAGTAAAATTAAAATAAATTCTACGTGAGGTAGAAATTTTTTTGGATTTCTCTAGATTAGAATGAAGCGGAAAAATAGTTTTCTGTATAGTAAAAAATGAAACTTGAATCTTGTTTTAAAAATTAGTGTCTAAAAATACTGGACATTCTAAAAGTTAATATTAAAAATTAATATTTAGAGGGTCTGGAACTTTTTAGATTGAAAATTTAAATCTGATTCGAAATTTAAAATCATTTCTTTGAAGCAAATAAATAATTAATTCTACTCGATTATTGTTAAAAAGGCTATTGGCGTGCACTTTTTTCGGCTTCAATGAGACATTCTTTGACTAGAATACGAGCGTGAATGAGTCCACGTTTAACACGTTCGGCAGACGATCGACTGCCAGCGTATGAAGGACGAATATCTCGACCTAGTTCCTCGATAACATTAAGTAATTGAACATATTTCGATTGTTCCGAAACCGATGGAACTGTTGTTTGACGAGCAGAATTCACACTTTCCGGAATATGAATTAAGTGATTGTAGTTAGATTGTCCAGAGACCGTGGGAACTGTAACTTGTGCAGCGCGATGTTCTCTTTGAAATGCTCTTGGGTTTGGAACAGTTATTAATGGTTCGGATATTTTCACAGGACCCTGTAGTGATCCCTTATCCATTGCTATCTCGCTTTTAACCATTTTTATTTTTTTTAAAAAACTCAACGTTTTAAGAAATCAAAAATCCAAAGGCGACAGTATTGACTTAATTTTTTTTTACACTCGCGTCACTCGCGCGTCGAGGTGCAAAATTTTCTCTGGAAAAATTGAAATTATCGTTACAAAAACGTTTTTCCGGAATACTATCAATGTTAAATAGATAAGATTGGTGAAGTAATTGGAGAAAATTAGTTTTTAGTATTTAGAAAATAACTGGTATTTTTTTCTCCATGCCACAAAACTAACCTCAAAAAATATGAAGTAATGTTAATAATGTTATATAAAAATATTCTTACCTGGAGATTTGATTAATTCAGAGAAATAATAATATAGGAGTTGTCAAATTTTTGTAAAAAACACTTAATTAAACAGTGAACACTTTTTTTGTTATTAAAAATAAAATTTTTTGTTTCGTTATTTTCATTTGCTGGCAATTCGACGCAAGCAAACGCAAAAAGGGAGCGAGAAATGGCATCAAGGTGTGCAATGTGGAGAATGTGGAGCATTAACAGCAGGAGGGGGAAAATCGAAACCAGAACGAGAATCGAATACCGATTCATCGATAATTCGAAATTTAAAAAAAAATATAAAAAATTAATTTTCTTAAAAATTAAAATAAGTATTAAAAAGATATTTCGAAAAATAATTTTAAATTCGAATATTAAATTATTCTTTCTTAGAGGTTTCCATCAGATTTTATTTTTTATTAAAATAAAATGAATAAGTTAATAATTAAAATTAATAAATTAAGGAATAAATAATTTATATTATTTACATTCTTATAAAATTTTTTTATTCAATGATACTTTACATTTTCAGTATACTTTTTCCTTTCGGATAAAATTCTCTTGTATAACCGCATGTATAAATAATTTGTGTATCAAATGAATTAAAATTTTATACAGTTTTTTTTTAAGAAAATTTGAAATAACAAGTTAACTTAAATTTAAATTTCATCATCAATGACGAATATATATATAAATTTTTTTCGCATCAATTGCTATGATCGAGAAAGGACTATACATAATTATATCAATAACAAAAAAAAGCTTGATAATTCTCTTGAAGATGAAATAAAAAATAGAAAAATTTTATTTTATCTAAAAAAGATTTTCTATCCGATTACTACGCTTATCAATATTTTTCTATATATATAAATAACTTAACACTTTATTTACTTTATTTACTTTGATTTTTAAAGTCAAAATATTGAAATTTTCTTGTATTTTTTATTTTTATAATCTAAGGCGCATCGTATAAAAAGAAAAATTGCTCGTTATACTGCTTGTTATTAAAAGGAGAAATTAATTTTTCAAATTAATTTCGTATAGACAGATTCATTCATATATAAAATATATAATTACTAAAGTTCTCTCTCTCTCTCTCTCGCTCTCTTTTTCTCTTTCTCTCTTTTCACATATCATAATTAAACACGGCCAGTGCCAAAGGAATATAAAAATATATATATTTTCTCATAACGACGAAATAATTTTGATTATAGACAATAACTTTGATTTTTTAATAATTAAATTTTTAAAAATCCAAATAGAGGATAAAAATGTACATAAAAGTTTAAAATAAAAAACGATAAATTTTTTAATTTGAAAAATTGGTAGTAATATTTATGCCAAAATCATAAATATAATTTTTTTTAATTTAAATTAATTAAATTAATTTTCAGTGTTTTATTTTCACTTCAGAAATTTCATTTTTGAAATTTTATTCTCTGAATATGAAGTCGTCGACTAATTTTTCAGTAAAATTTTTCTGTTTCATTTTGTATTTTTTGTAATTTTTATTTCTTTAGAAGGAAACTTTATTTTTCACTTTAATTTTAATATCAAAATATTCAATTTGATATCTGCAGAAAAATTTTTTTTTATAAATGTTATAGAAAATTTTTACTGATTTAAATTAGTTGACGACTTTTCGCCATATCTACACCCAAAGAAAAAATTTATTTGACTCAGAGTCTATTAAATTTTTTATTTGTTTCAAATCAATTTTATTTTGTTCAAACAAATTTCATTTGTTTTACAGAATTTTAATTTTTTTTTTAATTATTTGAACAGTTTAAACTAAATGTTATTTGGTTTGAACAAAAAAATTTTTCTTTATCGAGTGAAATTTATATTTAAAGCAAATAAAGAATATTTTATTATTTTCTCTAAAATAAAGAATTTAGTATAAGCTCAGAGACAAATATATACTTTTATTTGACTCAAATAAATTATATTTGATTTAAATAAAATTTTTCTCTGGGTGTAATTACAATTTAGAGTGCGTAATATTGCAAAATTTTTATTGCAAAAATTCCTTAAACTACTCATGGAGAAAAATTATTCGATTCAAATAATTTTCAATTCCAGAGTTATGAAATTAATTTTTATTGTAAATAATGTTTATAATTAAGTCAAGTGGTAAAAGAAATTAGTGTTTCTAAAGTTTCGAACTTTCAAATAAGCGACTGTATTTTTTACTCATTTTTAATTTTTGTATTTTATCATACAAAAAAAATTTGTTTTCTAAAAAATCTTTTTTTTTAATAATAAAAATTTTATTATTAACTGTAAATAATTATTGTTTATCAACTGTAATTAACTGAAAATAATATTATGAATTAAATAAATTATATAAATTAATTATATTAATATTCATTTTAAATTTAGAATTTTAAATCTTAGAATGACGTTTTTGAAAAGAAAGTGACTTTATGGTGAAAATGATAAATGAAGATTTCAATAGAAATATGTTTGATATCTTTTCTCCTTATTAACATTTTAATTGAATATGTTTTTTGAAGAAAATATTTAAGAAAAATTTCAGTTTATTTGAAGGTTTGAAACTTTATAAAATTAAAAATTAATTTCGAAAAAATGGGGTAACTGAAGAATTAATTTTTTCAAGCTATTAATTATTTAAATTATTTGATTTCAAGTGATTAATGGATTATTTGAAACAAATAATTCTTTTTAATATAGCATTAATTTGATGAGAACTTGTGCCCCTGAAGTAGTCGACGCTTTAAATTTTCCAAAAATTTCTAACGTTCGAATGAACGAAATATTTTTTATGAAATTTGTAAAAAAAAATAGTTTTCAAAAAATAATTACCGAAATTTAGCATTTAGAAACTATAAATTACTTTTTACCTACGTTTTGAAAAATTACAATGAAAAAAAATTTATTTGGTTCAAATATTATCAATTAAATATTTACTTGAATCAAATAATATTTATTGGAGTCAATTAAATGGTATTTGAACCAATAATTTCAGTATTTGAAGCAAATATGAACTGAACCATTTAATCAACTCCAATAAATACTTTTTGATTCAATTAAATATTTAATTGATAATAAAGTAATCGATTATTTGAATCAAATTTAAATTTTTTCAGTGTATTAATATTGCAATAAAATTTGAATTTAAAGAAATAAATTTTTGTTCATTTGAACATTCAAAACTTTAGAAACATTCGAAAACTATTTTTGGGGTTTTTAGTAACTAATTTTACTTTTTTCCTTCACAAGAGGAGTTGACAAAATTTTTCCTAGATTTTCGTATTTTGAACGTTTGAAAAAATAATTGTTTGATTTTTTCGGTTTCTGACGCGTCGACGCCAAAACTTCAGGGATTTTTTTAAAGAACTTTTGTTTTACTTTTTTATGACTTGTTTCTAAAGTTCCAAATAGTCTCCTGCCGACAGTGACAACTAGTAAACATATATTTTTTTGTTGTTGTAAAAAAAGATTTCTAAATATAAAATTTTGAGAAGATCATTGTCGAGCGTTATGCTCGGTTTCAAGTAGACACTCGCGAACGAGAATTCTCGCGTGTTGAATGCCCATTTTAAGTCTTTCGGCAGCACTGCGACTTCCTGCATAAGAAAGGCGAATGTCCCTACCAAGTTCCTCGATGATGACTAATAATTGGGCATATTTTCCCTGACCAGGCACTGACGGAAAATTAATTGTATTTGACGGGCTTGGTTGCGGTTGGACCTGAACATTTTGCACATTCTGCAAATTCCTTGGATTTGGCACTGTGATCACAGGTTCGGGAATTCTTTGAATTTCTTGTTTAATTGGTGGTGGAGGCTGCGGTGGTGGTGGCGGTGGTGGATCATTTAATTTTGTTATTGTTATTTCATTTAATTTTGCCAATTCAGTGAGTTTTGCCATTTCGGCCATTTTCGAATATTCCGGCATTTTTGTTATGTCGTTCTGTATGTTCTGCATGTTTGCCATTTTAATCATTTCATTCATTTTTGTTTTTTCATTCATCTTGGCAATTTCCTTGGCCATCTCGTTTATTTGAGCAATTTCATTGAGTTTTGTTATGTCGTTATTGTACTTTGCCATTTCGGTCATTTTCACCATTTCGTTTAGTTTCGCTATTTCGTTCATACGTTGAACCTCATTGATTTTTGCCATTTGATTGATTTTCATCATTTCATTCATTTTTGCGAGTTCGTTCATTTTTGAAATGTCATTGTTGTATTTTGTCATTTCGGAATATTTGACCATTTCGTTCATTTTTGCGATTTCATTCATTTGCATTTGCATTTTCATGTATTCGGTGGTTTTTGCGTATTCGGCCATTTTTTCCATTTCGTAGCGTTTCGCCATGTCTTGGGACATTTTATTGAGTTCGGTCATTTTACTGAATTCGGCTAATTGTGCCATTTGGACAATATGCTCGGGAACTTTGCCACGTTCCATCATTTGCTTGAGTTCGGCTGAGATTTTATTCATATTCAGCTCTGACATTTCGGTGATTGTTGTTGTGTCGGGTATTTTTGAGAGTTCGGCAATTTTCGATATTTCACGTGCTAAATTTTCATCGAGGCAACGCTTTTTTTTTGCACGATGTCGAGCCATGCGTTGTGCCTCCTGCATGCGGCGGATCGCGGCCTGTTCCTCGGTTTCTTTTGCCCTTGAATTCTTCATTCTCTCGGCGGCTGTGTATAATCTGAAAGCACGTTCCTCGGCTGTCTCGGACATTAGTCTCTCACGACGATATTCGCGCATTTCCCTTTTACCTTTCTGAGGTAAGATTTTTTCCTAAATTTTGGCATAATTGTGAATTTTGCACAGGGCACGAATCATTTGATCTGTACTTCATTTTGGCAAATCTCGAAGTTCTTTCTTTTTCTCAAAATCACCTTTTTCCTGAAACAATACAATTCTATTAGTTATTTTCTTTATTATTCAGAGTTGCCACAAAAATTTCATTTTTAATTAATTTAAATTTAATTTTGTTTTTCCCTGACCCTATAAACAATATTCTGATTCACTCTAAAAATTATTAGATACTCAAAAAAAAAATGTTCTATTACCTATATTTATTTTTATAAATTTCTTCAAAAGTAAAATTATTCGAAAACATCAATAATTTATTTTTGAATAAATATTTAATTATTATTTTTCCATTGGAATTAAAATTCTTCAAAATTAATGTATGGCAGTTCTTCAATAGAATTATAAGTTATTAAAAGTAAATTATTGTCAGAAATAGGAAAAATTAAAGGTATTTTTTAAAATTTGTGAGTTTATGAGACAAACAAAAAGACACAAAAATTCAGAATTTTCTTATTAATTTTAAAAATTTAATTTTTTCCAGTACTTTTAATAAAATATCCTGACTTTTCCCTGATTTTCCAGACCAATTCTACTTTCCCTGATTTTTCCCTAAATTCCCTGACCTGTGGCATCCCTATTATGCATACTAAATTTAATAACTTCAATTAATTATTTTCACTTGTCACCGAAAAATTTTAATAAAACAAAATGGATTTTTCATTAAAGAAACTAAAAATCTTATGGCAATTTCTATTTTCTTAAACTCTTGTCAATGACAACAAAAGAAAAAAAAACAAAACACTTACTCCAAAAGCAAAAACTCACGTGTGAGATGAATATAATTGTTAAAGGTAATGATCAATATTGACTGTTAAATTATTTGTAAAAGTGAAATAACTTTGTGGAATTAGTTCAATTCGGGAAAATAATTAAAATAATTGTTTAAAGTAAAGAAAAATTGGCGTTTCGCTTATGATATTTAAATAAAGAGGTTCGACGCGATAATTCCACGCGTGCGCTAAAAATTAAGAACGCTGTCTTCTCCTCTTTTCGAGGCCAATCACAACAATGGCCGACACAATTCGAGCAATTTAGTAAAAAGAAAAAAATTGAAAACTATCAAAAGTGCTTTTCACCGGTAAATAATAATTTTAATTTCAATTACTTTATAATCATATCATCAACACTTACACTTAATTTAACACCTTGTTTCCTTAAAAATCATCCAATAATCACTCAAGTTATCTCACAGACAAACGCACAAAAGTAAAATCAGCCGACATAAGATCTTCGTTCGGAGAGCCACTTTAAGGGTCGCCGATAGGCTGCGTGTGACGTGGTTGCATTTATTGACCATAAACCCCTTCCTATAAACTTGTGTCTACAACTTCACGACGGACAGGTGTTTGACGCCAACCGAAAAATTATTGTCCTCTTAGTGCCGATAAGACGGATTTTCTTAATTTTTTACAATTTTTCCATAAAAAACTTGAAAAAAGAATATTTATTCAAAAATTTAGACAAATTTTCAAATTTTCCCGATTGTAGTTTTTAAAGTTTTAACAATATTTACTTACCTAAGAAAGTTTCTTTCTCAAGAACAAGCTCAAGAATTAATAAAAATTGTCAATAGATTTTCTATTCGAACCGGATAGGTGGGAACTGCCAATGACCTCTAAAAAACTGAATTTCCAATTTCTATCTAGTTTCCGTATTTTTAAAATCTTGAAAAGAATTTTGATTTTCAAAAATAGAAAGTATTTTTCTTGTTTATCGCTCGCACGTGGAATTATATTACGAATACTATATATATAGGTATATTCTTTTTAAAGAATATTTAAACGTGATAATGATACTTGACATTGTGTCGCTTATTTGACTTGTTCAGTATGATATTATAAAGTCTTGCGTAATTATAGACCTAAAATTAGCTTCTTGGGAATTCTTTTCTCATATTCGTGGAAATTAATGATGACTATAATTTTGTTATTTAGAAAATCAAGACGAAAGAAAAACTTTTTTGATAAAATTAAAAATGTTTATTCGAATTAAGATGTTAATTAAATTAAGATATTAAATTAATTACTTTATGAAAATTCATATCCAGGCGAATATTTTGCTTCAGTTTCCAACAAGCAGTCTTTTACCAAATGTCTCGCGTGAAGAATTTCGTTTTTCAATTTTTCCATCGAATTACGACTTCCCGCGTATGTTAATTTAATGTCTTTGCCAATTTCTTGTATAACTGAGAGCAATTGAGAATATTTTGAGTCACTATTCAGGGGAAATATTGTTACAGTATCTGTTTCATCGTCTTGAGGTAGAAAATTGTCAGGAATCGAAGGTTTCACAGTACTCAGGACTTGAAATAGAATATTTCGTTTCTTAAGTTCGGTTATTAGTCCTAATTTCGTTAATTGATCTTCTCGAAAAGCTCGTGATTCCTCGAGGGCCTTTTTTCTTCTCGCACGAAATCGTGCCATTCTTTGGGCGTCGTGAAATCGACGAATCACCGCCTCCTCCTCAGTTTCATTTGGTCTCGGTAAAGGACGTCGATTTTGTTTCTTCTCCTCCATGACCTCTGCTTTTTGTCTCAATTTACTCGAAATCATTTTTCTATGCTCGACCCTTCGCCCTCCGTTTGGCATTTTTTGTTTTCTTTCTGCAAAAATTTGACAAAATCTCAATTTTCAATTAAAGGTCTTCGGTTTTTTTTAACTCGTTGTTGAAAATTTATCGCGATTAAGATAAACTCACAATTATTGTGAATAGAAATCTGTCAAAAATAAGCAATACACTCGATGGAGATGTAATTATTGTTATTGAAAACACATCACTTTTTTTGGAGAAAATCTTTGAATTCGAAACTATTTTTTGATTTTTATGTCAAACGGGCAAATTTTGAATGTCACTTTTATCTTTTTTTTTTTGCTTTGATTTGAAACTGAAGAATTGACAGAAAATGTTTGGAATCAAAGATTAAAATAAAAAGAGACAGTTGACAACTTTTTCCTTATGCTCATATACCAATGGCTCAAGGTGATTCACTCTGAAAATAGCAATGCGCAATTAATCGGCAACGATGCAACAATTCTCACTAATTCTCTGCTCCATATACATATACACACCTGGCATATCTCTCTCTCTCTCTGTCTCTTATTTTAAAATATTCATTTTTTTCCACTGATAAAAATTGATTTCCTTATAAATCAATTATACACACTTTACACTTCAATTTTCAATTTCATAAAGAATTTCATAAAGAATTTATAAAAGTATAATTTTTCTTATGGTTTCAGATTGCCCTTCGCAGTGGTGATAAAAAATGAACTTTTCTAATTACGAGTACTATTTTTTACTACTGTTGGTTGTGTATCCAGTTTACTTATTTTTGAAACTATGGTCTTGGCTGGGATGGCAACTTTTTATAAATAATTAAAAATCTATTTTTATTAAAATAGAAACTGACTTTATTTCAACGTTTTTTTCGGTTATTTGAAATAAGTCGATTTTTGTACATCAGTCGATTATTGTACAAAAAGTGCTGTACAATTTACAAAGAACAAATAATATCAATAAGTTATAAAATTTAATTATAAAAAAAATTAATTTTAATTGTAAAAAAAATGAGAAGATAACTTGAGATTATAAATATTTTTCACTTTTTTAAGAAGACGTATTGAATTTATCTGTTATTAAAAGTTCATCCAAACCCATTTTTCCCAGATGCTTCCATATCCGATATCTGGCGACGTCTTTTCGCGTTATCATACCGACAACCTGTGAATCAAGATTTAATTATTATTTATATCTTTTTTTTCGTATTATTCAGAAATTTCTAAAAAAAAGTCTATGGATTAATCGAAAAGGATATTTTAAAAAGTGATAATTACCTCATTAGTGTCATTTAAAATTGGCAAATGCCGGAGTCCCAGTGCTCTGAAGAGTCGAAATACTCGAGGCAGTGTTGCTGACTGTAATTGAGGAATATTCATTTTTTAAAAGTTGTAATAAGTTTTTAGAACAAAAAATTAAAAAAACTTACATGTTGCAACGTGTAGGGAGTTGGATTCATAAAAGGCCTTAAATCTATCATAAAAGTCTTTTCTTCTTCTGTGACTTCCACCTCGTCTATGGTTGGATATCTGGGATATTCGTTTCTAAATATTTTTATGTCCAATCTTTCCTCCCAAAAATCAGCGTATTCGTTGAAAAGTTTATTTCTCAAAATAACCAATAACTGCGAGCGTAAGATGAGTCCTCGAAATCGTCCATAGCACGTAATTTCATCCTAAAATTTGCAAATGAAAATAAGTAGCTATCGAAAAATTAAACTTGACGGACAAAAAAACTCGATTTAGACACTTGACAAAACTGACAAAAATTCCATTCGATATTTTATTTTCCTGACTTTTTCCTAATTTTCATCAAAAATATTTACTTCTTTCTTATCCTGCTAATAAATTGAATTCTTGCAACGAATTTTATTATTCATGAAAGAATTTAAATACGTATTTATAAAAATAATTTAATTCTTGCGAAAAAATTTATAAAAAAATTTTAAGTAATTGATTTCTTTCGACTAATTTTATGCAAATTCTAATTTAAATAATTGGATTCCTGAGAATTTTTATTATTCATGAAAAGAATTGAATTATTACGAAGATTTTTACAAAAGAATTTTTTAAATAATTGAATTCTGTTTGGAAATTTTATAAAAATAGTAGATATTAAATTCTTGAGAATGAAGTCATATTAGAATTTTGTAAAATAATTGAATTTTGCAAAAAATTTTATTAAAATGTCTCAAAATAATTGAATTTTCGAAATATTTTTGTCATTTATCGACATAAATAAAATCTAAAAGAATTTTAATTTTTTTAATTTTAATTTTAAAATCTAAAAAAATAATTGAATTATGTGAAAAATTCTCATATTTTTGAGAATAATTGAATTCTTGCGAAAGATTTTATTAGAATTTCTAAAAATAATTGAATTCTTTTGCGAAATTTTATGAAAATACTATAGATATTGAAAATACATTGAATTTCGAATACTTTTTGGAAATAATTGAATTGTTTTAAAGAAGTTGATAATAATTTTGTTTTTTTTTAATAACGAAAATTTTAAAAGTAGAGGCGGAAATTTCTTTGAATACCTGATCTCCACTTGGTGGATCAACCACCGGGAATCCGTTGAAAGTAACACATCTCAAAACTTCAACAATATGGCCAACATTTTCTATTGTTTTCATTGATACCACTGGATGGCTCATTATTTCACTGGCATAAATATTATTTGACAAAGGTGGTGCTTCCCAGGCAAGCAAAGGTACTCCTGCCATTTGCGTATGAATTTCATAAATTCCCTGGAAAATATTCACCATTAGTTTTTGTTCTCCATGCGGAAAAATTAATTTTTCTCGTGGAAGCTTTTTTGTTTTAAGAAAATGTTTGAAAAACATTTAAGAAATGAACGATGGACTTGTAATTAATGGCCTTAACTAACTTAATAAAATAGTTTTCTTAATAGAATTATTTCTTAAACCTAATAAAATTGTTTTACCTCATTAAAGAAGTCACCGACCCACTTGGACATTATCAGAACAATAATAATTGGAAGACCGAAAGATATTCCTTGTGTTGCTTCTATTAAAATTGCGGTTAAACTAATAGTCATTCGCACCACTCCTCCCAATTGTGCTGCAGCACCAAGTAATGCATACTTTCCAGGATCTAAATTCTGTGAAATTAATGTTTCTCATTATGGAGAAAATAAAAATTGCCCACAAATCAATTTTCTTGTACAAATTGACAAATTAGTAATATTGGATTTAATTTTTACAAGTGATGGTAAAATGTCAGTTAATCCAGAGCCAATTAATCTGCCCCAACCAGCGCCAATTAAAAGCGATGGAATAAATAGTCCACTTGACATTGAAAGTCCAAAAGTGCATGCCGCCAAAAAAAAGTAGAGCAAAACGAATATAATCAATGTTTCAGCATTGTGGGAACCTGTAACAAAATTTCGCATTATTTTAGCATTTCCATTACTTCTATTTCGTATCAACATTTCTATTATTTATATAAGCATTTATTATTTATATTTCGTATTAAAATTTGTCTATACGAAATAATTAAAAATCGCTCACCTGGAGGATCGTGAAAAAGAGAGCGAACTGTACTCTCGGGTGTTTGGAACCAAAGAGCGGCGGCAGCATTGTACTGGCCATTACTGCAAAATAATTGAATTGGAAATTTCGTTGGATCCTTGCCCAAATCTTGACAGTCGCTAAGAAAGAACATCATTAAAAATCCCATTGTTGTGCTCATTGTAGCGACAAGTAATACTTCAACAACCTTAAGCCATTTTTTCTTAATGTACTTCATTCGATAGCACGTTATTTTGTAATTCAAATGATTCCAAAGTGCTCCAAAAGCACCGCCGATTGTTCCCACTAACATAAATAGTGGAATTTCATAAATCTGATAGTTGATGGTCTCGAATTTTCCCAAATTCAACAGACCCGGATAGGAGAGATCACCAGGATGATGATGATAGGCACTTAGAATAATGTTCAGAGTGAATGTTGTTATCATACTCGCAAAAAATGTCCTCCATGTCAAACTTTGATTAAAAAAACTCGCTCCTTCCTCTATACTGAACAGAACACCACCTGAAAATATTTTATTATCAGTTAGGAATTTCTTTTTTAATTAATTTAGATATTATTTTACTCTCTGCTTACTGAGACAAAAACCGAAAAAATTCGGGCAGAGGAAAAAAACAAAAAAAGAAATAATTAAAGTAAATTAATTTACCGATTGGTGCTCCGAAAGCTGCAGAAACACCAGAAGCTGCGCCACCGGAGACAAAATCTCGTTTCTCATGATCCTCACGAAAATATTGAAAAATTTTCAAGTCTTTCTTGAATGTTGTACTTTTTCCTTGAGATATTCCCGCAGCCACAACTGCTCCGGAATGAATCATTGGTCCTTCCTAAACAATAGAATTTTATTTCTTCAACTTTTGATTTCTTTATTTCTTGCTGTTGTAATATTAAAAAATTGCCACGAATTAAATTTATTTAGTAAGTATTTAAAATACCTTGCCACCAGCTAAACCTCCGACAACTGTCGTTATAACTCCTATGATTTTAACAGCTAATGTCTTTATTCTTACAACTCGTGGAATTTTTATTCCATTTAAATAACATTTCACTTGTGGTATTCCACTTCCTGCTGCTATGGGTTCTACATATACAACTAAAATTGCTCCTATTATAACTACAAATAAATTTATAACTAACCAAATTATGTATGGTATTATTAGACAATTTTCTATTGCACATTTGTCAACATCTGTAGGAGAATAAAAATTAAGGAAATATATCAATATTATAAATAACTATGTATAATCATTGTCCATAAATTTTCAGACGAAACTAAAATTTCCAACGTTTTTGTCGACGAAAAAAGGAACAATTATTTTTTAATTATTCAATTATTTTCAAAAGTAATAAAATTCTTTGCAAAAATTCAACTATTTTTAATACAACTTTGATAACATTTCATGAAAAAATTCAATTTTTAAAAAAAATTCCTAACATTTTTCGATAGAAGCCAATTATTATTTTCTAAAATTTTAATAAAACCTTTGAAACAATTCAATTATTTTTATAAATAGTAAAATTCATCGCAAGAAATAAATTATATTTCATAAATAATAAAATTCTTCTGAGGAATTCAATTATTTTCAATACAATTATTAACAAATTCGATTGTATTCAATAAATTTAAGAAATTTTTCGAAAGAATTCAATTATTTTCTAAAAATTTTCATGAAATTCAAGAATTAAATGTTTAATTTCAATTATTGAGAAAGACGATTATTGTAAAAACTTGAAAGAAATTGTTCATATAAAATTCAATTACTTTAAAAACTTTCAATTAAAATTATTAAAGAAACTCAAAGAAAATGTTCAAAAGAATTTAATTAAGATTATGTAAAATTTTAATAAAATTCTTCCCAAATTCAATTATTTCCATAAATAATAAAATCATTCGAAAAAATTCAATTATCAAATTTTTTGATAAAATTCTTTGCAAGAATTCAATAATTTGCAAATTTTTAATAAATTTTTTTTGTCAATAATTCAATTATTTTCAATTATAGTATAAAATTTTTAGAGATTTAATTATTTTCGTAAATAATAAAATTCTTTTTATGAATTCAATTTTCATAAATAATAAAATTTTCGCCGGAATTTAATTATTTGCAAACACAATTTTCCTAAAATTTTTCGAAAAACATCAATTATTTACAATGATTTTTATAAAATTCTTCGCTAGAATTCAATTATTAAAAAAAAAAAAATTCTTCGTAAGAGTTCAATAATTTTTGACAATTTTAATAAAATTCGTTGCAAGAATTCAATTATTTAACAAATTTTTTATAAAACTCTTCGAATCAATTCAATCCTATTTTAAAAAATTTTGATAAAATTCTCAGCAAAAATTAGAATTATTTTCAAAAATTTTATTAACTTCAGTTTTTCATAGTTCTGAACATTCAAATGCAATTTTTTGTCAATATTAACATTTTTAAGACTCAATCAACAAATTAATATTTTTAGTTGAGTAATTTTTCAAATTTTGTATAAAAGGATACATTTTTTTAATAATCCATATTTTAAATTTGATAATTCTTCGATTGATATATCTACAAAGCACGCTATCACAGCCGTACAAATTCCTATTAATAGGAAAATGAACCATCTTGCAAGTTTCTTTTTAATCACGAATTTATATCCCTTTTTTCTTTCTTCATCCAGAAGTAGATTATTTTCACAGGGATCATAATCCAGACTCTTGAAAATAAAAACACGGTCACTATTTATTTTTTCAAATTGTATCGAATGCCGATTTTATAGAATAAATAATTTTCCTCGTTTTGAACGTTCATATGAACGAATATTTTTCAAAACTACTATACAAAAAAGAAAAATAATTTTAAAAAAATTACCTAATATAACAATAACAATAATAATAATAATAAAAATTAATGGAAAAAACAATTAATTTTGAACAAATTTTAATGATTATGAACATAATTTTAAATACAAAATAATTCTTTTTGTAAAAAAAATATAAAATTGAAAGAAGTAGAAAAATATCGTTTTTCAATTGAACGTTCGAAACAATAGGTACATAAAAATAGTATAAAAGTATAAATATTAAGAAATAGAGATTAAAAAATAATAATAATAATAGAGTTTAAAATAAAATAGATATAATAATAGAGATTAAAATTTTACCTCATAATTTGTGCTAAGGAAATTCGTTGCTCCAGGAGTTAATTCTCCAGTATTGAGTCTCCTCGATTGCCGATTGGAAACACTTTCCATAATACTGTTAAAGCCATAATTTTCTTCTGCACTTACGTTCTGAAAAAAAATTCTATTAAAAACGTACTTTCGACGATTTCGACCAAAAACTACGTAAATCGTTTGCTTCTTTTAAATTTTACTTTGATAAAAAATAAAACTAGAAAATTACAGTATTCTTTTCATTCAGTTGTTTTTGTTTTGATTATACAAAAAGGATCAATTTTAAGGTTAGGTTCACAAACGTCAAAGGAAAATAATTAATTTCAAGTACTTATGTGATAATTCTTACCCTGAATCTAACATTAACATCATCGTTTGAGTATGAAATGAAATTATTTCGAGGAGTATTTCTCTGTTTGACAAGTTTTTCTTTGTCATCGCGACTGTCACGACTGTCATTGAGACTGCATTCACTGACAACGTCGTTTATTAAAATAGCAGACGATGTTGTTGGAGATGTCATTTTAATTTGTAAAACACTAGGATATTTTAATTATTTATTACTTTTTAGTCAATCATATCTTTTTTTTCAGTGGTAAAAACACGTTTCTTTATTTTCTTTTTATTTATCACAATGACCGAGTCTGAATCATTTCTGTTGTATACTTGCTTGATAATGGTGCAACATGTCTATTGTAGATAAAGTAGTGTGTCTTTTTTTTTGGTCACGTGACATTTGAATGAATCATATTTTCTGGTATTCCCTTGCTCCATTCTGCGGATGTTGTACTGTTGTGTCCTGATTGTGTCTTTGTAAAAATGAATGTAGGAGCGTATATATATAATGTAATATGCAGATTAGATAATTGTTACATTCGTTTCTGCTAAAGTCAATTATTAATTAATTTACTCTAATCTAAAAGAGATTCTCTTCTTTTTATAGAAAGGCAGAATTATTTTTAACTTTTTTCTTAAATATTGTATTTATTTTCATATCCTTGTCAATTTTTTGTTTATTTATTTTTTTATAATTATATTAAGGGAATATAAAATTCTAACAGTAATTAGAATAATTTTATTTCTTCAATAAAATCTTAATATGTTGTTGGAATTGTTATTTTAACTAGAACACTACAATATTTTAATTATTAATTATTTTTACATTCTCATAAAAGAAGAGAAGGTCTTGGATTTTTTTTATTTAAAATGCTGGTATTTACATAAAATAATAAAATAAATTAAATTCAATTCAACTTTTTTGAAAAAAATAATTCTAGATAATTGTTAGTAGTTACAAGTATGAAAAATTCAAATTTTCAAAGATTTTATTTTGAAACCTTTTCAAAATTCAATTATTTCTAAAAATTTACGTTATAATGCTTATAATATTCAATTATCAAAAATTTTAACAGAAATTCATTTTTTTTTTTAAATTTTTTATTAGAAAATTCTATACGAGAATTCAATTATTTAAATACAAAAGTAAATAATTTATTGAGTAATTAAATGTTTCTCAAAAATTGTATTCTCACATAAAGAATTTTATCAACAAATTTTTAAATACATAATTGAATTCTTTCAAGGAATTTTGATACACTTTTTAAGAATACAATTATTTACATTTTCTGAGGAAGTCGATTAAAATTTTAATTATTAAATTAAAAAGAATTGAAATTCTACGATGAGATTTATTATTTATGCAAATGTAATTGAATTTCTTTGATAAATTTTACATCCGTTTATATTTTATTTTGTTGTAATAAATTTTACGAGGCCTTATACGGTATAAGGCCTCGTAAAATTTATTACAACAATGTAATTGAATGTCTGTAAAAAATTTTATTATTTATGAAAATAATGGAATTATTGCGAAGAAATTTATAAAAAATTTGTAAAATTTTGAATTCCTGTCTGAAATTTTTATTATTTATGAAAATAATTAAATGTTTGGCTAGAATTTTCAAATTAAAATTTTTTTCAAATAATTGAAATTTTGACAAGAATTTTATCAAAATTTTTAAAATTAATTGAATTTTGTCGAATAATTTTGGTATTTATAAAAGATAATTGAAATCATGACGAGGATTTTAAAAAAAATTTTTGAAAATAATTGAATTTCAGCGAAGAATTTTATTACTTTTGAAAATAATATTGAATTATTCTTTTAATGAATTTTGTTTTTTTTTAATATAATTGAATTTTGCAAAGAATTTTTTTTTAAATTCTTGAAAATAATTGAATTTTGTCGAATAATTTTGCTATTTATAAATATAGGTAATAATTGAAATTTTGACGAGGATTTTTAAAAATTTTTTGAAAATAATTAAATTTTTGCGAAGAATTTTGTTACTTTTGAAAATAATTGAATTCTTTTGATGAATTTCGTTATTTATGAATATTAATTGAATTTTGCAAAGAATTTTTTTTTAATTTCCTGAAAATAATTCAATTTCTGGAAAGAATTCCGTTATTTATCAAAATAATTAAATTCCTTCAAATTCTATTAGTTTGAAAAAATTTGAGTAAATTTATACAATTTATAAGTAATTATTTTATTATTTAAAAATAAATTATTCTCAAAAATAGAAAAAATTGAAGGTTTTGTATTAGAATTCGTGGTTATTTCATAGTTTATAAGGCAAAAAAAAAAAAAATGCACAATTTTCATAGGTATAAATTTTATAAAAATGATAAATAATAAAACAATAAAATCTTAATTTGTCTTAATTCTGTCTTTATTAAATAGAAAATTAAATAATAAGTAAAATTAAAATTACAGAGATAGGAAAATTAAAATGAATTTAAAAGATTACACAAAATTGAAAAAAGTTAATAATATTGAAGTAAAAATGAAAAATAAAGTTAATTTTTTTATTATAAATTATAATTTCTAATTTTTACACTCTCATATTATTTTTTATACACAAAGATAATAGAAGATTATAAATATTTTATAAACATTCCAGTAGAAGTTTTAAAACGATTGTACATATTATAAATTATTTCTTGACATTATTTACTATTTACAATTTAAACCATTTCATACACGTTTAATAATAAATTGATGAGAAAAATAGGTTGAAATATCAATAATAACTGCTAGTCAAAAAAATTCAATAAAATAATTATAATTATAATAAATATATAATTGTAATATGAAATACACAATTTTAATATTTTCTACTTTTTTTATATGTATGTATGTAATAATTTCTGTTTAATTATATTGCAATATTTTTTTATTTCCTTATTGCAATATTTTTTTTATTTCTTTATTGCAATACAATTAATTTTTATTGTATCAATTAATTTTACAATCATGAAATAATATAAAATTAAGTTTACAATTATGAGATTATAAAATTAATTTTATATTTCCATCTTTCGAATTATTAATCATTTTAACAATTTTTCTAATTAGTATAGTTACTAATTAGTAAATTATTTTTTTTCATATTTTCCTACAATTTGGATTATTTTTATAAATCAATGGACTCTAATTGATAATTAAATACTTTTAAATATTAATTAAGTTGAATCAGTGCGTAAAATGGTCCCTGAAATTAGCGTCGAGGAAGTTAGCGACGCTCAGCGTCGAGAAATATTTCGAAAAATAGTCACGAAACCAAAAAGAGTAGAACAATTTTTTTTTTGGTTTTTATATTTGAAAATACTGTGAAAATTCTCGCTGTGAATAAAAGAGGCGAAATTAGTGATATTTGTGACCCTAAAACCTCAAATATATAGTTTTCGACACTGAGCGAAAAACTATTTTTTGACCTGAGATAAAAAATCAATAAAAGAATATCTAGAATCGTTGGTCCTTTAAATTTCGAACTTCCAAATACAATGAGAAAAGTGTATGAAGTGATTCCAGTCGTGCATCATCATAAACAGGAATATCCACCAGATTACAAACTAAATCAACTAGAGTTGAAATATCACAATCTAATTTCGAAATATCAATTGGAGTATCGTTCAATTTCTCTTCAACTTCAGAAGGCCATTGTTGAAGTAAAGTGTCGATGTCGGGAAATTTTCTTGTCAAATTAATTGTCAAGGGATGTTTTCTACTGTGCAATGCACCCATGTCCTCGATCCATTTGTCAATTGATTTGCCATTTTTCTCCGCATTCTCCACGCGTTTAACCACCGAATATTTCACCTGCGTTGCACTCTTACTTTGACTGCGTAATTGTAAATGCAAAACTGCTGGATCTGATTGATTTGTACATGGCTCGTCCAATACGACTAATCCCACTTTATCCGACACTCCATCAGGTCGGGGAATTTTTATGAAAGCGTCTATATCGCCAACTGCCGGTATGTAATCGGGAATAAATGGTATTAACTTGTAATTTAAGTCAATTTTTTGCGGTACGTATCTGAAAAATGCCGCAAAAAAAAATTATTACAATTTTTTGGTTTATTTGCCTTCTGGGCTAAAAACCATGTTTTTGAACATGGTTTTTTGTTTAAATCTTTTTTTCAATAATTTTGAACGTAATTGGGTAAAATTTGAAAATACCTTTGTATGTTTTGAAAGAGTTCCCTAATTTCCGATGACACTTGCAAATGCTCAAATTGTTTAGGATCGTAGATTTCAATAATTTTTGCATTCGATGCTTGAATATCGTCCTCGTCGGTTTCATCCGTGTCGGAGAGATCACTTCCGACATTAACTGGTTTTGAAAAATTGAAGTCCTGCTCCGAATTTCTAGTAATTTTCGAATTTTGATATTATTAATGAATAATAAAAATTAATTAAAATTCAAAATTATTAATAATAAATAAAAAAAAATATTTATTAAAAATTATTAATAACTAGCAAATGTTACATGATGTTAAATTTATTTTTATTAAACAGTCGAACCTGTCGGAATGCAACTCTCTCAAAAATGACCAACAAGAATAATTTTCAATTTAGTTCTAAAATGTTGTAAAAATAATTACAAATTTAAATTGTAAAACAAATTTTTAAGAATTGTTTACTTTAATAAAGTTTATAAAAAATCGAGTTGTATTCCGACAGGTTTCACTGTATAAATTACAAAATTTTTTATTTTCAAATATAAACTTTGAGTTTTGAATAATTTCAGATTGAAAATTAAAAAAATGGACTTATTAACTAATTTACTAATTAATTATTATGGTTTTTCATTTTCTGGAATTTTCATAAAATTCTTTGCAAGAATTCAATTATTTTTATACATAATAGCAATCTTGGGAAGAATTAAATTATTTCTGTAATAGTAAAATTCTTTGCAGAAATTCAAGTATTTTTAACACAATTTTTAAATAAATTTCGTGAAAGGATTCAAATAATTTTTGAAATTTTAATAAAATTTTATGAAAGAATTCAATTATTTTCTAAACTTTTAATAAATTCTTCGAAGGATTTCAATTATTTTTATAAATACTTAAAATTCTTTGCAAGAATTAAATTATTTTTATAAATAATAAAAATTTTCTAAGGAATTCAATTATTTTCAATAAAATTTTAATAAAAGTCAATAATCAAAGTTTTTAATTATAATTATTGACAGACATGATTATTTTAAAAAGTTGACAAAAAATTCTTTGCTAAATTCAATTATTTTCAAAATTTTCAATTAAAATTATCAACAAACTAAATTATTTTCAAAAAAGCAAAAGAAATTCTTCCAAAATATAATAATATTCTGCAAAGAATTTAATTATTTTCTAAAATTTTTAATAAAAATCAATAATGAAATGTTTAATTTCAATTATTAACAAACACGACTATTGTTAAAACTTAAAAGTAGTTCTTTGTAAAATTCAGTAATTTTTAAAATTTTTAATTAAAATTATTAAAGAAACTTCATTATTTTAAAAAAATTCAAAGAAATTCTTCAAAAGCATTTAATTTTGATTTTCGAAAATTTTTATAAAATTCGTCGCAAGAATTTAATTTAGATTTTGGAAAATTTTAATAAAATTTGTCACAAGAATTCAATTATTAACATAAATACTAAAATTATTCGAAGAAATTCAATTATTTTCAAATTTTTTAATAAAATTCTCTGCCATAATTCAATTATTGTCATAAATAATAAAATTCATCGAAGAAATTCAATTATTAACATAAATAATAAAATTCTTCGAAGAAATTGAATTATTTTCAAATTTTTTGATAAAATTCTTTGCAAGAATTCTAGGATTGAAAAATTGAAAATAATTAAAAAGAAAAACTATTAAAAAAGTTATAAAAAAATTGTATTTTAATATCAATTTGAAAGAAAAGTTTACCTTTTATTAAAATTATTTTTCCCTTTTGGGGAAATTAAATCGTGTGCCGGTGTGTCTCCAGAGAAATTTCTCGAATTTCTTCTTTTAGCAGAAGGTCTCCTTGAAATAGGGCTTTTAGCTTCATCAGAGTTTCGAATCTCGTTAGCTTCGTCAAATTTTGTAAAAGCTGAAATATTGTGAGTGTCCTCTTCCTCACTACTGTCTCTAAAATTCATAGTTGCTTCAAAAATTTGTCAAAAAATTCCTCTTCTAAAAATTCTTTCTTTCATTCTTTAATTAATTCTTTAATCAATTCTTTAATTAATTGCATTATTATGGTAATTTTTTTTCTACATTAAATTTCCAATTTTGTTATTATGAATTTGAAACATAATTGTTTGGTTAGAAATAGTTAACACTCTGCAAAAATGTGACACATTTCACTGCTCGTCGTTATTGTTTGCCCGGTGAGTCGCCTTGGAAACGATACACTTCGATGCATTCAGCTGTTTTTTAAAATTAGTTTCTAAATTAGTTGAGTTTCCTCTTTCTATAAAGATAATAACTTATTGTTAAAGGCAATTATACACCATAATAAATTATTTATAAACAAAATATGGAAATAATATTTTATAGAAAAAAAAGGTCATACAATTTACTTTTCCCTTTATATAGGTATTAATTGATTTTATGCAATAATGGAAGACATTGAGGTAATTTATGCTTTTTTGGAATAAATTTTTGAAAAAGCAGAATTTTTGCTTTGGTGTGTTATTTTTAATTGCCTCTGATTTCGAATGCTTTTCACTTTCAATTTTTCTCTCTCCATTCACGTATTGAAAATTGTCTTTGACAGTCATTTTTATTTTTATTTTTTTTTAACAAAATCCTGATGAATAAAAAAAATAAAAATTGAACATTTTTATTTATTTTTTGTTTATTTTATTTTCTTATTTGATCAAAAAGAAAATAAGTGAAACTTTTTGATTTGCTTCAATTAAAAGATTATAATTTTACGATACACTTTTTTTTAAAAAGCAATCTTTATTTTGCGTAAAATACGAAAATTCGTCCACTTAAAACTGATTACAAAAGTTAATTATAAAGATACATAAAAAATTTCCTTATGAGATCACCAAATGATAAGCAAAATTTGTAAAAGTGATTCTATAATTAAAAAAGTAAACAATTTTGATTTTCATTCCCATTAAATAAATTATGAAATTAAAAAAAATTAAATTCCTTTAGATACAAAAATTAGTTCATCCATAAAATATTCCAATTCTTCATAATTTTCGCGATTTCTTGATTTTTTTACGCGTTAAAATCCTCTAAAATAAAATTCTTCAAAAATTCTCTTCATCATCATCTGGGAAAATCATAATTAAAATATGATTTCGAGAAAAAATGTCCCGTGGTTTTCAACCGTTATAAAAAAAATCGCCAGTTTAGGATTTTTTTTTCTTTAAATTGGATATTTTCCATAGATTTGACCACTTCGTGTTTTTCGAATTAGCCAAAGTTGTCGATTCAATTTATTTTTCATAATTTCAGTTCTTTGTGTATATTCCGAATTGTTATTGGTATAATCGCCATAAATTGACGGTGAATTATTCGCATTTTTTCTCGATTTATACTTTTTTTTGCAACGATTCTCTTTTTTTGGACTTTCATTTCCTTCGGAAAAATATTCATCTCCACGATCCCTGTAATAATTGATTGTTTCTGGATTCCAATTTTTGGGGAAATCGTAAATTAAATCTTCTGGTAAATCCATAATAAATCTGTGAAAAGAAATTAGATTTTTGAAATGTAGATTTTAAAATAATTATTAGACTTTACTAAAATAGTTTTTACATTTTTTTTGTGTTTTTACAATATTTTAATTTTATTACAATTGTTTTATTTATTTCCATGTTTTTATTTTTTTACTTTTATTTTATTTTTTATTTTTTTTCTTTTCTTTTTTCTTTTTTAGATTTTTTTAGAATTTAATTTTGATAGATTTACCTATTCTTCGACGATTTATCAATAAAATAATCGTCGCTGTCATCTTTATTGCCTTTTACTGAAAGAATAATGAGGACCACTGTGAATGAGGTGAGAATAAAAATAGTTGCTAAATCAACAAAATTATGTTGAATTGAAGATGTCAATCGATTTTTTAGTTCTTTTATTTCATCCATCGTTCCATTCGATTCATTCGACGAAATTAAATTTGGAAATTCGTGAATAATCAAATCCTGTAGAAAATTGTATTTTTAAAATTATTTCACATGATTTTTATTACAATAAAATAATTAATAAATAAAACATCGTTAAAATTATTATAAATCAATAGAAAAGAATATGGAATTTAAATCAATTTTAGAATTTTTTTTATTTTTATAATCCTATTTGATTTGAAAAAAGTTGAATTTTCAAAATTTTAATTAAAAAACAAGAATTTATTTCTTTAAGTATTTAAAAAACTTACTCGAAGGTAGACTAATATTTTTTGAAATATAATTTGAATCTGATGATAAATATTTTCAAAATTGTCCATTTTTCTTCTTTTTTACTTAATTATTCTTAATCGACTTTGAAAACGAAATCTTAGTTTCCGCGTATTCCGTGAATCAAATACCCTTTAAATTTATCATTTGTTGCCAAAAAAAAAAAAAATGTTTTTGATAAGGCGAACTGCCGGTAAATTTGACAAAGACTTGAAAGTTTACTCTAAATGTCATGTTCGCAAGCTCGCATATATATTTTTATTAACTTTGAACACAGCAACTTGAAAAATAAAGATTTTATGTTGTTTTTTCTAAAATTTTTTGCAAATTGATAAGTAGTTTTTAGTTCATTTAAAAACTTGTGATGCTTGTGAAAAATTGTCATCGCAAAATGTTGAAAAACCCAATTTTAAATCAAACTTCTTTAAAATTAAGGCTCTATCAATATGAGTAACAGTTTCAATCAATATTATCAATTAAGTTCTGAATGAATAAAGGTAATTAATCAAAGCTACTCAAAATATTTAGATTATCGTCTCATTATTATTATTAATTTTTAAGTTTGATGAATAATTATCAAAAACTTAAAGGTTAATAGTCTTAATTAATACGAAATTTGATTATAAATTTTTTTCTTGATAAATTTTCGTAAATTATAAATATTGATTAAATGCAAAAAATTTGTTCATTAAATTAATGTCTCGTGAAAGATAAGTAGTTCAATTGGATGCTTCTTTTTATCTACTACTACTTGTTACGTCGAAAGATAATACCTTTTTTTTAATTTATTAATTTATTGTAAATAAAACTTAACACTATTTTCTTTTTTTGATAATTTTTTTTTAAAAACATATTTTAGAATTTATAACAAAAAAAAGTACCTTAAGTCATGAAATTTCAATCTTTTACCGAGAATTAAATATTAAGTCGATGATGAGCTTTTATTATTGTGATTTGAGATAATGAATCTTTTGCGAAAACCATACGCAGGTATGAGTGCAATAAGTTCAGATGAGTTTGAGTAGTTGATGTGTAATCGTCAAATGAAATTCATTCTGCATTTTCTAAATTCAATGTTCTTAGAGTTTAATTAATTTTTAAAAAAATTTTTACTATAATTTTTACATTTCAATTTTTATTATAATTTTTAAATTACAATTTTTATTATAATTGTTAAATTACAATTTTTATTATAATTTTCAATTAAAATTTTCGATTACAATTTTTAATTAAAATTTAAAGAAGAAAAAAATTATTGTATTACAAACTTTGAACATCATAATGTAAACATAATTTTATTTGCAAAGTATAATCGCCTAAAGGAAGCATGGATGTTAATTGTAATATTCAGAAAATTTAAAAAAATTCTTCTGTGAGTTAAAATTGATTTTATTGTTTTTTCGTTAATACAATAAACATAAGTGTTTTGAAAAAAAGAATAGTGCAAATTAAAAAGTTGTAATTCCTTAAAAACGTGAATGTGATATGGGTGATCAGGAAAGTGGAAATCAAACTGTAAGCAAATGTGTTAAAAAGTTTCTAAAAAAATATTTGTTTACTTATTTTTATATTTTTTTATACTTTTGCTTAATTTAAAATTTTTTTTTTAAATTATTAAAATTTTAATGTTAATTGAATGTGATTTACGGAAACAAATTTTTCACTGAAACAACTACAAATTTCACTATATTACAGAAATGTTTCTTTGTTTCAATTAATAATTTCGATATTCTAGAGAAACTTATCGCTGTTCCAGGTGAATTTTTTTTCCGTAATAATTAAACATTAAGTTTTAGTGTTAATTAATTTAAATAGTTAATTAAATTTAATGGTTAGCTTAATGAAACAATGAATCATAATGGATATACAAATGAAGCTTTTCATAATGATGAAGTACTTTCAAAAAGAGAAAATAATGAGAAATCGAGAATCAAATCAAGTGGAAAAGTTGCACCCTCATCAAATACTTCGGTAATGATATTAAATTGATTTAATTTTTAAAAAAATGGAATTTTATTTTTAGAAATGTAAGCGGTTATCATTTTGCATTGAAAATTGTTTGCTTTAGTGCAATTTTGTTTTTAAAATGCTACAATAAAAACTTTATGTCAGTTATATTTGTCGAGATATCTAAATCCAAGAACATAAGGTCATAAAGTTTTCAGAGAATAAAAAGGTTTTTTTTCTGCAAAAGCAATTTTTATCTTTCATGAAAGAATTTTTAAAATTGAATCATTTTTGAAATCATAAAAAAAATCCATGGTCAAATATTCCTTATATTGAAACAAAAAAAAATTTTATACATGTGATGCTATATGGATAAAGGGATTTATCTCCCAAAAAAAAATATTAGGCTACTTTTATGATCATTAATTTAGTCTTTTTTAGTAGAACTTTTTTTAAGTTCATAAATTAAAAAATAACTTTTATTGACTATTTATGTCTCTATTCCCTAAAGTTCTGAACGTTCAAATGAAGGAAATTTACTTATTTCTTCTTTAAATTTAAATCTTTATTGCAATAATTTTGCGTCAGGTACAAAATATTAAATTATAAGAATTTTAAATGCTTAATTTAGTGTTTTGCTTTTTATAAGGCAGTAATTTTTGAAAATGTTTGTATTGGCAAAAAATTCGTTCATTTGAATGTTAAAAAATTGTGCATCATGTTTTGGATCATATTTTGGATGTAATAAGGATTTAAATACCATTAGTTTACATTGAAAGTTAATCCTTTTTTTGTACTGTTGCTTCAAAATTAAGAACTATAAGCTACAATTTTTTGGGAGGCAGGTCCTTTTCATCCTGGGGCCTCACTTAATTATAATTAATAAATATATTTTATGCTAAATAGAATTTTTAAAAAAATATTATTATGATAATATTTACTGTCCTAGTCGAATGATGAAATTGAAAAGGAACAATGGGGTGGTGGTCTCGAATTTCTAATGGCATGTATAGCAACTTCTGTTGGACTTGGAAATATATGGCGATTTCCATTCACTGCTTTGGAAAATGGAGGGGGTGCTTTTTTAATTCCTTACGTTATAATTCTTATTTTTGTCGGAAAACCATTTTATTATTTGGAAGCTATTTTAGGACAATTTACTAGTCGATCGTGTGGCAAAACATGGTCAATGACACCTGCAATGAGAGGTATTTCAATCACTAAACGAAAGATTTTAATTGCACATAGTATTAATTATTATTATCATTATTATTACTATTAAAAAATTACATCATCCTAATCGTAATGATTGTTTGTAGGTTTAGGATATGGACAAGTATTAACTGCATTTTGTGTCGTGACATATTATTGCAGTTTAATGGCGCTGACAATTTATTATTTAGTGTCAAGTTTTCAGTCTGTTCTTCCCTGGTCCTATTGTCGTGAAGGTTGGAATAATTGTCTAGACGCTTCTTTTAATATTTCCAATGGAACGATTTCGCAAAATACGACTCCTAGCAGCTCTGCAGAATTATTTTTTCGGTTTGTTGAAATTCACTGTAAAAATTAAGTATCTTAAAAGTAACTTTGTTGTCACTTTTAAGATACTTCTTTTTGTAGTGTTGTTAATAGAAATTATTGCAGTGGAAAATGTTTAAATTAGACAAAATCGAATCGGAAATGCAGTAAAATAATTTTGATATTTTATACCTATACTTTTACAGAAAGATAGTTTTGAATGAATTGGACTCAATTGAGGATGGTATTGGTCTACCATCGTGGTCATTGAGCCTTTGTCTTTTATTTAGTTGGCTCTGCTTGTTCGCCATCATGTGTCGTGGGGTTAAAAGTTCGGGAAAAGCTGTTTATTTTCTAGCAATATTCCCCTATATTGTGATGATTATACTTCTGATAAGAGCCGTCACCTTGGAGGGAGCTGTGAATGGAATTTTGTTTTTCTTTGAGCCCAAATGGGAAGCTCTTCTTAAACCAAATGTTTGGTATGCTGCAATTACACAATGTTTCTTCTCGCTCTCCGTGTGCTTTGGACCTATTATCACCTACTCTTCGCACAGCAGATTCAATCATCAATTGAGCAGGTAATTATTTTAAGGTCCCTGAAGTTAGTGTCGACTATTTTTTTGGGGGTTTTTAGTGATGAAAATGGCACTAATAGTACTGCTTTCATTTAGTAAGAATTCCTATACTTTCCATTTGGTGGTTCCAAGGCTTCTTTGGAAAAGTTGTTGAATAGTTTTCGTTTTGCAAAAAGTTTGCTTTTTGATAGTTAGAGTTGATGCTAACTTCAGGGACCTAAATTTTAATGCTTATCGCAGTTTTTTGTAAAGATACCAAATTGAGATCATTAACAGCATCAAAACATTAAATACAATGACTTTTTAAGAAGCATGTTTCATTTTTAAGGGACGTGGTTATTGTAACGACTCTCGATACATTTACGAGTTTAATGGCCGGTTGCACGATTTTTGGTATTCTTGGAAATTTGGCTCATGAAATGGGCACAGATGATATCTCGAAAGTTGTACTCGGAGGAACTGGACTGGCATTTATTTCGTATCCAGATGCTCTTTCACGTTTTGCAGTGGTACCGCAATTCTTTTCTGCTCTCTTTTTCTTTATGATGTTTGTCCTGGGAGCTGGTAGTGCAATGGCACTTTACAATGTTGTTGTTGCTGTTTTATGTGATCATTTTCCACATGTTAAACGATGGAAAACTGCCCTCATTATGGCTATTATTGGATTTCTTTTTGGCCTGATCTACATTACACCTGTAAGAAGTTAAAAATACTTTTGACCATTAGAGATTTATTTTCAAGATCATAAATCTAACATGATAATTATTTTATAGGGTGGTCAATGGTTTGTGACACTAATCGATTACTACGGTGGAAATTGTGTTGCTATAATTGTTGGTGTTGCGGAAGTGATTACAATTTTTTGGATTTATGGACTCGTTAATTTTTTAAATGACACTGAATTCATGTTGGGTATTAGGCCTGGATTTTATTGGAAGATTTGTTGGTTTGTTATCACTCCTGTGTTGATGATTATTATTTTGTTTTATACTTTTGTTACGTATGTGCCTCCGACTTATAATGGAATAAACTTTCCTGATTATGCTTACGGTAAGACTATTTTATTAATTGTTTATCTTTTTGTGCAATAAAAAGATTTCTTTTCGCTTTTTTTCCTTTAGTAGTTTTTAAATTCGTTTAATTTCTATTTAGGTATTGGTTGGTTTATATTCGCCATTGGGATTATTCAGATGATAGGATTTATTGTCAGAGAAGTCATGAGACAGAAAAAATTGTCACTTTTGGAAGTAAGTTTTTTCATTTCGCTGAGAAAAGTATTTTCAATTCAGTTTTTTGTAGAATTAAATTATTTTTAATTAAATTTTTATAACCTCTTATTTTAGTCTATAAAAGCAGCCTTCAGGCCCTCGGAGAAAAATTGGGGACCATATAATCGTGAAACTCGAGCTAAATGGAAGGAATTTATTTTAGAAAAGAAGAAAATTCAACCGAACAGTAATTTTAAGGAATTATTTCACAGATAGTGTTTTTTAAGAAAAGTGAAAAACGCAGAAAAATATTTTTTGATAATTCTTTATAAGTAGATGTACAATTATTTTATACATTATTATTATTATAATTAATATTATTTACTACAAATCTGAAAATTGAATAGTATTACTAAATTTTAATGTTATTTCCTACTTTTCACAGTAAAAAGTAAATCTTAATTTAAGATCGGTCTTAAATTCAGCACTGTCTGCTATAATGTTAAAGGATACAAAATATGTGCGTAAATTCAGCATTGACTGCCTTAAAAATGTTGCATCTTAATTTAAGGCTGCTTTCCTGCCTTAAAATAAGACTTTCTTTTTACTGTGAATTGCTTTACTTTGTTATTTCCTATCTTTTAAATTTACATCTAAATCGATTTTCAAGGATCATAAATATTCTGACAAATGAATTTCTCAAAATTTTTTCTACGAATTAAGGTGTCATATTTTTTTTTCTATAAATATATTGAAGGATGTACTTTTCTTAATATTGAAGACATTAAAAAATAAATTATTCTTTTCTAAGTTGTATTGTTAGTTACTTTATAAATATTTATTTTTAAAAAATTAAAATTTAATTAACAAAATTTTATAAAAAATATTGATAAGGAAAAAATGTTTCTTTTGTACAAAATTATTTGTCCGAATAAATTAAATTTGAAAAATGATGTTCTTTGTGCAAAATTCTTAGACATAGATCGTAAATTTGTTTTTCTATTATAGCGTCTAAACGGTGTCACGAATGACACTACTGTTCCTAGCTTAATGATTTACCTGGAATTTTTTTTTACCTTTAGCTTGATAACATTCAATCAGTGATTGAAAAGATTGTTTCTCTAATTACATAAACTCTATTTAATTTTTAAAAAAGGGATTGCGTATCTCTTCAATTTCTAATAAATGCACTAAAAAAGAAAAAAAAATATTTAAAATTCAAGTAATCAATCGGTTATTTGAATTAAATAATTTTTCTATCATCAAATAAACATTCACTTGGATCAAAAAAATTTTAGTATTTGAATCAAGTAAATTCTTTTTCAGTGGAAATTATCTCATTATTATAATATATAAATTTATAATAATAAATCTATATACTATGATATATGTATAAATGTTTATAATATTTATAAAAGTTGAACCTTCAATATATTTTTAAATTTTGGTCGGCCAAATGGTGCTAAAATATTGTTGCATTTACTAAAAAAAATCTCCTTTTTTGTTCTTTATCTTTTTTTTAATGAAAGCAGAGATTAATTTTACGAAAAAAAACGCGGTAAGAGGTAACGTTTGGTTTTGCAAAGACAATATCACGTGATTATGAACAAGAATAATTGTTCTTAACGTGGATGCCATTCAGTCATAAGCAACTACAATAGAAACATATACAAAAGAAATAAAACATAAAAATATCAATTTTTCTGCTTAGTTATAAATAACGTGAAGGATAAATAAAGTAAATATAATAAATATATAAAGATTTACCACACATTTTGTTAATTAAGTTTAAGGAATTCAAGAAAAAAAAGTGATGAAGGTGATTTGAAAATCAATTAGCTAAGATATTGTTTTAAAATATATAAATATAAACAATTTATATAATAATCTGATACCTTTAATAATATACAAATCCATTTGTATTTTTTAATTAATTTATATTAAAAACTAGAATAGCTCTACATACATAAATGATGCATTCAGTCAGGAAAATGTGCAAATTGAATTATCGAAGACAAATTCAGATAAAAATTTACAAGAGAAGGTTGTCAATAATTCCGTTAATTTGGAAACAGAAAAAAGAAATTCAACTTCTTCGGTAGAATTGGTAAATAAACATATTAAATACCTAATAAAAATAAAACTGAAGTGATTTATTTTGATTAAAATTGCAAAAATTAACATTGTGATTATGAAAATAAAAAAACGAAAGTGGTAGTAATGAAAAATTGTTTTGTAATTTAAACGAAGGTGAAAAAGGAAGAATGGGGTGGCAGACTAGAATTCCTAATGGCGTGCATTTCAAATTCTGTAGGACTTGGAAATATTTGGCGATTTCCTTTCACTGCTTTGGAAAATGGAGGTGGAGCCTTTCTTATTCCTTACATCATCATTCTTTTTTTAGTAGGAAAACCTTTTTATTATCTCGAGGGAATTTTAGGACAATTTACAAGTCAGTCTTGTACGAAAACTTGGAACATGTCACCTGCTATGAAAGGTAAATTTCAAAAGATTGTACAAAATGTGATTATTTAATTAATGTTTTAATTCTAATGTAGTAATTAAAAGTTGAAGATAAAAATTGTATCTGATTGTTTCCTTAGGTTTAGGATATGGACAAATATTTGTTGCATTTTGCATTGTTTCGTACTACTGCAGTTTAATGGCATTGACAGTTTATTATTTAATAGCAAGTTTTCAAAGTATTCTGCCATGGTCTTATTGTCGAGATGAGTGGGGAGGACATTGTGTTGATGCTTCATCAAATATTACGAATTTTGGAAATGAAACTTTTAGTAGTTCTGCTGAATTGTATTTTCGGTTAGTTAAAATTAGCAAAAATTCGGTAAATATTGATAAGATTGGGCTTAAGAAGTAGTAATGTTTAATTTTGCAGGAAAATCGTATTGAATGAAATTGATTCGATTGAGAAAGGCCTAGGTATTCCGTCATGGTCGTTGTTGCTCTGCCTGCTTTTCAGTTGGTTATGCATGTTTGGAATAATGTCCAGGGGAGTGAAAACTTCGGGAAAGGCAGTATACTTCCTGGCAATTTTTCCCTATGTTGTGATGATAATCCTATTAATTAGAGCAGTAACTTTAAGTGGCGCTTTCAACGGAATTTATTATTTCGTATATCCAAAGTGGGAGGAACTTTTAAAACCCAAAGTATGGTATGCAGCCATTACTCAATGCTTCTTTTCCCTGGGAGTCTGTCTCAGTCCAATTATATCTTATTCTTCTCACAACAATTTTAATCATCCATTAAGTAGGTAAGGTCATTTCCCTAACAGCTTTGTTATATTTACAATCGACAACAAGTTGATTCGTTCTGAAAGGTAGAATTCTGTCTCTCATTGACTGTTTTCGGCACTCACGAGTTAACGATGATCCAATCATTAATAACATTCATCATTAACTCGAAATTAATTCGGGACGAGTGCCGAAAAGAGCCATTGTGAGAAAAGAAAGATATATAAGTAACGAATAAATTTAGGGACATTATGATTATTACGACTTTGGATACCTTCACGAGCCTGATGGCGGGTTGTACGATTTTTGGAATTCTCGGCAATTTAGCTCATGAAATGGGAACAAACGATGTTTCAAAGGTTGTTCGCGGTGGATCGGGACTTGCATTCATTTCATATCCAGATGCACTGTCTAGATTTTCGGTTGTTCCGCAATTTTTCTCCGCTCTCTTTTTCTTTATGATGTTTGTCTTGGGAGCTGGAAGTGCTGTGGCTTTACACACCTCAATTACTGATGTCGCCCTTCATTGTTGCTCAAAGCAAAAAAAGTGGATCATCATTTTAGGAACTTGTATCATTGGATTTTTATCAGGCATAATCTACACCACTCCAGTGAGTCAATGCTGTATTTTAAAACTTATTTAAATAACCGAGACTGAAGTCCGCATCGTATTTTTTATCTGTAAATTCAATGTAACTATCTTTGTTAAGGAAAAATTAATCGTCTTTGTTTTTAAAAACGATCTGGACTTCAGATCTTTTAAACAAGAAGTTCATTTGGATATTATTAATTTTTTAAGTAGTTATTATTTAATACTTAAATTGTTTTTATTAAACATTGTTACATATTTAAAATTTACTTGTGGAACTTTTATGTTAAGTAAGTAAATTACTACCGATCTCGTAGAAATTAATGCTGCTTTGCATAACTATTAATTTTATAGCTATTAAAATCTTTTTCTAAATTTTTATGCTTTATTAAATTGCTTCTAACTTTAGCAGTAAAATGATATACAGACATAAAAATTAGTAAATTAGTTTATAAATTAAATTAATTAAGTTTAAAATTTAATTGTTTAGGGTGGTCAATGGTTTGTAACACTAGTGGATTATTATGGAGGAACATGTATTGCAATTATTATTGGAGTTATTGAGATTATTACAATTTTCTGGATTTATGGTCTGTATAATTTTTTGAATGATGCGGAATTCATGTTGGGCATAAGGCCAGGATTTTATTGGAGAATCTGCTGGTGTATTTTAACTCCTCTTCTTATGATTGTCATCTTATTTTACACATTCGCGACCTATGAACCTGTCAAGTATAATGATTTACTATTCCCATCTTATGCTTATGGTAAAAATTACTTTTTAAAAAATTTTCTTTTTGGTACAATGTCCAAATTGACTATATTGATATGTTAACTATACAAGGTCTAACTGAATTAAATATAATTTGCCTCTTTTAGCCATTGGTTGGTGTATATTTGCCGTAGGAGTTTTACTTATAGTTTATTTCATTATTCGAGAAATTCGGAAAAATAAAGATGTTTTAATACTTGAAGTGAGTATTAAAAAATTACGAGAAATATAATTAGGCACATATCGTGAAATGCGTATAATTAATCTTTTCTTAATTCAGGCGATTAAAAGTGCATTTAAGCCGAAAAATTGGGGCCCTTTGAGCAGTGAAACTCGAGGTAAATGGGAAGAATTCACAGCAGAGCGTAAAATTAATCGCAAAAGAGGTCTTTTCGAATTATTTTTTAGATAATAATTGTAATTTTAAGTTTCAAGTTTTGAAATACATTGTAGATTATATAAATAACATTAAAGTATCATTGAAAGCTAAAAACGAGAAATGTAAATAAGAATAATTTCCACAAACATTTATGTGAGTTAACGTTTCGTTACGCCCAACTGAATGTGGTCAAAAGTTACGCAAGAAATACCATGCTTCAATTTAAAATAATATTATTGATAAAATTACGAAATATCAAATTTTTCTGATTTACGAAAGAAAATATATCTCTTTTCTTAAAATATTTTCTTTTCACAACAAAGAACGTATTGATCAGGTCAGTGACAATGAACTAAAAAATTTAAATATTAATAATCTCATAATGTTTTTTAATCGGTATTTTTCAAGTAAACAAGAAATGAATAAAGAGCAATATTGTCACGCCTAATGAGAAAATGATTAATTTTTCCTTAATCTTATACAAAATAAACAGTGCATTATAATATACATATAGAATAAACAGTATATGATTATTTTTTGAAACAAACTCCATTGTTATAATAATATCACAATTTATTAACACATTTTTAAGGTCAATAATGATTTTTATATACATTAAGACACAATTGTTCTGAATAATAAAAAAAAATTCATTTCGCACACAAAAAATTTTGAAAATTTTTGTGACTTTCTACATTTATACAATTACAGTTAATTTTTTGAAAGAGTAAAACTAAATTTTATATGTACAAAAATACTTTCTCAACAATAACAAAATTTAATGTTTTCTTTAAAGTTAGTATAGTAATGGCAGTGTAAAATTAAAATTTGTTCCTTTTTTTTAAAAAAAAATAAATATCAGTAACTCACTAACAAGTATAATTTCTATCTTTTTGGTTATCCTTAGCAATAAAAATATTAACTACAACTACTATTTACAAGATTAACATTATTGGCAAAGTCACATTTTGTTCAATGTTAGTTTGATTTTTGTTTAAATAAAGTATGAATAATTTGCATAGTACGAGATTCCGTCCTCATGGATCTTAATTTTTCTTTATTTTCCTTGAAAATTAGCCATTCTTGACGATCCCTTTCTTCCCTTGGTCCCCAATCCGAGGATGGAGCAAAGGCTTTGGAGATCATCTGAAAATAGTGAATTATTAATATTTGTAAAGAAAAATATTTGAAAAAGGGAAAAAGAAAGTCCTGTCAGAGAATTTTGGTTTTACCTGTAAAGAGGGCAATCTTCTGTTCTTAATTAAAGCCACCATCATCCAAAATGGTATTTGCAAAACACCGAAAGCTAGTAACATATATCCGGCTACGTGGGCTGAAGTAGGATATGGGACACCACCATAAGTTAATGGTTGCATCATTATCACAGTATAGAAAAATATTACAATTAAGGTAAATGGAGTTATTATGAACCAACACAATCTCCAATAAATACTTGGCTCTTGGTTCAACATGAATTCAACGTCATCCAAGAAATTCTCCAAACCTATCGAAAAAAATTAGTTTTTTTAGAAAATAAATATAATTATATAATTAATATTAATAATTTGATATATTTATAAATTTTTGATACTCACCATAAACCCAAATTGTACCCATAATTTCAAAAGTTGCCAATATAAACACAACAAATGATGTACCGTAATGATCGACCAAATTCAGAATAAATTGTCCACCCTGTAATTGATTAAAATATTTCAATTTAGTTAAATAGAGATAATTTTCGATAAACGTAAGTAAATTTTTGATTACATCATTATAATATGACAAACGGAAACTCATTCGCATAATCATTGACAAAGTAGCAATTATATTCCATGTCAATTTCATATGCTTCAAGAGAAGTTACATCATATAATTTTTTTAATGACTATAGCACGAGATGAATTCTTTAGATCTTTCAATCTGATTTTGCATCAAAAATCATTTCTCTTCGATATTTATAATCAAATTGAAGATAAAATTTATCATATTAATTAGAAAAACGTGTATTATTTTTGAATATATCTACAGAAATTAATCAAAAATTGCTATTCATAAATTCTCATCATTTTATCATTTGTCTTGATAAAAAGATAACTTGATGAAAATTTAAAAATTGTTTAACCCTTTTAACTCTCTGAACTCATCCGCTTGTTAACCTAATTTTTACAAGCGGATGTTTAAAAAGAAATGAATTAAAAATGTGTTTACAAGAACTAAGAAAAGAAATTAAATCAACATACCGGCGTTACATACACGAGACCAACTAAAAATCCAAATGTACAGAATGGGTACAGAATTTGCCAGAATTTTAATCTTGGATATTGTTCTCTGATGCAATTTATGATACTTGTTGTCATACCAACGCAACTTCCAACACCCAATACGAACATCATTACAAAAAAGAGAACGGAAAAGACCTGAAATTGATAATTTTGATAAGTAACTAATAAAAATTATAAAAAGTTAAGAAATTTACAAAAGAATAAAATAAAAAAATAATAAAATAATGAAACATTAGAATGAAGATTACCTGTGGTACGAAGGAGAATTTGGCAATTGCGTCAGGATAGGAGACAAAGGCTAAACCAGTGCCAGCACGAACCACTGATTTTATGTCATCAGTTCCCATCTCATAGGCTAGATTTCCCAAAATTCCAAATATTGTACAACCCGCAATCATACTTGTTATTGTGTCTAGAGTAGTGATGATGATAACATCCCTAAAATTAAAAACATGTGATTTAAATTAGATAATTAAGCTTGATAGTTGTACCCTAAACAACTTTTGTTAAATATTAAATGTCAAGAAACTTATCAATCCTCCAAGTCAAATATTGAAAAATAATAACTCAATTTTACGTTTCGACTTTGTGCGATCAACACAACCGGCTTAAGTTAACTGACAAATATTAAATATAAATATAAATGTATAAAAGTACGAAATCAAGGGTCAGTAAACTTATTATAAAACAAAGGTGTCAATCATCGAAGAAATAAAATCAATATAGTGTCAATGAATACACACACACTTGACACGGAGATCGAGTATTGATTTCTGAAAATTCAAATTCGAATTTTTTGAAAAAAGTTTTATAATGTTGATTTCGATTGTTCGAGTCATCTTTTTTATTAAGCGATTTCTTTTGCAAGTTAATATGAATCATTTCAGAAATCAATCTCTTTTGACACACTGGTTCATTGTCGAGAATTTGAAATTTATCATAGTCAAAATCATAGTCAAAATCAAATTTCAAATTCTCGACAATGAACCAGTGTGGGAAAAGAGATTGATTTCTGAAATGATTCATATTAACTTGCAAAAGAAATCGCTTAATAAAAAAGATGACTCTAACAATCTAAATCAACATTATAAAATTTTTTTCAAAAAATTCAAATTTTAATTTTTAGAAATCAATACTCGACCTCCGTGTCAAGTGTGTGTGTGTGTATTCATTGACACTTATTGATTGTATTTCTTCGATGATTAACACCTTTGTTTTATAATAAGTTCACTGACCCATGATTTCGTACTTTTATACATTTATATTTAATATTTGTCAGTTAACTTAAGCCGGTTGTGTTAATCGCACAAAATCGAAATTAATTTACGGTGAATATTTCTTTCATTAATTTATGTTTTTATAACGTTATATTCTAATTTGTGTAATAATATTTTTACTTTTTAATAAATATTTTCAGTTTTCTGATGAGGACAGCAGGGCTGTCGAAACGTAAAATTGAATTTTTATTTTTTAATATTTGACTTGGAGGATTGATAAATTTCTTGACATTTAATATTATCTTTTACCGAGTGATAAATTCTACTACTTAACTTTTGTTAAATCCTAATCATTATAAACAATAACAAATGCAAAAAACATACCTGTAAATGTTGTGCCTGAAGGAATTGTGTGACGAATAAGTTATAATGGCACCAAAACACACCGAAAGGGAAAAGAAGCATTGAGTCACAGCAGCATACCAAACTTTTGGTTCCAAAAGTTTACTCCACTCGGGTTTGATGAAAAATAAAATTCCTTGCAAGGCATTTTCCAAAGTTACGGCTCGCACAAGCAGAGCAATGAGAATAACATAGGGAAAAATTGCCAAAAAATACGAAGCTCTTCCTGAACTTTTTAGTCCTTTTGATAGAACCAAGCAAATAGTCACCCAACTGCCTAGTAGACAGAGTACCAGTTTCCAATTTGGAATTCCAATTCCATTGTCAATTGAAGCCGTTTCTTTTAGGACTTCTTTTCTGTTTTGGAAAAAAATGTTCGTATTATTATTATTTGCAAAGTTTTCTTATATTTTGTGCCCATGATCCTCAAAATTCAAATGAACTAAGTTTTTCAGTTTTTCTAAGGATATCAAATTATCAAAACGTTGCATGGCAACAATTTTGATACTTTTTTTTGGCTCAATTGTTGCAAACTTTAGGGACATAAAAATTTAACTATACATACGTAAAATAAAGTTCGGCAGAACTTCTGACTCCTTCTGTCCTGGAGTTTAGAAAAGTGCTGTGATTAGAGTGTCTCGATGCACCGGAATCAATGCAATTATCTCCCCATTCTTTTTGGCATTTTGACCATGGCAATTCCGCGGAGAAGGAGACGATTAAATAAAAAAGTGTTAGGGCCATAAGAGAGCAATAGTAGGTTGACAATGCTATATTCGAGCTTAGCTGCGCCCAACCAACACCTGAAATCACAATCTTTATTAGGTTCAATAAAAGTTGTGCAGTTAACGCTAAAATTAATGATAATAACTGCTAATAAAGTAATGCTAACAAAGCATCACTATTTTACTTCAATTAATGCTAATTTATATGATTCTAATGCTGACTATATAATGCTAATGTTAGTTTCAGAATTACCCCAAAATATTCCCCTCCATCCCTAATTTCAAGAAGTGCTCTGAAGTTGGTGTCGACGCTAAGAGCCAAAAACCGTTTTCTTTCGCAAAATCGAAAAGAATCATACCATTTTTTAAAAGGTTCTATTTTAAGTTTAAAAAAATGCACTACAGGTAAATTTTAGAAGTAAAATTTCTGTCTCTAAAAATCCAAAAAAGAAATTGTCGACGCTAACTTCAGGAACCTAGTCAGTCCTATAAATAGCCAACTAATTATAAATAAATTATGTAAATTTTCGTATAATTGTATATTGTAAAGCAAGTCCGGTTTTTACTTAATGATAAATTTATCAATATCCAGATATATTAATGCGTTTATAATTAATAGTATAATTGACATCTGATGAAGATGATTTTATACACTTGACTTCCTCAAACTAAATCTCCTTCCTCGCTCTCTGTTTCTCTGTTAATAACTAACGATTTGTGTCATCATATTTTGACGCAATTATAATGCATTTTGTCAATATCATTTAAATATTATTAAGACCAAAGAAAATGCTATTTACTTGCTATTAATTTTATTGAGTTTTCTATTATCTTGTATATGACGCGTCCGAACAAAGATGTGGGCGTTAAAATTCTTCAATTATAAACAAAATCATTTATAATGATTGAAAGCAATCGGTATTACAAATCTAAATACATATTTATTACTTGAAAATGAGATCTTGTTAAAAAGTAATTTCTTTAAAATGGAACTACACTTGTGTACAAAAAAAAAATCAAAAAATTAATTCAGTTCTTAGTTTTTGTTATGTATATTTAATCCGAGAACTTTATTTTATTCTTCGTATGTAGCTATTAATAAATCTAATTTTAATTTGTAATTTTTATAAACATTGTATTTGGAAAAGTCTAGGAATGCAATTTTTTATTAATTACGAGAAAAGGGATTATGAATTCATTTTTTTCTGTTTCATTGGTTTTTGTCTGTTGCGGAAGAAAAATAACAATGACTTAGAAGAGAAAGAATTCTCTTAAATATTTATAATTGAAGAGAAAAAATAATAGTAGGACTTAATTATTAATTTTATTTTGCTCGAAAATTACCTGCAAATCCAGGGGATATTTTCCAAACTTTGATGGACGAATTTCCGGAGAATTGACCAATGATCATCTCGAGATAATAGAAAGGTTTGCCCACGAGAATCAGTAAAATAACATAGGGTATTAGAAATGCTCCTCCTCCATTTTCATAGGCAGTGAATGGAAATCGCCAAATATTTCCAAAACCAACTGATAATGCAACACATGACATTAAAAATTCAATGCTATTGTTCCAACTTGCTTTCTTTGGTTCCTCAGCTTTCTTGTTGACATCCTTTTTATCCCCACTTTCCAAATTGATGTTCGACTGTATTTTCATTACACTGTTGTTGTCTAAAATTTCCGGCTCATATGTCAAATTATCAAAAGCGAGTGTCGCCTTCTTTTCCTAAAATTTATCATTCATTTTATTACTTTCACTAAATAGTAGAGAAAATTCTATTTATTATTATATTTAATCATTTACTATTTAGTGTATTGATAATTTATTATTTAATCTTTGAATATTTTATTATTTGTTTCTCTGAAACTGTTTCATATTCTGATTTAAATTACTTTGTTGTACGTTTTGTGCAATAATATATTTGCCAATCAGTCAATATTTCAACCTTCAAAGAGGATAATAATTGCATCAAGGTATTAAAGGATGTAATGCAATCTTTATCGAGTAAATAGAAGATAAATTTACGTTATTTTCCTGTTCTTTTCAATTACAATTGGTAAATAAAAGTACTGGGTAAAAATGCATTTATTTATCTTCTACTAAAGAGAGAACAAAAAGTGAAAAACAGAGAAAAATTTCTTTTTGACGAAAATTAAACCCAATTTAAAATTAAAACCAGTTTTTAATAATAAACTAATTTAATGAAAGGTATAATCTCCTTTTCTTAAACTCACATTGTTAGTCCGCATTTTTAAAAAACAAAAAAGATGTCACTTTAATAAAACAATAGGATAGTTTAGAGATTTTTAGCTTTAGCACTATCGAGCCTCACTTCCCTAACTCAACTGAAGACAATTTACTGTCTTACAGCTGAAGTTATAACGATCTTACTACCTTTACACGAAAAGTTGTTATCTTTAATGAAGAATTTTCAGTTAAAATACCTCTGCAGAAGATGTCACTTATTGGCTTGCCCCTTCTCCTTTTTACGAGAATTACACGATACAAAACACGTACACTCATATATACAGAGACGAAGATAAATAAAAATGATAACCTCATAATGGAAATTCAATTAATATCTACATTGTGTTGTTACCTATATCTTAATTAGTCTCAAAAATCTTAATCATTTAAAACAATATGTAAGCAATTTCTCAAAAACTTACATCATAAAAATAAAAAAAAAAATTTTTTTAAAAATATAATAAACATTTTCAGCAATTTTTTCAAAACTTACATCATTACATTTTTTTTTTTTGTTAAGGGAATAATTACATTATGTCAAATATTATTAGCAATTTTTTCAAACCTTACATCATAAAAATCAAAGAATAATAAGAACAATATTTATTTTATTATGTTATTCATTTCCTGAGAATGAGCTTTTAATAACATTAGTCACATCTCTTCGCAATATGAAAGGAAATAAAATCTTCGTCATGAATTACATATTATGACAAATCGGTAAATTAAAAAAATTTCTTTTTAGTATTATTAATTTAACTCACCGGGCCATTAAAATTGAAAAATCGATTTTTTTTCGTCGACAAGTAAACTGAAGTTTGCAAAGCATTCGTTGGCGATTGACTTCAGTTTATTTTACATTTTTTTAAAGAGTAAACTTCCTTGAATTATTTATTCATTTTTGTTATTTATTTTTTTATTTTTATTGTTAAATCAGAAGAAAGTACAATGACCGACGAGAATTATATCCATAGGGAAAATCTCAAGCATGATGAAGTAGTTTTGGAAAAAACAGGTCGTCACGTGGAAGTTTTTGGTCCATACACAAAAAAAGATCTCCGAAGATTATTACTTTCATCTTTGTCTCTCTATCCAGAGACTGACAATGAACAGGCAAAAATATATCGCTTTTAATTATATTTCATATGAAAAAAAATGTTTCGTTCTTTATTGGAGAATAAGTTTCTATTCTCAATCGAGAAAAAAAATGTCCTAAAAACTTTCAACATTTAGATAAATTGAATATGACGAGTTTTTTTTTATAATATTTGGTTAAAATTTAAATTTTATTCCAAAAGGATGATGCACAAGTTTTGAACTTTCGAAAAAGGAATATTTCTTGTTAAACATGTTTTTATAAATTATATATTGTGCAATAAAAACTGATTGCAATAAAAATTAAAATCTCTATTTGATTTATGAAAATAATTGAATTCTCACAAAGAATTTTATTGGTTAAGAAAATAATTGATGTCTTTCAAAAAATTTATTAAAAGTTTAGAAAATTATTGAATTCTTTGGAAATTAAGAAAGAATAATTGAATCCTTTCAAAAAATTAAAACAAAATTTTTAATATAATCGATTTTGTAAATAATTGTAATTAATAATTTTACTGTTAAATTTTATTAGAGTTTATGTAAATAAACAAATTCTTTTGAAGAATTTCCTTAAGTTTTTTTTTTGAAAATAATGTAGTTTTTTGATTAATTTTAATTGAAAATTTTTTTTAAATAATCGAATTGTTTCGAAGGATTTATTAAAATTTTAGGAAAAAATTGAATATTTGTAAATATTGCTATTTTTACTGAATTGAAAAACAATATAAATTTACCATTTACTTTGTTAACAATCAATTTTTTTAATACACAAAATTATTTTTTAATGAAGTACAAATTAAGAGAAGGTAGTAATAAAAAAATCATTTGAAAGTTCAAAATTTTAAGAACATATTAATTTTCAAAAATATCCAAATGGAAAGAAAGTTCGTTCACTTCGTTCAAAACTGAGAAAATTTGATTTATTAACTCAATTAACAAATTTATCTTATTTTGCTTTTATATTAATTGAATTTTTATTACTTTTTTTTATAATTGATTCTACATCAGCTTTTTATTTTCATTAATAAATTTAAAAATTCAGGAAATATTCGAAAATATTGGAATAAGTGAACAAGAATTGCGAAATATTCAAACTGGCATAAATATAAGTGAAGATACTCATCAGAAATTGAGTGATCTTGAAATCACTGATGATATGATCAAGGAAATTGTAAAAAATGGGAATGAAAAAAGCGATAGAAATTTTATCGACAAACAAAATAGTGATAATTTTATTAGTGATCAGAATGAAGAAAACGAAGAGCAAATAAATTTTATTAAAGAAATTAATCAAAGTGAAAAAACATTACAAAATAGGGAAGAAAATGTTACTGATTATGAGCTTTCTAATCAAAAGAATTTTACTAAAGATATGAAGAATCAATTATTGCAAAATAGTATTGCGAAAGATAATGCGAGGTATTACTACATAAAACTATATTACTTATTCTCAAAGTCCATTAAATTGGATAAAATTGAATTCTTTTAATCTTTAAACAATTAATTTATTCATTTTTTATTGTCTTTTGTTCTTCATTCATGAAAATTGTACAATATAGAAATTAATTCAGGAAATTCTTTTCAAATTTTGCATGGTAATTTTTTTTTATTGATTTCTATTATATTTTTTTTCTTTTATTTCTATTATTTTTTTATTTTCTTTTATTTCTATTAACAAAATTAATTTATTATAATAAACAATATTTTAATAAAATTTAAATTAATTTGGTAAAGTTTCAAAATTTATATATATTTTTTTTAACAAAAATCTTGTCTTTTTAAAATTAATCAAAAATTCACTTATTGGCGCAAAATTATGGAAAATAAAATAGTTTCTAAATTTTTCTTGCTGAAATAATATTGCACGAAATTTATTCTCTAATTTTGAATTAGTAAAACTTCAACTAATTAAAAAAAAAGTATTATGAAATTTGTGACAAGAATTATAAATAAATATTTGAATTGTTAATTAATTATGAATTTAATTATTAATTTTTTATACGACAACAGATCGTTGGAAAATTTCAAATTATCCACTGAAAAAAAAGAAAGTTTACGAAATTGTTTCCAAGAAGAAATAAAAAAAAATGTTGAAAGTGTTTCATCAAAATGTGCAATTAGAAAAAATTTATCTACCAATGAGCACATGTCTGAAAATAATTTTTACCTGAAAAGCAATTTTTCTGAACCAATTAAAAAAGCTATGTGTGAAATTATTTTACGAAAACCAAAAGATCCGATTGAATTTTTAGCACATTGGCTCATACAATACAGGGTTTATTTACAATTTTAATTTCTATTTTACTCTCTTTAATTTTCTAATTAAAATTTTTAATCTCGAATTAAAAAAAAAATTTCTCTGTAATTATAATCATTTAATTATTTATGTTTGTGAGGAGAGAGAAAAAAAACGAAATGAAGGCGAAGTAGAGTTATTAATAGAACCTGAAAACTCAAAGATGAAGGTATTAATAATTTTTAATTATTTATTTATTATTTTATTTTATTAATTTATTTATTATTTTCATTTGTTTTTTACTTTTTTTATTTTTATTTTTTTTTCTTTTCTTTTTCTTTTACTTAATTTATTTAATATATAGGCGGACCTTTGTCCATTTATTTAATAATTAAAAATTCTAAATATTTAAAATTGCAAAACAGAATTAAAGTGAAAAATTGTCCGTTTTAGGAAACTTCGGAAAAAGAAATTTATTATTTAAATGAAAAGAAAAATCGTGAGAGTGACAATGAATCAGAAAATACTTATGAAATTAATCCTCAATAATTGATTCAATATTTTATCTAAATTGGGTAATAAATAAATTAATCATATTTTTTATTTTCTATTTTCTGTATTTAACAAAATTTTAACGAACGATACAAAAAAGTACACTTTTTGATATTTAAAAAAATTATACACTATTTCGGATTTTCAAATAAAATATTCTGCGTATTTACAAAAATTGCACAAATTTTTTTTCTGAATTAAATGAAGAAAATGAGTATTTACATTTTTTTTTTTAATTTTTGGAAGCACACAGTGAAAGAATAATAAAATAATCTGAATTTATATAGACAATTTGTCTTAAATAATAATTAATAAGTATAAGGTAAATTAATTAAAAAGTAATTTAAAAAATATATTATATGATATTGAAATTTAAATTGTAGATTATTATCATTATACAGATAAAGTCAAGTGATATAAATTTTATGAAAGTAATATCTTCATTTTTCTTAAATTCCAATAAAACGTTCTGTAATATAAAATTTCTAATATTTTTCTCTCAATGTTTAACTTTAACGATTACGATCTAATGATGTGTAAACTTAAATAAAAAAACAAATACAGTTTCATTACTTTTCTTTCGTATATATAGTCGCAATTAAATTAATCATTTTATTAAAAAATATAAATATTGTTCGTACCTATATTCATATTTGTTTTTTTTATATTCTTGTATAATTATCAATTTGGGAACTTTGGTACTATAAACTTTTTGTTTTGTTTTTTAATATATTATTAAATATATTGTCAATATATGTTGTCGTAGGAATATATTATAATAATACACATTTTTTTGTTATAAAATTATTTTCAAAATTTGTTACTTTGGAAAGAGTACCTATCCAATTGTCAATCACTCTTAACTTAAAAGTATCTTACAACAAATTCATACCAAAAATGTAAATTTTTGATTTCATTAAAAAAATCAAAAATTGATTTAAATTTTTGGTATTACATTAATCTGACACTTTCGAGAAAACTGTGAATGTAGAAAAAAATGGATAAATATAGTGCCCAATTGTGCACAATTATTATCGATAAAAAACTGTTCTGGCACATAAATTCAAAATTACTGCTAATTTTTTTTATTACGTATAGAAAATATTAAATTCTATATATAAAAAGTTAAACGAGAAACAGATTTTTTGATTCTATTAAATAGTTCAAAATGTTGAACTTAAAATATTTTTTTTCATTATTAGCATAAGTACATTGAACATTAATTAATAATTAATAAGTATCACGAACTTGTTTAAATATATTATTATTTATTATATAATTATAATTATGCACATTAATTTCCTATCAGATAAGTATCATTAAATAAACTTAGAATATTGTCAATGCCATCAGCAAGCAAAATGATCATTCAAAATATACAAAGTTTTTATTTGTCCGGCTTTTTTTGCATCACAGTGAAAATATATAAATATCTACACTTTTCTAATACTGCAATATTTTCTCTTCATTAAGGAAAATCGGTTTGAAAGTTACTTCATTTTCTTAAAAATAAATTTATAGATAAAAACTATTTTTTTTTAAAATTAATTAAGTATCGAAGTAAACGATTTTTTAAAAAAAAATGTATTAAATACAAATAAATGATAATCAAAAAAATGTATTTTTATAAAAAATTGTCAAATTGAAAGAAGAAAATTATCTTCTAATTAATTTTAAGTGTAGAAACTATATTGACGGAAAGGTTCTACAAAAATTGTGAAATATAATTTTAGTGTTCATAAAAAAACACTTTATTATTTTAATATAATTTTATTCTAATTTTTAAAATTGTATTTTAATTAAAAAGTTTTTAAATTTTATTCAAAAAATTGATTTTGAGATTCGTTAATATTCTTTGAATTCAAGTAAAATAGATTAAAAAGAATTATTAAAGGACTCAGACCCATTTTCTTTAATTCTCAATATCTTGCTTAACAAAGGTTCAAAAATTTAGATTCTTAAACCTTTATACTTATTTATATAAAATTATGTCACTGGTAACTATTTTGTATAAATATATTAGGACGGCAGTTGAGTGAATTTCGCATTTCTTTCAAATTTAAAGTTAAAAACAAAATTTTGTAATCAAAACTGTTTTGATTCGTTTTTTCGTTTTTTGTTTTGAAATTTCGTAGAAATTTCAAGGAGATTCTTAAGTTTTTTGTTCTCGTAATTAAAGTCTGCTTAAAATGCTAAATTAATAACTCTAAATTGTCTCTAGAAGGCTGTCTTTACCTCGCAGTATTTATATCATTAGGATATTCAGTAGTATTTCGAAAAGAATCGCAAAATTGTTGTTTTGTTGTTCTGGACTCCTTTTTTTTGGATATTAAGAAATTTAGTTATCGGAAGAATGAATTATTTATGACAATCTATTTTCTAATCCAAGAAGAACGTAAAAGTATTGCTTTAGTTTTGACGATATTCTTTTTTCTCTCTTTTGTTTCTTGGCATCTTTAAATGCTCGCCAATCAGCCAAGTCCGATGCTTTAAATGGCCCCCAATCCTTTGATGGACTAAATGCCTTTTTAATCATCTGAAAATTGTTTTCAAACAATTATCATTAATTGTCTTTTTTTCCAAGCATTTTCAAGTATTTTCAAACATTTTAAAAATTTTCAAGACATTACATTAGATATTTTATTAGTCTAATGAAAATTGTTCATTTCAAATAAAAATAGTAAATCAAATATTAAAATGTACTGTAAGTATTTAAAAATCATTAGCATCTTTGATTTTTGAACAGTTTGATGTTGAATTATTTGAAAACCTTTTGGATTATTATTATAATTTTAGTTGGTATGATTAATTGACAACGTACTTTATAGGAAGCATAAAGAATTTAGAGGAAAAATTGATTAAATACTGACCTTTGGCAGACCTAATTTTCGTTTTGTCAAAATTGTGTAAATGAGCCAAAGAGGTAGTTGCAAGACACCAAAGGCAAGTAGTGACCATCCTGCAGCTGTAAGAAACATTAATTAATGTGTGATATAAGTTTTTATAATTTTCTCTTTGGATTTTTTTTGTATAGTAAAATTTATTATATACCGTAAGCACTGGAAGGATAGTAGACGCCTCTGTACGTAAGAGGAGTGAGAGTTGCGATGTTGTAAATTAAAATAGTGGCTAATAAAACAGGAGTAATTAAACCCCAACAGAGTCTCCAGTAAATTGATGGCCTTCTGTTCAACATGAATTCGACATCGTCCAAAATGTTCTCCAATCCATAGACCCAAAAAATGCCCGTCATTTCCAAAGTTGCAAGTACGAACACAACAAACGAGGCACCGTAATAGTCCACCAAACCCAATATAAATTGTCCTCCCTATTTTCATTCCAAACATAAATTCAAATATCAAAAAAGACTCCAAGCAATTGTTCCAAACATTAAAATTAATATAGTACACATTAAAAATGTTTGGAACTAAAAATAAAAACATTAAAACACTCACTGGAGTACAGTAGATGGTTCCGACCAAAAATCCAAATAGAGATGTTGCCAAAACGATGTGCCAATTTTTCCAAGATGGAAATTGGTCGCTAATTACGCTTACGATTCCACCAACTATTGCAATGGCACTGCCAATTCCTAATACGAAAAGCATAAGGAAGAACAGCACTGAAAATAGCTGGAAAAAAATTTTAATTATCATTAAGAGTTGAAAAGTGAAAATAAAAAGTCTTTTTCTCTCTTATCTAATGTAAATTAAAAGATAGCTTCCGTTAATTGATTAAAAATACAACCATTCCTCTGAGGAAGCAAATCCATACATGCTCGGAACGTTCAAATGCAAAAATTAATTTCTGCCCATACAAACATTTCCAAAAATTTGTAAAAAACAAAACACGAAATTAATTTTAAATTGTTAATTTATTTCTCTTCTACCTGACGCAAAATGATTGCAATTAAATTTTAATTTAGAAAAAGAAATAACTAAATTTCGTTCATTTGAAGCATTTTTGAACAATCAGAACTTTAGAAACATGGAAGTAATTAAAAAAGAAATTTTGTTAAATACCGAGAATTAAATTAATTTCGAAAATTGACAGGTACTTAACTAGATTAAAGGGAGAGAACAAACAAAATAAATGACCAGCTGATAATAAATTTAACTCTTCTGATAATGCAATATTTGAAAACACTTAAAAGTGCTTTTAAATTCTGGATTTTATTAAGATTAGAAGAGTTAATTACTTTTTTATCATATTTTTTTGAAAGGTTTTTTCACGATATTACTATTAATACACATTTAACAATCATTTGACAACTTCTATCTAATTATTCTTTTTTATTACTAATCGCATAATAATTTGTTCCCTTTTTACTTTTTGTTAGTTATCCTTTTCTATATTTTCAAACATAAATTTTTTCTTTCTTGAAAATAGTTTTTACAAATTAATAATTTCATGACAATAGATATTTGTATACGATTTTATTCTTTCTTTCTTAATTTGTGATAATTTAAAAAATCGAGACAAGACAAAAAATGCAATAAGAAGAATATTCCGACAATAAGTCGAAAGAATAATAAAATAAGAACAAATCATGAAAATTGGCCTATTTTCCTGATAAGTGTATATTCTGAGAATCGTGAAATCTTATTGAACTCATTTGCATGCGTACAATATATAATTTACAAGATAAAAAAACGAACTTGAAAAATATTCTATATAGGAAAATAATTATTGTCCTCACCTGTGGTAGAACAGTAAACTTAGCAATAGCGTCAGGATATGATATAAATGCAAGACCAGTTCCACCGCGAACTACTTTTGTGATGTCATCTGTTCCAAGTTCATGAGCGAGATTTCCGAGAATACCAAAAATTGTAAATCCAGCCATGAGACTCGTTATTGTATCCAAACTGGTGACGACAATAACATCTCTGCAGAGTAGAATATTAATTATATTCTCTTTAATACCAAAAGAAACAACAACTGACTAATTTTAGTTTGTATTTCCTCAACGTGGAAAAAAACTCCCATAAGTATGCATATCGAAACGTTATTGACGCATATTATAATTTCACGAGTTATGAAACACATTTTTATCAAAATTTAAATCCGCTAAGTAGTAATACATTTGTCAGGATTTCTTAGAAGGAGCAGTTTTTGAATATTTATCTTTTTTTTGATGATTAATTTCTCTTACATCATTCTTTATTATTGGGTTTGAAAAATGTTTTTTTTTGGGAAACGAGGAACTTTTGGACTTAAAAATCAACCTACCTGTAAATATTGTGACGAAAAGAATTGTAGGAAGAGTACATGACAACTCCTCCAAAGCATACGGAGAGTGAAAAGAAGCATTGTGTTACTGCAGCATACCACACTTGAGGTTCGAAAAGTTTGTCCCATTGTGGTTTGATGAAGAATATAATTCCATTCATTGCACCATCTAATGTGACGGCCCTCAAAAGTAGTGCCACCATTATTACGTAGGGAAACAGTGCCAAAAAGTAGGCAGCTTTGCCTGAGCTTTTTACACCTCGAGCTAAAACTCCAAATATACATAGCCAGGCGATAAATAAGCAGATTGATAATTTCCAATCGGGTAATCCAACTCCATCGTCGATGTTTAATTTTTCCTTTAGTACAGTCTTTCTGTGGAGAGGAAAAACGGTTTTTTTTTTTTTTTTTTTTTTGCTATTAGAGTCTACTCCGAATTGTACTGAATTTTTTTACTCCTCTGTTGTAAGGAAACCAAAATTGTTTCTACTGATTTGCACTATTCGGATATTTAATTGGTACTCAAGGTAAGAAATCCTTATAGTCAAAAATCAAAAATCCACAAAGAAGAAATTCTTTTGCTCCTTTTGCACCAGTTAAGTATCCGATGCCAGTTAGGGATCCGAAAAATACTAAACAATGCTGTCAAACTTACGTAAAATACAATTCGGCAGAACTCATCATGTTACTCATATTTTTCCCATGATGTGTGATGTTTTCGTCAGTTTTTCCAGAATTTATGCAGACATCACCCCATTCGAGTAAACATTTTGACCAGGGCAATTGCGATTGAAAACTATTAATGAGGTAGTAGAGAGTAACGGACATCAGTGAACAATAGTACGTGCCAACGGCAATCATCGAAAACATTTGTGCCCATCCAACACCTCGAAATGCTGGCACACATGACCACATTTTAACCGATGACCTACTAGTAAATTGACCCATAATCATTTCCAAATAATAAAATGGCTTTCCCACGAGGAACAGAACAATAATGTAAGGAATCAGGAAGGCACCCCCACCATTTTCGAAAGCTGTGAACGGAAATCTCCATACATTGCCGAGACCAATTGACATTGCTATGCAGGACATCAAAAATTCCAATCCATTTCCCCATGTTGCTCTTTCATTTTGTTCCTCTATTGATGTCTGCTTGTAACAATAGAAAACAAATTGTATAACTTCTTTAGTCTCTCTTTTTAAAATCTCTTTAAACAAATTTTTTAAAAAATCTCTTTTAATAAAACATTTTTTATGAGAAGGGAAAAAAGTGTCTTCTTAAGATCGAAGACCATGCGGGATAAAAAATGATTAGTCAAGGTAATGGAGTAATTATCCTTGATGGTAATTAATATATTGAATAAAATGAATAAAAATAAAATTGTGAAGAAGCTTCTTTATAATTGACATCTCGAGGAAAGGAATAATTTATTCAAAATTAATTATTTTTTAATGACTCATTATCATAACTCACCATCTGTTCCGGCAGGGAAAGTGAAATTTTCTTATCGTGAATCCCATAATCAAGATTATAGGTATTTTTGTTCTGAAAGTAAGAGTCGAAGGTTTATAATATTCGTACGAGAAGAAAATGAAAAAAGAGTTAAACGTAATGTTGCATAATGCGAGTCAGTTCTAAATTTTAACTACCATGAATAATTTGATAAATGAGGAATACCATGTTGCAAAAGATCTTGAAGAGTTCTATAACCCACCTTTCCATCGTCCTTGGGCGACTTTCCGAGTTCCACATTAAGAAAGCCTTCGTCTGGGATGAATCCAGGATTATACCTTCCACCCTGCAATTGCAAATATATATGTTTATTTTACAAAAATTATAATTTCTTTTTGCTAATAAAAATCTGTTTGTTTTTGAGGAGAGTGGAATTTATTTGGTGCAAAGTCTTTAGGGTTTTTAATACAATGAAAACAATTGAACGGAATAATTATCGATTATGAAGTCTGTATTTTTATCTCTTAATTGTTGACGCAGGGGATATGAAATAAATGTTGTTATTCGATGTTTGGTTGAGTCGCGAGCGAAAGTAATGCCATGCATATGTAATTTTCTTCCATAAGTTCATGACCAGTAGTTTCATTAAGTATTCCGTGTGACCACCGTATTCAGAAATGGTATTTATTTCCTATTTATATTTTGTCATATACTCGATGGGAGTATTTGGAGAAGCAATAGTTTTCTCTATTATAATTGGTGATTCAGATGTCATTCATCCTCGCGATTCATTGAGGGATTAACGAACTAGGTCGTTGTCACTTTCCATGATGATGATGATGATGATGATTTGAAAATAAACACACGGGGAATATATAATCCATAGTCACACATTAGTTATTGCTAACTCTTTAGAAGGACACTTTCTATTATGTATAAGCGCGCGCGTTAGAGAGAGGTTCTCTAAAACATTGCGAGCATCAATATATTGTGCATAGCATTACACCTGTACATATATATTGCATTTAGTGCACTCTAAATTATTACACATGTCAAAAGGGGAATAGGAAATGTTAATCCGATTGTAGGGGGATTAAAGATCACGTGAATTACTCTCACCGAGTTTAAATATCAAGTTTATTTGTTTGACATTTATAACTTTGTATTGTATATATGCGGTGATTATTGTTTATCAAAGATTTTGAAGTCGTAAAAAAAATTATTGTCATTTTATATATACATATATATATATACATTGTTGTAGTTTTGTACGATTGAATTGAGGTCTAGGTGACGTTGTTATTTAGGAATTTCATGCAATCGGTTACCTGGTAATATACATGAAAGCGGTAGAGATTATAATGTTTGCAATGCATTATGGGAACCTCGTTCTTCACGCACATAATTACGATTAAAGGCACGCTTATCCCTGACATATAAATTACCAAACTGAAGTAAAGTCGCATCTATTTGATTGAAAGACAAAAGGATGATAAAATTATTAATGTATTAGAAGAAATTTAGTTTTTCTAAGGATATCAAACTGAGACAAAACGAGAATCAAAAACGTTGCTTCGCAACATTTTTAATTCGCGTTTTGTCTCAATTTGATATTCTTAGAAATATGGGGAATCTACTATTTACTACTTTTTTTACGTTATGATACTATTTGGGTACTTTTTTTTAGATTTCAGCCACTAAAATCTACTATTTCTGTTTCTTTTAAGAATCTCCACTGCTTTAAATTCGCTAATAGTAGAAATCAAAAAACTATTCTCAGAAATTATAATTAAATTCTTTAAATCGATTCAATTATTTTAAATAAATATTCAAAATTCAATAATGTTCAATATCTATAGTAATTTCATAAAATTTCGCAAAAGAATTCAAATATTTAAAAAAATTGATAAAATTTAACCAATATTCAATTATTTCCACCAATAATAAAATTTCCACAGGAATTCAATTAATTTAGAATAGCATTTTTAAAAAAATTTTGAAAAAATCAATTATATAACAAAATTTTTATACAATTCTTCACAATAATTCAATTACTTTCAATAATAATAACATTTTTCATAAAAATTCAATTTTTTAAAAAAATTGTTTGATAAAATTCTGAGCAAGAATTCAATTATTTTCATAAATAATAAAACTCATCGAAGAATTTCAATTATTTTTAATACTATTTTAAATTAATTAATCGATAAGTTCAATTATTTTCACAAATAAAGTTTTCCACAAGAATTTAATTATTTAAAATAAAATTTTCATAATATTTATTATATTTCGAAAAAATTAATTATTTAAAACAATGTTTATAAAATTCTTATAAAGAATTCAATTATTTTCAAAAATAACAACAATTTTCACAGAAACTCAATTCTTTATTTTAATAAAATTTTTCGCAATAATTCAATTCTTTTCATAAATAACAATATTCATCACAAGAATTCAATTATTTTTAAAAGTAATAAGTTAAAATAATTAAATTTCCAAGCAGACTTGGAAATTCAATTATTTTCAAAAATAATAAAATTCATCGCAGGATTTTAATTATTTTTCATACTATTTTACAGGAATTGCTCAAAAAATGTACTTATTCTTAAAAAGTACATTTTTTAATTTTAATTCCTCGAAAAAATCAATTATTTACAAAAATATTAGAATTCTTCCCAGGAATTCAATTATTTTGAAATATATTTTAATAAAATTAATCGAAAGAAATCACTTATTTTAAATACAATTTTAATTAAATTTTTTCGAAATAATTCAATTATTCTTTTAGATTTTAATAAAATTCTTCCCAAGAATTCAATTATTTACATAAATAATTCTTCGAAAGAATTCAATTATTAAAGATAAATAACAAAATTATTCCCGAAAATTCAATTATTTTGAGGCATTTTAATAAAATTCTTTGCAAAATTCAATTATTTTCATAAATAACAATATTTATCAGAAGAATTCAATGATTTTTAAAAGTAATAAATTTCTTCTTTGAAATTCAATTATTTTTAAAAATTCTAATAAAATCGTTCGGAGGAATTCAATTATTTCCATAAATAATAAAATACTTTCAAGGAATTCAATTATTTGCAAAAAAAATTTAATAAAACACCACACAGACATTCAATTATTTTCAAAAATTTTAATAGAATTCTTTGTAAAATTTAATTTTTATTAAAAACTTTTCGCAATTCAATGATTTTCAATATCTACTATATTTTCACAAAATTTCCAAACGGAATTCAATTATTTAAAAACTTTTTGTAAAAATCTTCGTGAGAATTTAATTTTTTTATGAATAATAAAAATTTCTCAGGAATTCAATTATTGAAATTACAATTTGCATAAAATTAGTCGAAAAAAATGAATTATTATCGCTATAAATATAGAATGGAATTTTTGTCAGTTTTGTAAAGTGTCAAAAACGAGTTTTTTTGGTCGTCAAGTTTAATTTTTTGAAAGCTACTTTTTGCTACATTTTTAAAATTAATTATTGAGTGCGAAGTCTGTGAGTAATTTTTCATTAAATACAAAGTTTTTGATTAAAACTTAGGTAATTTTGCTCTAAGAATTAATGAAATTTGACTCTTAAATTTAAATCTTTTTTTATACGAAGAATTTATCAATTCTCATTAAAAATTTGTAAAAAAACTTCTACTAAATTATATTAAATATAAATTTATTTATATTTATGTTTATATTTATTAAACATTTATATTAAACATCTTCTCTTGGATAACGTCTTTTAATGCAAATTTTTTTGATGAATTAATAATCGTTAGGAAATATTTGATCTCCATTCAAGCTTCTTTTTAAAATCAGAGTTTCTCAATTTAAAATTTACGATTCTTTTCCTCCGCTTTGGAAGTTTTAACATTCAATAAATGTCAAGGAAACTCGATCGACACTGAATGATATAATAAATACTGATGTAGTGATGTCTGCTCATTAAGAAAAGTTTAATTTATTGATATTAAATAATTTTTAATGCGAAAACTTTAATAATATTCAATTCATTAATAAATAAAAAGATATATGATATTTTAAAGTAAAATCCAGTTTTTAAGGTTTAATTTATATTCGATTTAATATTATATGAGGATTGTAAATGCTCTTGTTTTTACATTGTAAACAGTTCGAAAAATAATTTGGAAAAAACAATTGGAGAAATTAAAAATTGAAAATGAGTCATTTTTAATTTTTATTGATTTTAATTAGAAAAGAAGAACTGTACTAATTGTGGTGCATGAATGACTTGTGGGAATATTTGGAGAGTAATTATTAAGAACCTGTTAAGAACCTTGATGAGTAAACATTTATCAGCAATGACTTTCATTATTCTTTGGCATTTTCTGTATAAACGGAAGAAATTTCACTGACACAAGGCTCACTGTAGTGAAGAGGAGAGAATGTTTTAGAGCATTACCTTCCCACAGTTGTCTTGACAAAGTTTAAACGAGAGAATTAGTGAAAGAAATGCGCAACATTCACGAACGTAAACGTAATGATACGTTTTGCTTTTTTTCCTACTTTTCATTCATTCATATGATTCGATTATTGAAAGAAAAATCCAAATTTTTTTTAATTTACTAATTCGAAAGCAAAAAGTCCTTCACTAATTCAAATTATTAAACATTTTTACTAATTCAAATTTAGAGATTACATATAGTACTGTTAACTTAAAAGTATCAAATTGCAACGAATTGATACCGAACATTTGGATCAAATCAAAAATTGATCAAAATTTTTGGTATCAAGATGATCCACTTTAGTATTAATTTTGTTATTTTCGACTTCAAGAAAATTGTGAATAAAATAAATAAATATTAAGTAAATTAAAATGAAGTAAATATTGTTTTAAAGCAAATTTTTAATTTTTCATCTATAAAAAAATTGTTTAATTTTCTATTGTATGTAAATTAATTGTAATGATTAGAATTTTACCGGTTTATCGGTAACGAAAGCAATGTCATGCACATAAAAGACTTGTCGCCCTTGTGGGTTTTCCGGATGTAACCTCGAATTCAATGCTTCCCTTTCCTTCATTTAAAACCTTTTTATTTCTTAATACCCCTTTATAATATTCTGGAAGCGATTCTAATAAACTTTTATTGATCTATCGAGTTCAGATGTCCTCGAGAGATTTGGAAATTTCATTATTCATCTCTCGACAATATTTTCATTGCAGTATCTTTATAGATATTATACACTTTTTGAAGAAGAAAATAAAAAAAATTGTAAAATTCAGTCAAAAGTAAATAATTAATAAGTTAGGTAAACATCGGTAATTGTTAATTAGAAATCAGACGAAAAAATTTCATAATTCGACAAAAGTAA